TTCTAAGAAAAATATTAGGGGCATTTTGGGATAGAGTACAGAATCGATCCCAGGAATATAGCTTATACCCAAGGCTGTCTTTTTGCTTTTATGTAGGTCAGCTTCTCTTCTATACCTTTTCATTAAAAGCATCTAAATAAATAAGCAACAAATGAGCAGGTGAGGCACAGAATTCCAAGAGACATATTTATGGTTGGCCTGTTGGTGACCCAAAACCTAAAGCCATAATTGGTGAAAGGCCTGGGCATTGGTGCTGAGGTCTCAATGACAGTAGGAGGCTACTGCTGAGCAGCAGATAAGAGCTGTATGGGCCAAGAAGAAGAAGAAAAAAAACCCTTCTAATGCCATTCCAACAAGAGGACAAACCTATGTACTACTCTTATTTTGATGAGTCCAGATCATGATTCATCTAAGCCACCAATGTCTGCTTTGAGGATCTGCAATCATTTCCCATATTTGCCACCTTAGCATATTTAGATCCAGTACCAGCCACTGAATCAGAATTCTTAGTATTTAGAGAACATCTCTTTGACTGCAAGGGAAAGGAAGAGCAGGTTTGCTAGATCTAATTCTGACTTCTCAAGAATCAGGAAGTAGGTACACAAAGACAATCATAGCTATATACAATCCAACATGAAGTGCCTTGAAAAATACCAGATTTAAGAACCTGAGCTGGACTCTAACTCTACAAGAAAAATATTTCACAGAAATCTAAAAATATCTGTACATTTTTGAGGGGCCAATTCTATCTGCTGACGAGGTTCAAATTAACTGTATTTAATTGACAATATCAGTGTCTTAACCAAATTTCCTAACCCTGTGGGGGATGTTTATTTTTGTTCTCCACCAGGAAATAGTATAAAAGAATACAGTTTGTGTCCATTAGAACCTGAAAACTTACAAAAACAAAACAAGAGTTATATTGGAGGGAAGTCAAATCTCTTATTATTGCACTAAGATTTCTTTTCTCCATTCAATTTCCCCCACCAGTAAGTTAAAATGTTGGTCTTTCCTATGCAACAGGACTTTGTTCTTTTTATGAGTTCAGTTTGATTCCATGAAGGAATATAAGGAATAGGTAAAAACTATATTGTACATCATAAGCCAGTTTGGAAAGATCTTCCTTCCAGGAATGGAAACTTAGATTTCATTTTGTTCTTAGAGTTCTATTTAAGGAGGGAAGCCAATGGAATTAACTTTTTATGAAGAATCAGTTGTTATACAGTTGGCAGAACCAACTTTTATAGTAGTACAGGCAGTTTTGGACTTACAACTACAATTGTAAATAATTCTGTTGCTGAGTGAGATGTTTGTTAAGTGAGTTTTGCCCCATTTTAAGATCTTTCTTGCCACAGTGTTAAGTGAATCACTGCAGTTGTTAAGTTAGTAACATGGTTGTTAAGTGAATTTGGCTTCCCCATTGACTTTGCTTGTAAGGTCTTGCTAATGTTGATCACGTGACGTCATAACAGTGCAGCTGTCATAAATATGAGTCAATTGCCAAGTGTCTGAATTTTAATTACATGACTGTAGAGATGCTGCAATGGTCGTGTGAAAAATGGCCATAAGTCACTTTTTTCAAGGCCATTGTAACTTTGAATGGTCACTAAACAAAGTGTTTTAAATCGAGGACTACCTAAATGAAATGTATTTACTGTATAGCAAATGACCATATCACTAGTATACTGCATAGCTACAGTGTTGGCTGGCTGTCTATACCCCACACGTTATCAATCTGTGTTCTTTTAACAAAAGGTCTTATGAACTGGGCAGAATGCCACGGTTGAAGACAGATCTTTATGTTTTACAGAAATGAACTTCGTCAGCACAGATGAAGCAGAAATAATTGTTATTTTAGTCACACTCACAGTCTGAATCTTGCAACTGATCTGAAACTAACTTTGAAGTGGGTCTGCGGATTCCACTCAGAGGAAGGAAACTGATAGTGGTACTGTGTTTCAGGAAGACTAAAAAAGTGATTAAGTGACCAGAGATAGGCTTCATCATGAGACCTTCAATTTGGAAAGACAGATGAAATGTTGGCGTCTTGGCTGTTCAGTTTCAGGCACAAGTGGAATATTATTTTTAGTATTGGAAAGCTAGTTGTTTTGGTGACTAAGGCATCATACTAGAAACTTGGAGACCATTAATTCTCTTCCCTCCTCAGGCACAGAGCCACCTGGGTGACCTTGGGCCAGTCACTCTCTCTCAGCCCTAGGAAGAAGCAAGGGCAAGCTACTTATGAAACATTGCCAAAAAACCTGCAGGGACCGAGCCTAACAATAACTATTGACTAACAATAAATATTGTTTTAGAGACAAGGTTCAGTATCAGCTTTTCTCAATTGCATGCAACTAGTACATATTGTACTCATTTGCAAAGTCCCATTTTGGATGGGAGAATATGGGACATTGGCTTCCAAGCCTGCCATACATGTTGCTGTATCAGTAGCTTTTAAATTAATTGCTGGTTTTGATTCTCCCTGCCTCCACAATTTACTTTTATTATAAATTGCCTTGATTATGTGAATAATGTAAAATACTTGTTAATGTTGTAAGGCAGACCTCTGAGACTAGGCTATTCCCAGGACCGGACTATTCTAAATTAGCCTCAATATTTCCCTAGATAGACTTTGAATTCCTTAATTTAAAAATAAGAGTTACATACTTTTTGTGGAAAATAAGTGTTCTGCAAAACAACTGAAATGTGGCAATGGATTAGTTAAGTAACAAAATATAAAACAAATTTTTAAATTAAAATTTTAAACTGCATTTGGATTCTTCGGTCAAGCTAGATGTTGCATATAGGTTATATGGAAGGGTCCCCAGTTTTATATAAGTTTTAAAAAATTAAATGGTATGTTTTGACTGAGATCAGGATTCTGCTCTTCCCTACAGTATTGTTCTTTGAACATATATTGAAATGCCATCAAAACATCCCCCAGGAGGAAACAAATTATACTACATTTTCTTCCCAAAAGTAAGAGGCTACATTGAGACATAATTCTTCCAAAGAGACGAGAGATCCTGATGCCATCATACTTCCTAATCTTTTTCTGTATATACAGTATATTTCAAACGGAAATACAGAAAATGAAACTGATTCAGAAAATTAAAATAAAACCTATGCCTTTTATTATTCAAAGACATAAAGGTCCAGGCTGGGGAAGAAACGTAGTTCAAAAAATTGGAAGGGTTGTGGATTGAGGAAGGCTCCTGTAAAGCACATAAAATGTTCTTGATTTCGTGAAGTTGCTTTGTCATCATCTGAAGCTTTCTTGTATGCCTTGTTAGGCCCGCTGTCTAAAATCTATAGTTGGCTAAGATATGGAACAGGCCTTTCATCCCAGACCAATTGTCTTTAATTCTCCCAACCTCCATACATTTCTTACGGCTTTCAGGAAAACATTAAGATTTGGGGGAAGCCACAGCTGATATGACATGAATCTTTCACTATTGCCTTAACTTTCTTAATGATTCTCCACTTTTGTTATTTTAATTGGCATACTGGTATTTAATTGATATTAGCACTGGTGCCAATATAAGATGACTCAGAATCTATTTAGGATGCATTATTTTTATGAAAACATATGATGCTTCTTTTAGTCTTCTAATTTAAGAAATGATGTGCACTGGCTGGGTTAAATTTTTTTAAAAGTTACCGTTTTGTAACTTACCACATTTTGTAATATGGTCTAACATTACATGATTTCCTGCTGTCGGAATTAATCTAAGTTTTTCAATATTGCAATATTGTCTTTTATCTTTCTTTTAGACATTTTTAATCCCCGGGAGCAAACTAATTTCACTTTGGGAATTCCTGTTACAAGTTTAAAGTTTGGGGTCCTGCTCTGCTCCTCCTACAGTGACCCCCACAATCAATTCAACCTCTTTGCAGAAAGAAACCCTCAAGCCCCTGAGTATTTCAACATTTCTATAACTTCTCTCTCTCTCACTTTCTCTTGTTTCAGGAAAACGCTCCGTTGGATTGTATATTACCTATCAGGAAATATCCGTGCTATAGATCCCAGCAGCTTAGTATCCTTTCATTAAATCACAATCCCTCCTCTGGTGCAAATGAATGATTTAGGGAATGGCCTGACTTGTAGAAACGAACAGTGCAAAATAATTGATTTTATGCATGATGTTATTTATGCTACCCAACTCTTTCTTTCCCCCCTCCCAATGACAACGGCTTATTTCGCCTCGCAAGCGGTTGAGAACAATCCCGTGTAGGGTTTGCTTATCTGCCGGGTATCTTAATGGTTTTTGCTAAGGTGTCTGCGTGTCAGGACAATTTTCTCTTCCCAACTCCCTGATCCGGAGGAAACCTGCTACTTTCTGACATGCCTGCAGACGAGGGTGCGGAAGTCTGTTTTTTTTTTTAAGTACTGCTGCCGATTTCGCAACCGGCATTCACGCATCAGAGCTCGGCCCGATCCTGCCCGACTCGCTCTTTCTTATTGCAAGCCCGGTTGCAATAAAGATCTCAAGCGATCGATGGATCCTTTTTTTTTGCGCGAGCTTCCGCTCTCTCGGAGCAGCCGCCGCCGCTCGCCCCCAGGTGGCTCCGGAGGGAGCCTGGCCGGGCTCAGCAAAACTCAACTTCCTGGCCTGATTTTTTGACAGTAACAGCCTCCCTCCCGGCCCCACCCGACCCAGCTCTTCCTCTTCTCCGAACGAGCCTCTTCCTCGCCACCTCCAGCGCATCGCAACGACAAAAGGGCAGGAGAAAGCCAGCCAGCCCTGCTAGCTTCAAGGCTGCCAGAGCTACAGTATAGGGGGAGGTGCGGGTGAAATCTCAGTCTAGGACGCCAAATGCACCACGTCCTGCGGGGCTCTCCCGGCTGAGCCGCAGCAGGCGCCGATCCACGTGTCAGGAAGGACCCCCTTCTCTTGCCCCCTTTGCCGCTTCCAATAAGAAGGGAGGCGGCGGCAGCAGCAAGATCAAGGCTTCCAGGAAGAGACGGAGGCGGGTTGGGAGACCAGCGCCTCCCTTACCTGGCTTAGCTGGTTTAGGCGGCGGCTTGGACATCGCTGCGTCCAAGTTGCAAAGCCAAAGCCTCCGAGACCCGCCGATCTTAGAGCTGAGCCGGCTCGCTCGCCACCTCCAGATCGCCGTAAGCCCTTCCCCGCGGAGGATTTCTGGAGCGGCGCGGCCGGAGAGCGACCGACGAAGCCGGAGGGGGGGGGTCGGTGGACGTCCCAGCTGAGCGCTCGGCGAGGGCACGAAAGGTGCTTCTGGCAAAGACGAGGAAGTGCGGCTTGTCGCAGACCGGCTCCCCCTAGAGGCCAAGGAAGCGAACGGCAGGAAGAGCGAAGGGTGCCAAGGCGAGGCGGAATCGTCCCAAAGGGGGAGGGGGTGGGATAGGCGTTCCGTGCGGGAAAGGAGGGGCCTACCACAGGCCGACGAATCACAGCGCGCGCAGCTCCCATAAGGTGGGGGGGGGGGGCGGTTCCTAAACTTTCCCCGGACGGCTGCGAGGGTTGACCAATCGGCGGGACCTCCCTGTTCGCGTTCTTGGGTTGTGCAAGCAACGTGAAGTCTCTTCTGTGGTTGACGGAGGTAGCGGCTTCTAATGGGGTGATGGAAGAAGGAGGGGCTTGGAGGCGGCCCGCCCGCCTCCGTTTGCATGGCTGAATGCAGGCTCCGCTTTGCTTTCTTTTTGCGGGAGTCGTTCGCGCGCTTTGCTCCGAGGTGGGAAAAGTGTGAGTTGCGTTTGTTGCGTTGCTTCAAAAGGGCCTGCTTTGGCTTGTAAGAGACAAGCCCTTGTAGAATTCACTTTTATTTAAAAAAAAAAATCAAAACCTGACCTTGTTCTCTGCAGTGTGTGATTGCAAACACTTAAAAAAAGTGTGTCATTGTAGACTGGACGTTTTTGGGCAATATGTACTTGGCCCCTTAATGATGCGTGTGTTTTGAATGCGATCGTGAGCCTCGGGGTCTTTTTTCGAGTGAGTAACTGGAGTGCTAGGCTGTTGGGTCTCCCTTCATGGTTTTGTTTCTGTGGCTGCTTTCAAACTAGCCCCTTGTGGTAAGAAAAAGATGCAATCAATTTATTTATTTAATTTTATTAGTCCTATTTCTATGCCGCCCACTCTCCAAGGACTCTGGGCGGCTTACACCAAAGACAGTATAGCATATTGCCCCCAACAATCTGGGTCCTCATTTTACCTACCTCGGAAGGATGGAAGGCTGAGTCAACCTTGAGCCGGTGAGATTTTTTTTTTTTAATTTGATTTATATGCCGCCCTTCTCCGGAGACTCAGGGCGGCTTACAATGCGCTAAGCAATAGCCTTCATCCTTTTGTATATTTTATACAAAGTCAGCTTATTGTCCCCACAATCTGGGTCCTCAATTTACCTACCTTAGAAAGGATGGAAGGCTGAGTCAACCTTGAGCCTGGTGAGATTCGAACCTGCAGTAATTGCAGGCAGCTGATCTTAATAACAGGGTGCTTTAGACCACTGTACTACCAAGGCTCTAGATTTGATCCGCAGATCTGCTGAACTAGCAGTCATGAATGGGGGAAGGAAACGAGGGTAACAAACATAACTGAAATTATGTTTAAAAATCCGAGCGACTACTGTATGGGGGTAAAAAAATCCTATTGATAGCCATTTATGTTTCTGTGATGTTAAAGGGTTTTAATGTAACCCATGATCAAAAACCATTTGTAATTATTCCATTTTTGCCCTTGAAGAACTGATCGTTCATGATTTGGATGAATCAATGAGAATACTGAATAGTTATAATGGAAATCTGTAAGATTCTGGGAAGGAAATAAGGAGTGATAATACACTGTAAATGAGAAGATAAAGGGGATAAATTCACACTGCACTTGTTCCATGTAACTCGTTCATTGATCATGTGCCATTAAGTCTGTGTTGACTCTTGGTGACCATATAGTCTTTTTCCAGGATGATCTAATCCCAATCTGGCACTTCATATTGCTCAATAGGACACCCATTGTTGCTGCAATTTCCTCCTGCTTTTTTCCCCCTCAGCTTTCCTAGCATTGTAGACCTCTTCACAGGACTAAGTCTTCACGTAATGTGTCCCAAATACAGGTAGTCCTCAATTTACAATCTAAATTGAACTGGAATCTTCGTAGTTGGAACAAACTAGTAATTAAGCTGGATGCTACGTGACTGTTTCACTTAATGAGTTGCAATTGTGGATTAATCTTGTGGGTTGCCAACGGAAAGGAATAGAAGGTAAGATAGATAGAAGGTAAAGTACACTGGGAGCTTAGAGGTGGGAAGGCCAGCAATGTCTACATACAAGTGTTTCTCCTCTTAGAAACTGAAATCCTTCCTGCTAAAATCCAAGCAAGATTTTTAGCCTGAGCAGAGAAGCACTTGTGCCTAAGTGTCTAAGAGGCTTCACCTGGCCTCCCAGGGCCTCCCCATCCCCAAAGCACCCTGCACTCCTTACCTTACTATTCTGAGTCTCCATTATGCTGCTGAATATCCTGTTTAAATTTTGGCTTCCTCCCTGCTGAAGGATTTCAGCTCCTGAGCTTTAATTGATTTCTCACAGTAATTGATTTCTTCCAAAGCTTTTGCTGCTACTCTACCAAGTCCTAGTCTATGGTGTAATTCTGGGTTCCATTACTGTTTATACAGGTAGTTTTTCTACATAAGACCACAATTGAGCCCAAAATTTATGTTGCTAAGCGAGGCATATGTTAAGTGAATTAAGTGAATTTTGACCCATTTTACAATCTTTCTTGCTGTAGTTGTTAAGTGAATCATTGCAGTTGTTGAGTTACTAACATGGTTGTTTTCCCATTGACTTTGCTTGTCAGAAGGTCGCAAAAAGTGATCCCAGGACACTGCAGCTGTCATAAATATCTGCGAGACCACCTTCTGCCGCCAATAGCCTCCCACCGACCGGTTCGCTCGCACAGAGAGGGCCTCCTCAGGGTGCCGTCGGCCAGACAGTGTCAGCTGGCGACCCCCAGGGGGAGAGCCTTCTCTGTGGCAGCACCCGCCCTCTGGAATGACCTACCCCCTGAGATACGCACGATATCAGACCTCCGGACTTTTCGTTGGGCCCTGAAAACACACCTATTCCATCTAGCTGGGCTGGCTTGATCCCATCCTCTCAGTTTTAATTGATTTGGTTTTAATTGGGTTGGTTTTAATATCTTGGGCTGAAATTATTTAATTGTTTTTTAAATTGTTTTTAAATTTTATATGCAATGTTTTATCTTGGCTGTACACCGCCCTGAGTCCCGCAGGAGAAGGGCGGTATAGAAATAAAATAATAATAATAATAATAATAATAATAATAATAATAATAATAATAATAATAATAAATATGAGTCAGTTGCCAACTGTCTGAATTTTGATTACATATCCATGGGGATGCTGCAATGGTTGTAAGTGTGAAAAATAGTCATAAGTCACTTTTTCGGTGACGTAACTTTGAACAGTCACTAAATAAACTGTATTCAGTCATACAAAACAGGAGCTATCCATTACTTCAGTATGTTCTTTGGAAAATTTGAGGCTGTTTGCTGTATCTGTTTGCTATTAATTTAGCTGACTTTATGTTTAATCAGATTGGTTTTCTTCATTTGGCTTTTTGACTTTCATTAATAGAGGTAGTAGATAATTTACATTTTCACCTTTCAAAGTAGTGCTGTCAGCATGGCACAGTTCTCTTTCTCCAATTTAAAAATCAAGAGCATTTTCTAATCTAGTCTCTTCAATTTATAAATAAGGAAACAAGGACTCTTTTTTACAGACTTGGAAAAAGTCCATTACACCATGTTCCATCCTGACTGTAACTTTCTTGTTCCGTTTAAGTTTACTTGTATTAGGAACTGCAGGCTTATTCAACAACCATAGAGCTTTTATTTACAAACGGTGTAATTTGAATAGGGCTGTGTCTTACCGACAGTCATTTGGATATAAACATAAATCTTATTTTGCCTGGTTCAGTGACGATTGGAACAAATACTTTGTTCTGCAAGTGATATGCATCCTTTCTATCTATGTAACGTTGGTCTTTACAGTTTATTTTGGAACCCTATCCTACTGTTTTGAAATTCTGTTTGCATCACAAAGGGTTCAAAGCCCTTCACTCTTATGTAACTGACAAATGACTTGGAAGCAATTGTAGCATAATAGTTAATTAATAGCATATAATCCAGATACATTCATGGTTATCAGTATTTGTAGTCATAAGTTTTGCCAGTTTTATAAAAGCACTAAAATCATTGTGAAGTGCTTGAACTTACCAAAATAGCCTATTTTATGTTCATGTGCCTTAAGGTTAGGCAGTACTTCAGATTCCATTCCAAAAAGGTGTTTCGAAAGGTATGGCTATAAAAAGGAGGATACCTAGTTTTATACTGTGGAAAGAACCTTGGAACTGTAGATGAACCCAAGCTGATTGTGCCTCTGCAGTGTAACATAAATACCGTATTTTTCAGAGTATAAGACGCTCCGGACTATAAGACGCACCTACCTTTTTTGGTGAGGAAAACAAGAAAAAGAAATCTGCCTGTGCCTCCCAGCAATTTTGCCTCGTTGCAGCAAACAGCAAATAGCCTGCTTTATTTCATTTTCGTTTTCAGCATAGCTTGATTAGCACAAGAAAAAAAAAAAATCTGCTCCCAGCAATTTACCTACTTGCAGCAAGCAGCAGAGGCCCCCGCAAAACAGCTGAGAGCAAATCAGCTGAGAGATCCAATCAACTTATGCTAATTAGGCTGTGCTGAAGATAAAAGGATCTGTTTCTTCTTGCTGCTTGCTGCAAAGAGGTAAACTGCTGGGAGGCAGAGGCCAAAGGGTGGGGGCCAGTGGGTGGGCGGGGCTACATTTGGTGTATAAGACACACCTAAAATTTCACCCCCTTTTAGGGGGGAAAAAGGTGCGTCTTATACTCCGAAAAATACGGTATTTAAAAGTCCAATACATGTTTATACCATGTCAGTAGAAGAATAATGTCCACATAACAGAAAGTAACAATTTAACTTGTTCTAGATTGCATTTATATAATATTATTTATTAAAATATTAAACCCGTGATTATCACTTACTCTGGGTAATTTGGATAATACCAATGGCCAAGGCATCCAGGTCTCAGGGAGAACCTCATTCAAGAGGGGAGGTGCTATGGCAGAGAAGGCACACTTCCTGAGATTAATTAAGGGAACCAGGAGATTGCCCACCTACAGGAACAGATTGGCTGGGCAGATACTATGGAAGATAGATGGACCCTCAAGTAATCAAGCTCTGTGCCATGTACAGAACACTGTATATTTCTATGTATCGCATTTCATTAAGGATTCAGAGAATCTGGAAGAGTGAGTAAGAGCCATAAAATAATCAAGAGATTAGAAACCAAGCGTCAGGAGAAGAGATCCTGTTTGTTTGGCTCGAAAAAGTATTAACTCTTCCGGGATCTTTGGATAGACAAATGATTCTCACTAAATGACACACAACACACAAATGTTTCTTTTGTTATTTATTATTTATTAGATTTTTTAAAATGCCGCTTTTATTGCTTTATAAGTAACTCAAGGTCGTGAACATGCAGAATATTCTTTCCTCCTATTTAGTCCAAAGAGCTTTCATGTCTAAAGGTGGGATTAGAACTCAACAGTCTCCTACATACATTTTATATTCTCTCGTGGTCACCAAATCATAAGGCCGTAGCAAAGATGGTGATTGCATGTACGAAGAATGTCTCCCCACCAGATCCTGGTGTAATCCTCCTTTTTATAGTTCTTTTACTTTGTGTCTCAGCTGTGGTTTCATTGATTTCTCTCACTGTTGAGCTCTTTCTTATGTGGTTTTTCATACAGTGGCCAGTCTAGCCCAGTTTTAGAGTCCTTCGCTGACATAGCTCAATTTAAAAATATATAAAGGTTAAAAAGATAAAGGTTCCTCTCACACATATGTGCTAGTCATTCCCGACTCTAGGGGGCAGTGCTCATCTCCGTTTCAAAGCCAAAGAGCCAGTGCTGTCCGAAGATGTCTCTGTGGTCATGTGTCTGGCATGACTAAACGCCAAAGGCGCACGGAACGTTATCTTCCCACCAAAGATGGTCCCTATTTTTTCTACTTGCATTTTTTTAACGTACTTTCAAACTGCTAGGTTGGCAGAAGCTGGGACAAGTAATGGGAGCTCACCCCATTACGCGGCACTAAGGATTTGAACCGCTGAACTGCCAACCTTTTGATCGACAAGCTGAGCGTCTTAGCCACTGAGCCACCGCGTCCCTATATAAAGATTACATAAGCTTAAAAAAATAATTAATGGACATGCTCTTGATTTTATCCTTTCAATTTAATGTTTAGGTTGTAAAGGAACCATGGAAACATTTGTCATTGGACTTGGAGGGTAAGTATGAACAGGAATTTGAAATCCTCTTTTCTTATTTTATATTTATATTCAGTGTATATGAAATTGTGGTTTTCACTGCTGTTGCAATCCTAGTCCTAATATTTTTGCTGCTGCAACCACAGAAATACTTTTAAGAACCCTGCTCTCAGGAAGGAAAAAGACAAACACTGAATGATCATTGTGCATTTATTCTGTAGAAGATAATTGACAGAGAAATCCCTTATGCAGCTATAATAAATAACCTTCTGACTACTTAAGTTAAAAAAAATCATTACATTTGACTGGATACAATGGAATTGCAGAGGAAACAAAACTATTAACGGTGCTATCTACTGTACAGTTTGTTCTTCTCAACACTTTTTTTCCTATTTCCAATTCAGTGTAACGAATGGAGGCAAAACAACTCTGGCAGGAAAGCTGAAGCAACTGCTTCCCAATTGTACTATAATTTCCCAAGATGACTTTTTTAAGGTAACAAGTTTAAAAAAATTTACACACTGAGTTAATATTTTGCTCTGTTGCAGAAATGGATTTAAGTTTGTTGATTCCAAAGCTTCCCTCTATCCTACAGTAAGTCTTTGCAGTGATTATCATCAGAAGTTAATATGACTCACCTAGTGTGATTAGAGTTCTCAATCTGGAATAGGGCAATGCTTCTTAGTCTCAGCAACTTTATGTGTAATCCTTGCTTACTGAACCTAATTGGGACTGATAACTCCATCACTAATCCATGGAGTTGTTAAGCAAGACATCACATGGCTGCAACTTGTGATTTTACTGCTGGCTTCTCCATTGACTCTGCTTGTCATAATCTGGCTATGAAGTACGCAAATAATAACAATCACAGAATGCTGTGATAGTGTTATGTACACCCATTGGTTGTGAAGTGACCAAATGGCCATTGTGTGACGGCTCCTAAGCTTCTAGAAAATCAGCCAAATTGACCTTATCTCAAAACTATCAAAATAATTATCTCAAAAATTATGGAAAAGACTGTATCCTTCACTTGTTTTGCTGTATTGTTTGCCTAACATTTCAATCTTTGGTTTTTCTTGTTCTGTACATTTACTTGGCAAATACCAGTTTTTAAATAAAAGAATATGGTTCGTGGGAGGTATTATTTTTTTAATTAATGCACAGGAATTGAATTTACTTGGTACAGAATGATAGGAATAATAATGTTAACATTAACTGTAAATTGCCTCCCTGGGTTAAGATTTGCATCCACTTGTCCTGTGGATTTGTACCATTACCATACTCTCCATAATGTTAATATGTTTGGGTTTTCTTTAGCCTGAATCTGAAGTGGCCAAAGATGATCGTGGATTTCTGCAGTACGATGGTAAATATTCTCATTTGTTTTGTTTTGTTTTGTTTGATAGTTTGAAAACTCAAAAGAGAGATCTTGATGGCTCCCATCCTGATGCCATTCAAAAAGCTATTAAAAGGCCTTGCTTTTTTCCCAAGGTTTTGGGCAGGATGATGGTTGTGCCCCTTTTGGATGAGCTTCTTGGCCCAGTCATAATTTCTCTTCTGTTTTTTGTATTGCTCTTAATTTTCACCTGTAAGCCACATAAGAGTAATCAGGAGTTGGATGGCTTCTAAATTGTATATTAACCCTTAACCTGCAAAATAAATGTATAAATAAATTAAAAACTGCAATACTGGAAAATACAATTTTCAACATATATTTCAATGATCTCAGTCTTTGTACCATAGCACAAAGGGATCCTATTTATAAATGAGAAGAAAGGTCCTTTTTGTTTCAAGCCAGTGAAGGTCTTCTTTGCTCAATCTGGTTCTCCCTTTCTTAGATGTCCTGTATCAGCAGCCAAGTGTTCAGAGGAAATCTGCACTTTATTTTGTTTAACTACTTATAAAGCTTGTTCTCTTATGAAAATAGCCTGTTCTTGGAATGCAAATGGGCTACCTTTGTCTACAAAAACAACTAGCTGGTTTTAAAGCTGTTAATATAAATAAGATACTTGGCAATAAATGTGTACGTGATCAACTTCTTCAGGTTCAGACAGCACTGATTGTTGTGCAATGCAGGCAATAATTAAATTTTTGAATTGCAACATAGTAAGAATTCACCATAAATTGAATTGGCTTAGGAAAGCATAATCAGCTTTTGGGGATTGTGGAACATCATCGCATATGAATGAGATGAATCACATTTTCACCTCCTTCATAGTTCTGAACTAGCGGAAAGAAATAGATATAAGAAAAAAAAAGACAAAGGAATTAATCTCTTTCTAGGATAAAGATAATATTTTATGTAAAAGCTTTAGGGTTCTCTTAAAGCTGTCTAGATTTTGAAAGGACTTGGGTGCCTACAAAATTCAGTTTATTGTTGGAATATAAATATTTTCATTAAATAGTTAAATGGTAAACAGTTAATCATGAAAATACAGTAAGCAACTTTACAGATAGCATTAATGAAATTCAGTAACATCCTGCTCCAGCTTGACTGCTTAAACTGTAGGACAGTTTGAGATGAACTGTCTATTATTAGAAAAATAATACTTTGACTCCACACTTTTGCCAAACAGAGAAACTTGTTCAGACTTTTCAGATTCATTTTTTTTTTAGCATTTTAAAGTTAGGGAACCCATAGTAATATATTTTGATTATATAAATAAATCTGTTTACTTTCTTTATATAGCTTTGAATAATGAAATGTAATCAAGTGTTCTAAGTATGACATTCTACTGCCTTAAAAGAATATATACTTATTTTAATTCAGTTTGCTTAAAGGAGGACATAATATTTCACTTTATACACTAAATGATAAAGATTTAAAATTTGGTATAATCCAAACTATATATGAGAAACTGAACTATTGGGTTTTTTTTTCTTGTTATTGTTTGGAAAGTATTAATCTGATGTTTTTTTAAATTTATCCTTAATTCATTATAACACATTTGTCTGCTATTTGCATAGAATTTCAGTTTTGAGAACTATAGTGAGATTACTGGATTTGTTGCTCCTAAACCTTGCTATCATTTTGTAAACTTTCCTGCTTCCAGACCTGATTAATCAACAGTAAACATACTTTGCATTTTCTCAGATAGTGCTGAATCCTCAAAATAATAAAATCTAACATTTACCGTAAAGTAATTCCTAACCTTATCATTCTGTTCAGTATATACTTCAAGCTTTGGCTCTGGAGTGTCTCATGAACAGAATGAGTGCAGACTGGGAATATTGCCTTACATTTTAAGATTTAAGTGTCTCTTTTAGTACTTGATGCCTTGTACATGGAGACAATGGTGGCAAGCATACGTTCTTGGATGACAAAACCAGAAGATTCTGCATTGCCAAGACCACCCAATAATACACATGATGATCAGACAGGAGCAAAAGATATTCGGGTCTTAATTATTGAAGGTTTCCTTCTGTTTAACTACAAGTAAGCAGTTGTTTAACATTTACAAGAACTGCAATATGGCAAATCAGCATGCCTTACTTGTTGTTTTACTTTTGCAGGCCCCTTAGTGATATATGGAATAAAAAATATTTCTTAACAATTCCCTACGAAGAGTGTAAAAGGCGAAGGAGGTATGGTATACTAAAAGCAATGCTTAGCATAAAACTTTATTTCTTTGTCCATTGTTCTTCTTTCTCTGTAAAGCTGCATCTCTTCTTAATACATACTTCAAAATAAACTCCACTTTTAGGCTGCCTGTGTATTGGGAAGACTAGATTCAGCCCATGGACCAGATTTCTCTTTGCCTAGGCGGCATTTGGAACCGGTGTTTGAAAAGGGGAATCAACTGCTATCTCTCCTTCTTTCAGAAAGATAAAGGGAGTGATTGTCTCTTTACTTTTTTTCGGAAAGAGAAAGCTTTCCTTCACAGAAGAGCCTTGGTGGCGCAGCAGACTAAAGTGCTGTTAAGTAGCACCAGCTGCCTGCAATTACTGCAAGTTCAAATCTCACCAGGCTCAAGGTTGACTCAGCCTTCCATCCTTTCGAGGTAGGTAAAATGAGGACCCGGATTGTGGGGGCAATAAGCTGACTTTGTATAAAAAACAACACCGCTTGGGTGGGGGGGCGAAAGCCCTACTAAGCAGGTATATACAAAAGTATGAAGGCTATTGCTTAACGCATTGTAAGCCGCCCTGAGTTTCCAGAGAAGGGCGGCATATAAATTGAACCAATAAATAAATAAATAAATAAGAATGTGTCAGAACTGTCACTTCACCCCTGAGCTCATGCTGTCGCTGGGTGCCAGTTCTGTGGAGAGGTTTTTCCCCAGATCAGAGGGAGTGTGTTTTCGTGTGCCGTTTGCATCTCATGGATGAGTGTTTGTGCGACCCGGCTTCTGGCATGCCACGGACTGGAGCCGGTCTACAGACTGGGGATTGGGTACCCATGGCTTAGGGGGAAAGTGAAAGTAATGGAAATGTGCCTCTCCCAGTCACATTTCAAGGTTGCAAACCAGCCTATACCAAGAGTGATAGTTTCAAAAACATATTGTTCAAAAGGGGGGGGAGGGGGAAGGGGGGGCAGTAGTGGGAAATACCTAAGGGGGGAAAATTACGCTTGGGGATTTGGCGCATGAATTTCAGGTCTGGCTTTGCTTTAACTGCAGTTTCACTTGACTTCTAATAAAACTGTACCTTTTGCAACAAAGGGAGCCAAGGATCATTTTTATTTAGAGGTGCAAGCTGAGGCAAGGAAGACAGGATGTTTTTCTCAATGGAGAAAGATAGGGTGATCATTTCCAGCATTTTTTTCATTGAAGGAAATCTAGACAGAGCTTCAGGAAACAGTCAGTCTTTTGCACAGATCTTCTAATAGAATCCCAAACACCATGGAATCTACTTAGATCAGCATGACTGATCTTTCCTTATGACAGATCTATTATTTGTTATTTGCTAGTGAAGCTTGAGGTACATCATTATGAATATTTTCTCTGAACACAGGGTGGTGGATGCTGCTGACTTTATAGCTATAATAAAGGTTTTATTTGAAGATGGTTAATTTGTGACCCTTCCTATGTTCTTGATGGTAAAATTCAATTCATGATAGTTGGGGCTTTTAGGCACTTGCAGTTCAGCTATATTCAAAAAAGTCGTAAGTGGTCAACTATTCCCCTAAAGCTACAAAGGTTTGAAGAATCAAAACTTGTAAACATGTTAAATTTCTTTAACTAACCCACTATGCTTATGGGACTGTGACAAAAATTATGAAAATGGCTTAAAAGTAAGTAGTATTGAACAAAATGAAATGCGGGATTATAAAATCTAGGAGTGAAATACAAAAAGAAGAAACCATTTAAAGATTATTAAACTAAAAAGAACTACTTTGGGTTTTATTTTTGTTTAATGTAGCAGCAGAATATACAGTCCACCAGACCCACCTGGTTATTTTGATGGACATGTGTGGCCCATGTATCAGAAACACAGGAGAGAAATGGAAGAAAATGAAGCAAGCATTGGTACAGCTAACATTCTTATAGTTCTGTGTCTGTGACATTTGCATAAATATTGCATAGCTACTTACGCACTTCCTGTATTCTTTTCTTTAAAAAAAATCACAATACTTCTTTGCATTTATATGAAAGGTGATAAGAGGGTCTTTAGTTCCCAAATGTTTTCTTAAGCATGATTAGACATTTATAAGCTCACACTGTTAGTGGTCAAACCGTTGTTCGGATTGCATGGGACCTTTAGTTATATCTATCTGTATGAACTGTGCCAGTGGATAGCTTATATTTATATTTATTTATTAAATTTATATACCCTGTTTCCCTGAAAATAAGACATTCCCTGATAATAAGCCCAATTGGGCTTTTGAGCGCATGAGCTAAAATAAGCCTCTCCCCGAAAATAAGCCCTCTCCGAAACTATTTAAACACAGAGCTGGAAATCAGCTAAGACGAGGAGCCGCATCTTGCTCCATGTGCCCCGAAATAATAAGACCTCCCCGAAGATAAGGCCAAGCACTTATTTTGGGGTTCAAAAAAAAAATAAATAAGACAGTCTTATTTTCAGGGAAAATATACCACTTCACAGTGCTTTTACAGCCCTCTCTAACCTGTTTCCAGAATCAGCATATTGCCCCCAACAATCTAGGTCCTTGTATGCCACACTTCTCCTCAATACAGCGATTTTGAATTTTTTCCTCTGCTGAAAGTAATTTGCATTTGTATTCCACCTTTTGCAGTTTATTTAGATGGAACAAAACCACAGGAAGACCTCTGTTCAAGGATATATGATGATATAATGCAGGAATTGGAAGACAAGTAAGTAGTTGGCCTGAGTTAAGATAATTTGCATTAAGATTTATTTATTTATTTATTTATTTATTTATTTATTTATTTATTTATTTATTTATTTATTTATTTATTTTTATATGCCGCCCTTCTCCGGAGACTCAGGGTGGCTTACAATACGTTAAGCAATAGCCTTCATACTTTTGTATATTTATACAAAGTCAACTTATTGCGCCCTCACACCGGGTCCTCATTTTACCCACCTTAGAAAGGATGGAAGGCTGAGTCGTCCTTGAGCCTGGTGAGAATTGAACTCGCAGTAATTGCAGGCAGCTGGATGTTAAATGCTGCCTTAGTAGGAGGCATTAGCCTCCTACGCCACTCAGGCTCAGAAAATGGTAGATAATGCCATATGCATCATTAGATTTATATGAGTGTGTTTCCCAGTACATCTGAAATCAAAGGAAAGTGCCTGAAAAACATAAACTGGTCCCACAGAAGTACAGTTCAACTCTTGGTTTCCTTGGACAGCTGCTAGGGCTGTGATTGTGAACCTACGGCACGTGTGTCGTAGGTGGCACACAGTACCCTCTCTGTGGGCATGTGCGGCGTCACCAGCTGCTCTTCTGGTTTCCAGTCTGCATGCTGGTCTTTGTGGGCACCAGAGTGCTGGAAAACAGCCTGAAAAACACCCAAAAAACAGGCATGTGTGCACCGGCCAGCTGAACTTCAGGTTTCCAGTGCTTCGGCACGTGTGAAGACCAGCTGGCTGGTGCACATGCACAAGCGGGAAACCTGAAGACCAGCGCACCAGCTCGTCTTCGGGTTCCAAGCATTCCGGTGCGCGCACATGCACATGCGTTCCCGTTTGGGCACTCAGTGCCTAAAATGTTCACAATCACTGTGCTAGGGTTTCAGTGTTTCACTGTCTTGTCTAACATCATTCCTCTCCACTAAATCCTACTGCAGGTATAGGCAGATTGGGGGCAGCAGTTGACACCTATGAAATGTTCACCTTTAAAAAAAATTTCCAATGCCCAGAATATTAGGTCATTCAGGTAATAAATATATTCAGTAATCTGCATGTGTTGCATACAGGTCAGTATTAGTAAACTCGCTGGAAAAAACCCATCAATATTCAGAAACATGTCATTACAGAGGTCTTACAAAATGACTGTGCCAGAAGCACAGTCCTTATCCTTATCTTTCCGTAGCTGAGGTAATGATGATCTATGTCTGGTACTCCTAATACCATTGTATTGTGGTTTTGAAAAAGAAAATGCTTCTTACATTTTACCTCTTAAACACAGGTTTATCGTGATCCTCCGAGAGCACTTAATTTTCCCTTTTACACCTAAAACTGAAGTGAGCATTCGAATTTAATTCATAAGTTTTTTTTGTTACTTATGGGGAAAGTGACTGCATTGTTATTTCTGCAAAATTATAATTTCCGAAATCTTATGTGCATATATTTGATGAACAAGTTATACCAAAATAGGGTTTATAAAATTTGCAAGTGCTACATAAAATAAATCCCTTTGCATGAATTTCTACTTTAGGTATGTAAGAATGAAGCCTGGTGTTGGAAGTCTTTGGGAAAGCAAAGGAATGCTATAATTACATTTTTCATAGTTCATTCTAAAATAAAAAAAGAATAATTTAAGGATATGTTAACATGGGAAACAGATTGACTAGGAAAAGCTACAGCACATCTTTGAACTAATACAAGCTTTGTTTTTTGTTTTTTCTACAGGTGAGCAAGGCATTATTATGCATGCATAAACCTGGTTCCCAGCCTGGAGAGTTTCATTACAATCACTTAGCTTCCTTAATGAATCACTGAAGAACATCCCAGCCCATCTCAGTTGACAGAAAAACAGTAAAAATAAATGAAAATGGGCTCTTCTGTACTATGGGATATATTGCTTGTGGTTCAGTACAAAATCAGTTGCTACAAGTCCTTTAACTCCATTCCTTTCTTCTTAATAAATATTGTCAAAAACGTAAGAGGTGGTTATATTTTATAATTGTCTCTGTACTGAATAAAGTTGGAGGTCACTTTTTGTATATATTTATGGAATTTTTTGCTCACTTGTTAACTTTTCCCTTTTATCACTTTCCTCCTGTCTATATATATTTGTTTGTATTTTTTTGAAATTTAATAAAGTTCTCTATTATAGATATATATAAAATACTGTGAGAATCAGGCTTGAAAAATGGATTACTGTTTTAGGCAAGTGCTAAAGTGCCTATCTTCTTAATGACAGTAGCTGACCATTAAAAGATTTATATATAAATAGTACTTTAAATCAGTTGAAACAGCAGCATATATAAAAAGGGGGCCTGAAGAGAAATCTATTACATACAGTAATAGCTCTAACATTAATCAATATTGTTTCTGTCATATTATCATTACCATTAGATACACTATTAAGAAATCTAATTTTCTCACTAGGTTACAGAATATATTGCGATCTCAAGGAAGAAATACTTTGGCTAAGATTTTCTGATATGTCCTTGCTATTATTGCTTATATTTTTTGTTTTGTTTTTCTAAGAGAAAAAAAAAAAAACGGAAACTTGTCTTTTCAATTCACATTTTGGGAAGAAGAAAAAAGGAGCATTTACTAATGCATCTTTGTATCCTTAAGTACTAATTTCGGTCCTTCATTTAAGTTTATTTTTCCTGTGACTTGATCCATGCAGATTTCTATCATGAAATTCAATCAGAATAGAGCTGGAAGGAACCTTGGAGATCTTCTAGTCCAGCCTCCTGCTCAGGCAAGAGACCCTGCCTATACGTTGCAAATGGAGTTCTTTTCCTGATAGGTATACCATGCACATTTGAACCAGCCTGTTTTCTTCCAGGGGGTGGTGGCAATCCTTTGTTATCAAAGCGCCCCTGATGGGAATTTGAGATACATCGTAGGCTAAGAATCGCATTTTAGAGGAACCTCTGCAGATATTCAAGACAGGCTGGGCTCATGGCGAATAGCTCAATTGCACCCATGCTTACGTGAGAATCCTATCAGTTATGTAGGATTTGGAAATGCAGAACCCCATCCTCTCCTTTCTGACTTGGGAACAATGGATACGAAATGCTGAGCCAGGTCGGAAACAGATCACACGGGCCATCAACGGGAAGCGATCCACAGCTCTAGCCAGCCAGAGCTTCAGCCTTCATTCCGCTCGGTTTTCTGAACGAAACAGATTTGCTCCATCCTTCCATCGTCTCAAAACCAGGCGCGGATGCTGAAACGCGCATGCGCGGCGGGTCGCCCGCTTTCCCCCCTCCCCGCTCCTATCACGCGCTTGCGCATTGGGTAGCCGTGCCCGGGCGCGAGCGGCGGAGTCGTATTCTGCAAAAGGCGGTTGGCTGACCCTCCGCCTTAACAGCTGTTCTCTATGAATCAGGAAGCGCGTCAGCGTGCGCGGAAAAGGGCGCGTAGAGCCCGAGCGGCCGTTCGCTTTCGGCGTCGGGGGAAAGCGGCCGAGATGTCGGTGCCCACCGCGTGCGCTCTGTCTCGGCGAGGGCGGCAGGAGCTGCCGCCGCCGCCGCGAGGCAAGGCGATGCGCGGAGACAGCCGGGAGAGCGAGGAAGACGAAGAACAGGCGGAGCCGCCCAGACGGGATGGAGAAGAGGCGGCAGGGAACACCCAGTGCGAGCGGGACTCTCTGCCGCAGCTGGCGACCACGAAGTTGGACGGGAAAGAGGAGGAGAAGCAGGAACGGGAGCACTTCCGGAGAATTATCAATGCCTTCCGTTACTATGGGTAACCGATTACTCCCCGCTTACTCTTCCGGAGAATTATCAATGCCTTCCGTTATTATGGGTAACCGATTCACCCCCGCTTACTCTGATACCCTTCATCCCCATTATCTGCTGTGTGGAGTATAGGAGCCCTGATTCGGATCCACCCGTTCATAGCGATATCTACCCACGGAGGCTGGGGCGGTGGTGGTGGGGCTTGAGTGAACAAGGGCTGGAAATAACAGGTAGTCCTCGACTTAACGACAGTTCCTTTAGTGACCCTTTGAAGTTGCAACCGCACTAAAGAAAGGGACTATTTTTCACTCTTATGACCGTTTGCAGCATCCCCACGGTCACGAGATTTGCATTCGGAGCTTGACAACTGGTTCATATTTATGACGCTTGCAACATCCCCGGGGCTCATCTTTTGCGACCTCCTGACCAGCAAAGTCAGTCCGGGGAAGCCGGATTCACTTAACGACCGTGTTACTAATTTAACAACTGCAGTGATTCGCTTAACAAATGTGGCAAGAAAAGTGGTAAAATGGTGTCAAAACATGCTCAACAAATTTCTCGCTTAGCCACATAAATTATGGGCTCAGTTGTGGTCGTAAGTCAAGGACTGCCTGTACCCAGTTCAAGCCCGGCCTCAATCATGGAAACTCATTGAGGGACTTGGGACCAGTTCACTTTCTTTCAGCCCAGTTTGCCTCACAATCAACCTTAAGCTCTAGGGAAAAAGCTGGGATACCCATTTAATAAATATTTATGGTACTCAGAAATTCACCCTGCTGAATACACTGGGACTTACTCTGAAGTAAGATGCCAATCTGACACCATCCAGATGTTTTGAAGCCTAATTTAGGGTTCCTATTGATCTTAACCATTGGATGGAGATTATGAGAGAGCAGTTGGGAATTCTGTTTTAGAGCACATCTTTTCTATTATTTAAGGCATGAAATGAAGCGATGTCTGCTGTTTAAGGGAATTATGGCACATTTAGATAACTTGTTAAACTGCAGAGACATCGCACCTAAGTAGATGCATGTATTTTGAAGGAAGTTGTAACATGTGGTTTTGAAAACTGGGTCCTCAAAAAGTCTGAATGAAGAAAAAAGATCTCTTTGAGTTCTTCCACTGGAAAAATTATTGAGAATGTCTTGGATGACATAAAGAACAAATTATTTGTTCTTTAGTGTAATCAACGTACACTACATAAACAAACAAATTGTTTATGTAATGTTTATTGGAGGTGGTGACCCTTTGAGACCTGTATGCAATGGAATTTCATTTTAATGTATGCGATTAGTGACAAAGTTATTCTAACTTCTAAGTAAGTTCTTTTTAATATTAAAGAAAATAAAATGAAGCCACTTGTGGAAGCACTCATAAAAAACTGGTTTAAATATTTTGGACATATAATATGAAGGCAAGAGTCACTAGAGAAGGTCACTGAAAATATAAAAGTGAATTTAAAGAAGGCCAACAGAAGATAAAATGGATAGATAACACTGATCACGTGTGCATAGCCTTTCAAGAATTTAAAAAGCTGTTACTAGCAGATAAACTTGGGGAAATGAGGTCTGTTAGATCACGAAGAGTCATAAATGATTGAACAAAAGCAAACACACAAACTAAGGATTCCTGGCAGTAAGACCTATTGAATTTAGCAAAATTCTGAGTAGTTGTGGACAGGATTGTTTAAATGCTTATCATTTCATTTCTGTTTCCAAAATCATAGAAAGAGTAGATGAAGATACCAGTGTCAATTACATAGTATATTAAGTTTTCTAAATTACCACTTCCAAATGTATTGCCATGTCCATATTCATTGATTTAGTGTTTCAGTTTGTGGTTAGTGTTAGGAATCCATCAAAATGAATTTCAACAGGACCCTCTTTTTAAATCTTTTTAGCCTGTACCAATTGTATCTGTGAACGTAATGGAACTGCCAAATCTGCAGCTCATCTTAGTATAGATTATTAGTAATTTTTAATTGTGTTTTTAATAAAAATTATGTTTATTAATTGCATTTCTACAATGGCAATGTCTATAATTTAATTATAAAATGCATTGTCTCTCCATATGTTAGAACCATTTGAAACAGCCACAGAATAAACCTAAAACAATTTAAATGAAGTCACAATTCAGCAAAAGTTTAAAATATATTTATCTTCTGCTTTCTGTTGTCTGAAACAGAAGTTTTTTGAAACAATATCTGTGTGCTGTTTTAAAAGCTTATAAATCTAAATGATGACAGGCCGTATGCACTTATTATTTCTTTTAAAACAACATGATCCAAGTAACTGAAACATATTTATTTTATTTATTTATTTATTTTATATCCAATTTATATACCGCCCTTCTCCCTGAGGACTCAGGGCGGTGTACAGCTGAACAAAAACATAAATTACAAAAATTAAAATAGTATTAAAAGAATATATATAAATTTGGCCCCGTAATTTAAGAACATGTTATTTGTTAGTAATAGAAAATAGATTTTGGAACATTGTTCTGTCTAGCAATGAGATTCATGGGATCCTAAATTGCTAATTTTGACAGGAGTCTAACCTTATGTTCTCATGTCCTGGCATATTGACTTTGGGTGAAATTATATCTGATAAATATATGTGTGTGATTAAAAAATGTTTTTCAGAACTTTATTTTACTCATTATTTTTGATACTTGTTTTTTTTTTAATTTTAGAATTAATATGCATGAAAGAGTGACTCGTGCAGAGAGACAATTTAGAACACTTCCAGCCATGCAACAGAAATTGTTACCTCAGTTTCTCCCTCATCTTGACAAGATTCGAAAATGTGTTGACCACAATCAAGGGATCTTGCAGTCTATTGTGAATGACTGTACCCGAATGTTTGAAAATAGAGAATATGATGGTGATGTATGTTGAACATTTTATTTTTAAAAGAGCAATTGTGTTGTATTCAACTTATTTTAATTTTAATTTTTTTAGTGATTCATAGATGGGCTTTTTTACACATGGAATAGTTTACAAATTATTTGGGTTAAATTAAGAAAATTCTAGGAAAATTGATAAATCTTTTTTTGGATTTTACAAATGAAATACCTTTCTAGTCCATTCCAGTAAACCATGATTCTCTTTCATTAGTGATAAGGAGGAATGTTTTCACAAATAGAAGATATATACTTCTACAAAAGCTATTCCCACTCATTCAAATTTGGTCTTGTCTTTTGAAATAAAGGTAATTAGATCTTTTCCAATTATACCCTGATTTTTTGCTTGAAGCTGATTCTTACTTTCCACAGGTGCCCACTATTTATTATCTTCAGTTTATCCTTATGTCCTGGGAATTACTGAAGGTTTTGATATTCAGTTATAGTGGAAAACAGTATTTTAGTTTTTATTTTTCCCTTTTACATTTAAACTACTTTCAAGACATAAACAATGTTCCTTTCTTTAGCCTTAAACTTTTCAAGTGTGGTTAACAGGGTCCAAATGCTGTTCATATTAATATGAATAGTTCCATTCCCCTTTTCAGATAAGATCATGTTTCAGGAGTACAAGGAAGATTTTTTTAACACCCATTTTCAGCTCTAGTCAGAACTAAGCATGGATGTGTGTGCTGATTATTGTCCAGTTTTACTTATATGTGCTCTATCCTAATTCTACTTAATTTTAGAATTAAGAAAGACCTTACAGGTATTAGTGAAATTTTTTCCAAATTCTATCACTGGCACACCTACTATTAATTGGCCTTGATTTAACTGGAGATATTTTGATTAGTAAAAACTTCTTTATATTTTTCTTTTCCATCATTTTGGATCCTATTTAAAGAGTAAATAAGATCTCTGTGCCAGGCTTTCTTCCTCTTCATCACTCTGAATTATCTCCTAGATCACTTAATGGACTTTAGATGATTCATGATCTTTCAGCAGCACAAATACTGCCTGATTCATTTTAGGATTACTAGCCCTGGTTTTAAACTAACAGCTGTTTTCAGCAGCTACTAGTCATATCTAAGTACATGTTCACCATTTAATTGCCAGTTGTGACCTCCATTTCTAACCTTCTCAGTTCCTTACTTCCCTCTTTGCTAGTCCATATTTATCAGTTCTCTTTCTAAATATAAACTAAATGTAATATGTATTCTCAGCACTTTATCAACAAAGCAAGTATTGACTTATATTGGGATATCTGTAGGGACACATGAAGTAGCAATGAGAAGCTATTACTGAGAAAAGACTCACCAAACAACTTTTATTCTGAATAATGAATGTCAGCTTTTTGATGTGTTATATATATTGTGTGACAGTATCATGTAACATATGTGAAGAGTTGATTTAGGATATCAGTCTTAATTTAGGTTCCAGTTATTAGCCCTACATTGTTATATTAACCAAGATGTTATGATAATGTATCAGATTAATATGTAGCTAACTTTTTTTAAATTAGGGAAATGGAAAGATTACACCAGCTTCAACTTTTGACATGGATAAATTAAAATCCACTCTGAAACAATTTGTAAGAGATTGGAGTGAAACTGGGAAACCTGAGAGAGATTCTTGCTATCAGCCTATCATTAATGAAATTGTAAAGAACTTTCCAAAAGACAGATGGTAAATACCTTTTAAAATATTTATTTAAAGAGAAGATATGCACAATAATGCATTTCTGGTAAAGGTTACTGGAACTGGTCTTTGAAAATTTGTTTAGATCATAAGGAAAAAAACCGTTGTGAATGTTTGCCGTCTTTTTAAATGGCTTCACTTAAAATGTAATTGCTATTACTAAACAGATCAGCAAAGAGAGTAAAGTTTATAGTTACAAGAATAACATACCACTTAACTTCGATAAGATAGCTCTTTTATTAGCTATAACAGCTATTTCATAATTTGGAAAGATACGTTGAGAAGACCACAAGATGACTTGGCTATATCTTTTAATTTTTTTTAAGAGCCAGAGATGAAAGGAACTAAAAGCTCTCGGTACCACAGTTCTTTTGTGAGACCTAATGATCATATTTTATCTCAAGGAGAGAGCAAATCAACCATTGGAAGGGAATAGCAGTAGTATTAGTAGTCTCTTTATAGGTGAGATGTAGTTATTTGAGATTCTTTATTAAATGGACATAGCATGGCAGTCTTGACCCACAGTCCAATGTTTCCCTTTTCTGTTTTGAGAGAATTGATTTGATAACTGGTGGGCTAAGGTGGAAAAACGAAGTCTGTTTTAATCTCACTTTAACACAGCTTGTAATTGCTACTGCATTACTGAAGAAAAAAAAAGCTAAAAAGCTCATTCATAATATAACATGAATACCCTTCCCTTGTTAGATTCAAGGCATTCAAGAATGTCTTCAAATATAGAAAAATTTACGGTAAGTTTTTATATATTTAAATAAAAGGGTTTGACTTTTTCAAGAACCCCCACTTTCCCACCCAGCTTTGTGGAAAAAGGGATATGTGTGTGTGAATTTTTTAACTGTGTAGGGATATTAGTAAATGTTAAGGATTAGCATTTTTTCCCCTTCTTTTGAAATATAAAGGTTTCCCCCCCCTTCTGTAGAGTAAGGTTTTTTTTAAAAAAATATTTTTTTAACTAGGTAGTGGGGTTGATCATCTGTGATCCATTTTGAAATATTTTGTCCTATAGACAAAATATAGCAGAGTCTCAGCAAAATTATAGTGTGGCCAGCCCAAATCATTAACCACACTAGTATGTCTTCTGCACAATAAAAGTCAAAGACAACAATGTTAAATCTCAAGAACCAACAAAATAGAGACATTCTATGTGGATATGTCTTTATTTAAAGAAGCAGAATATGTTCTTTGACTGTAATGTAGCTTATTCATCTGGAAAGTTAAGGAATACGTTGTCATTTCTTAGCACAGATATTGAAGCAATACATAAATAAATCATCCCAGAATATTCTGAATGTTTACTTCTTTTTCTAAACAATATCAAAACACCACAGTCAGATGAACATTTTAAAATGCTATAATTAGTGATAAATACTGTGGTGAGAGTTGGGCAATAAACTATACCACTTATTTTTTAATTAAACATAACCTGTATAGCAGGCCTGTCAAACTGGCAGCCCGCTGGCTGGATATGTCATGCACAGGCCACGCCTACCCCAGCTCTGCAAAGGCAAAAAACGCTGCGATACGTCACAATCCGGCTCGTGACGCGAGTTTGACACCCGTACTGTATAGCAAATAAAATGATAGAATATTGTGACTTTATAAAAGTTCACATTTCACATTTATTATTTTAATTGGAAGTAATAAAAGAATCAAAAAGTATATTTTTAATGGGAAGAATGAACTCCTTAGTTTTGCATATTTTTTTAGATCTGGATTTTATTTTTGAGAAAGCTAATTTCACTTGTCCCACATTTATTTTGAATCAGTTTCAAAAAAAACTAGAAAATCTGACAGTTGTTCAGGGGAGAATGAGCCTCCCCCACCCCAATTTATAATCCCCTCAGATTTCTTTATTCTCCACATTTTGAAAACCGCTTTCTTAAAGAATTTGGCTTGTCTAAATAAGTGTAATCATTTGTTCAGTTGGAAAAAGACTTCGATTTTTCAAGTGCAAATTTATTCAGTTTATATTTTACTTTTCTGCTCAGTCAGGAACTTGGGAAAGCTGAATATTGGATTACATTCAATATTTCAAGAGCAGGTTTCTGCTTATACAGAATTACCTGCCCCAAATCTGTTACAGAAGGTCTTAGTCCTGGAACATGCTTGAACCTCTACACAGAAAATATAGACCGAGATTAATAGTCCTATCTACTGGCTGAAATAGAATCTTTCAGTGGAATGACACTGAGTCAGTACAATATTGATGGATGCACATAGTCATAATAAACTTTGGTGAAACTCAAACTGGTTTGGGGTTTTGCAAAAGAAGTATATATTATTCTTGTGTTAAATCGAGCAAAAGTGGAACCAACAACCAAGGCCAAATAAAGAGCCAGCAAGTACACTGGTTCTTTGTAATTATTCTTTGGACAAGAAGAGGACTTGAGATTGCCCCCAAGTGCTCTATACAGATAACTCCCTGCAAGAACCTGTGAGACAGGTTTCTGGTGGGTTTAGAGCTTTGGGAGATGATGGAATAACCATCTTGCTGAAATTTTGCTTTGTGCCTTTAAAAAGGATACTGGGTTCACATACTTTTCAAATCACTTTTGGCTAGTGCTTGTTAACTGCTTTTCAACTATTAAGAATCTTTGCACTGACAGGTTTTACAGCATTGGGTGAGTTTCCTTCAATCCTTATAGCAAAATAAGTTTTAAATGCAAATTTAAGGACTTACAAAAAATACCTTATTTTTTTTTTTAGAATAGACAGCAAAAGAGTGATTATAACTTTGATTTTTGAAAGTTACAGATGAAGGGTCCAGATGGATTTGAATGTGGGAAAATGCTTTGGTTTGAATTCTTAAAAAAAAAGGATGAGATTTGGAAGGTTGAGAGAGAACCAGAAGGAACTAAAGATTATAATTAGAGGAGAATAATACTTAAATCTGATTTACTAATACAGAATGAAGCAAAATATTTTGGACATTGGACATATTGAAGACTTTTGGGACAATGGAGGCAAATTAATTTTTAGAATTTTTAGATTTTGTTTAATTTTTAAAATTAAAATTAATTGTTATTTGTTACGAAAGGGGAAGTTATATAAGTTACAATTATTTAAAAATGGATTTAAAAATGACAGGCTACAAGAATGATATGAAAAAGCTGCTCTAATGGATATATAAAATGCTATTATAATTATTATATTTTAAATTATAATTAAAAAGTTATACAAATAATAAAGCAAAAGAGTGGCCTGGTTTCTTATATTGGATTTACAAAAGAGGCTTGTTAAAGCTTTTAAGAATTTTGTTGGAAGGATCAAAGAAATGAAAAGTAATAAAGCTCTAGTCTAGTACATTATTTGAAGGAATTAAAAATCAAGATTGTTAACAAAAAAGGAAGGATTCTAAAATTGATTTCTTTGATCAAAGTTAAAATAGATATGTTGTTATTTCTGGTAACCCTTCATAGACATTTGCTGATTAGGACTGAAATGAGGAGGCAATTAAAGTTTTGTTTATTGATAAGATATGTGACATGGAAAAAAGAGATCATTTGTTTTATTTTAACAGAAGGGTGGTAAATTCCTAAAATTGCTTAGACTTGTTGGGATGAAGGGAGATGACTGACTGACTGACTGATATATATCCCCTTTACTATATTCTTTTAGTTTCTATACCTTTATGAACTTTTTATTTTTCCTTTTATTTCTTCTATTTTATTTTTTAGTTTGTATTGGTTTTTATCTTTCCAATTGTAATTTTTAATAAAATTACTATTTAAAAAGATATTAATGTTTGGTATAGTGGTTAAGATGCTGGCCAAGAAACCAGGAGACTGAGTTCTAGTCCCATTTTAGGCACTAAAGCCGGCTAGGTAACTTTGGGCCAATCAATCTCAGCCACCTCACAGGATTGTTGTTGTTGGGAAAATAAGAGGAGGAAAAAGTATAATGTGTTTTCCACCTTAAAGTAATAAAGGCAATATTAAAAAATTAATATATAAAAGAGTTCTTTAAAATACTGATGAGCTTATATAGCTTAGTGCTGTGTGTCTAAAAAAAGTCAGCATCACCTGATTGTTTATATTATACATTTCACTTGATTAAAGATTGGATCACTATTCATAGTCATTTGATTTTACTACGTCTTTCCTAGTATGCTTGGCTTATCCAGATGTGTATGTTTCCTGAAGATGGGCAAAGAGCAACATAAACAAATTTGTTCCTGTTTTTGTACTGAAACTTGTTAGGAACAATAATGATATAAGTTCTTATTATCATTTTTACATGGTCATTTCAGGACTGTTAGAAACTGTCTAAAGTTTACTTAAGCTTACGTAGCATATTTTTCATATTCAGGGGAAGGAAGTTATTTTGTTAGGGAATAGTAAGATGACTGTTTTAATTCTTAAAATAATTATAATTATTGAAATAAGACCTTCAGCTCTTAGACAACATAACTATTGTTGAGAATTTTGGAAATTAACTCCACACATCTGGAGAGGCGAGATGCTGGGAAAGGCTGATTCAAAATATACCTCAAAAGGCATGATAATGCTCAAGGCTCTCAGGGTTTAATATGTACCATTGCAGAAATGCAGAATATGTACCATTGCAGGGCTGGCTACGGTATTCTATTGCAAAGATCTATTGCAAAGATTTGTATTTAAAGATTTTCCTAAAACATTACAGATGGAGGATCGTAAAACATCTCATTCTGTTAATAGCAATAGCTGTTAGTTAATAGTAATAGCAATAGCATTTAGACTTACATATCGCTTCCTAGTGCTTTACAGCCCCTCTCTAAGTGGTTTACAGAGTCAGCATATTGCCCCCAAGAATCTGGGGTCGCCATTTTACCGACTTCAGAAGGATGGAAGGCTGAGTCAACCTTGAGCCAGTCAGAATTGAATTCCTGGCACTGAGCAGTGAGTTAGCGTGCAATACTGTATTCTAACTACTTCCCCACCACGGCTCTTAATAGAATGTAATGCAAAATGAAACATGCATGCATAATTTGAATAGCAGTACTATATTGGGATCCACCGAAATCACCAGGTAGTAAGATGGTGTTTCATAGAATGGCATGGATGTCAGAGTAATAGAATAGAACATTTTGGTAAAGGATATAGCTGTGACTGGTCTCTGGTATGTGACAGATTTTCAAAAATTATTCACCAAGCTAATTATTCAGTGCTGTATTTGTAAACTTGAAAGTAAAGTAAATCACTGTCTTAAGTACAAAGTATAGCATAGCTGTCAGGAATTCTGGGAGCTGGAAGTCCACAGGTCTTGAAGTTGCAACCAGTCTAGATAGCAATAGCAATAGCGCTCAGAATTATATACCACTTCACAGTGCTTTACAGCCCTCTGTAAGTGGCTTACAGAGTCAGCATATTGCCACCAACATTTTACCGACCTCTGAAGGATGGAGGGCTGAGTAGATAGTAATCTTACCATTGTTCATTTATTTATTTACAAATTTACCTGGGAGGAAATCCCTTTAAATAAAGTGGAATTTAAATGTTACAAGACAAGGATAAGGTTTACATTGTAAGTTTCTGCAAAGTGCAAACCAAAATCACAATATTCTTCAGTGCAACCTGAAGAATGAAACCAGTGATTTTAAAAAAGATACTTTCTTTTCTGAAATTATATTGCTGTAGTAGCTTTCCAGCATTTAAAAGAATCAGGCCACTTGCAGGACTGAGACCAGAAAAAAAATACATTGTAAAACATAAATTTAGCAAATTTAAATAACAATAACAAATAATTTTCTCTGTGTAGAATCAGTAGACCTGTTGAAGTTGACTTTTTGCTAGAATAAACCAAGCTTGAGAAATAGAAGACGCGATCCAAAATGAATTGGCACTATTTCTCTCAAATATATTTAATTAAAGATTAACCCTTTTTCTTGTTTCAGGGATCTCTCAAGAGTAAATGTCCTGGTCCCTGGTGCTGGGCTAGGTAGATTGGCCTGGGAAATAGCTATGCTTGGTTACACTTGCCAAGGAAATGAATGGAGCCTCTTTATGCTCTTTTCTTCTAATTTTGTACTGAACAGGTACATATACCGTCTTGTACATGTGGTTCTACTCTTGTGTTTTTGAACAGGCCAGCACTGACACTGTTATTTCATGAAATTCAGGTTCTTTAACTGAGTGTTTAATGTTTGGGTGTTTGATATTTCACATACTACTTTAAATTATTTAAATGCTAAACTAATATGCCGTATGGATGTTATATGGGAGGAATTTATTGTATTTCATATGTGCTCATTTTAATCAACTACACTTACCATTTTCAGATGCCATATTCAGGGTGACAAACTGTTCAAATTGGTTAAATAATTTTTCAGTTGTATATAATAGGAAATGATATAGTAATGGTGGGCATGGTGCTTCTCAGCACATCAAGATTCTGCTACCAAAATTCATCTTCAAAATGGCTAAAAGGTTTTTTCCAACCTTAAACCCCCAACAATCACCAATAAATTGCCTTGTCTTTGCCTGATTCCAGATTTATTTTTATAAATAAAAGTGGAAACCTCTAGAAAGGCAAACTGCTCTTACTTGTAAGTTCCTGAATATCCTGGAGAGGAAAAAAAAATAGGCCTGCCCTTTCTAGATCACCTACAAGAGGTTAGACATTTGAGTTGTCTGTAATCTGTTTTAACTTTAAAGATTTAATGATATTAATTTTAAGCAATGAATAAAGTTGTTTAAAAGTTGTTCAAAGTTGCTTAAACAACTACATTCCGTTTCTTTAAGAGTCTTCATAAACTTTTAAAAAGCAAATGTTTTTTGTAGTTGCTTCTTTGTAGTAGGTTACAAATAATAAGTGAAAAGTTGCAGCAATTATTTTTAAGAAAGAAAAATAATGTTGATGTTAATTATCAAGTTGTATTTGAAAGACCACAAACTAAAATATTAAACTTTGTATTGTTTGGTAATAATAAATAACATCTTTTCGATAATTATATGTTACAGATGCTGTGAAACTAATTCATGTAAATTATATCCCTGGATTCATCAGTTTAGCAATAACAAGAGATCTGCTGATCAAATACAGCCAATTTATTTCCCGGATGTTGACCCTCACAGTCTTCCTCCTGGTGCCAACTTTTCTATGACAGCAGGCGATTTTCGAGAAATCTACTCTGAGAGTAGTAAGTGGGGAGGGGCAGGAACTAGACTTGGAAAATGAAATTTGTCAAATTCTCAAAAACAAAGCAATATTAGATAATTAAAGTTATTTTTTGTAAACAATTTAAAAAGCCTTAAGTTAAAAAAAAATGAATGCATCTCCGTTTTTCTATTAAAGTGTCTTATAATTTTACTGAAAGATATTTAGTTCTCTGATCTCATCTGTTTGGGTTGTTTTATCAGTTAGCAAATAAGACTTGATGATGTTTTAGCATTACAATAAAGAGCAGGAAAGTCTTTGTGCAAAATAATAAGATTTGATCAGCTTCTTTTTCCTTTTCTCCCAGATAGAAAATAAATACAGATAGTTCTCAACTTATGACCATTTATTCAGTGACCATTCAAAGTTATGATGCTGCTTAACAAATGATGGTTACAAGCAGGCTTCAGCATCCTGGCCACCCCAGCACTCCTGTGATCATATGATTGTGATCTGCTCTCACTTAATTAATAGCAGTGCCCCACGACATTCTTGCCTGTTATGACCTTCTCTGCTACTTCCCCAAAAAGTCAATGGGGAAGCTGGCAGGGAAGGTTACAAGTTGCTGCAGTAAGTCTCCCCCATCCTTGCACCTTTCCCTAGCCTCCTTGCACATCCCCATGCACCTTTCCTGTGCCTCCCCATGCCTCCCCACCACTCATACATCTTTGCTCACCTTCCTCAAATCTTGCCATCCCTTCCTTGTGGAAACTCCCAGAGCCTTGCATGCTTTCCTTGTGCACCCTTGCATATTCCCTCATACACTACTGTGCATCTTGTGTTCTCCCATTCCTGGCAGCAACCATTTACCTGCTTGCCAGCTGCTTGCAAACCACCCAGAATTTGCAATTTCCTGCTGACTTCTCCATTGACTTGGTTGTAGTAAACTGACAGGAAGGTGCCTTGCGTAACGACTGTGGGATTCAGTTCACGGTGGCAACCAGGACTGCAGGGATAGCTTTACTAAGCAGTGCGGCTTGAACTTTTAAGACCAACATTGCTTAATGACATAAATTTCAGTCCCAATTGCCATCATAAGTCAAGGACTACCTGTAAACCAGAATCACTTTAACAGTACCATCTACAGAACAAGTAATGATTTAAAATAGATTCAAGTTTACAAAAAACAGAAACGCAGAACACAGTGGTTGAAATGGTCTTGTTTAACATTTGACTAGAATTCATTTTATCTTTACATGGCTGTGTGTTTTGACAGAGGGACAAACCAATCAACTGAACTGGTAGTTCCTCTAAAAAGATTTCATACAACAGGACTTTTGGAAGTAGAAGACATTGCTACCTCTTTCATTAAATGACTACAAGCGTCTTGGGGGAGCATCTTCTGCTTTTAGTTTTCTTTTCTCTATTACTAGTAATGTCTAATTAAATACTACAGATTCTTGCTAGTTCCTTTAGGCTAATGACAGTTAAAATCAAATGGTTTAATTCTACAAATTAATGTATTAGATTTTTCTGCATAAGTAGACTCTTTGGAATTAACTATTTACTACGCATAGTTGCAGCAAAGGAAATGGGTGAAAATTAAGACACTGAACTGAGCACAAATAACTATTACTCTTAAGTCTTCTTTATGATGGTAACCTGCAAGTTTCATTACACAGCTAGACTATTCTCTGTTCCTGTTTCTATATACAGATATATGGGATTGCATAGCAACCTGTTTCTTCATAGACACGGCACACAATGTCATTGATTACATTGATACAATATGGAAAATACTTAAACCGGGAGGAATATGGATCAATTTAGGTAATTTACTAGGTCTTTTGAGTGTAATAGAAAAGGCTGCAGTATTTGTACATTGTACTTTAAGTATAATACAAGGGAATTCCAGCTTGATCTAAAGCCTTTGAATTAAGAGCATTGTCAGTTTATAGGTTAAAGCTTTTGATAGTCTTTTATTTCAATTCATTTTGGGGAAAGAAACCAATCAATCAACCAGAATAGAACTGGAAGGGTCCTTGGAGGTCTTCTAGTCCAACTTCCTGCTCAAGGAGGAGACCGTGTACCATTTCAGACATTACAATTCAAAGTAGATTGCCAGAAGGATCTTATAAAACATTTTAGAACAACAGAATCTACTTTTAAATCGGAAGAAAATGCAAATGTGCTTCAGGCACTACTTACCTGTGTATTTACCCAGGCCTTCAGATCATCTACGGAGTCCCTTCTCCAACTCCTTTCAGGAGGTAAGGACAGAGGGAGAACCTTTGTGGTGGGACCCCATTCATGGAATTCCTTCCCCAAAGAGGCTTGATTGATGACCATACTGGCAGCATTTCAGTGCCAAGTGAAGACCTTTCTATTTTGCCAGGATTTTTATATTGTTTATATTTGCATTGTCTTGCAAATATAAGACAATGCACTGTACAGTTGTCTTAATTTATAATTATAATTAATGGTGTGTTTATTTTGCATTTTATTTTATATTTTTTATTCGGACTGTATTTGTAATGTGCTTTATTGTAAACTGCCTGATGGGTTTCAGCTACTAGGCAGTTTTTTTTTTAAAAAAAGAATTAATAAATTATTCTTGATCTCAGAAGGATTTAGTAAAGTTACTGCTTTTTCTAATATATCCTAGGTCCTCTTCTTTATCATTTTGAAAATTTAGCAAATGAATTATCTATTGAATTGAGCTATGAGGATATAAAAAATGTAATATTACAATATGGATTTCATATTGAGGTAAGAAATGTTGACTTTCACATACCAATAATAATGTTAATATATAATTCCTCATTCTGTTCGTTCATCACATGATTAATTACTATGATAGTAACAAGATGATTAATTTGTCAATATTCCATAATGAAGGTTTGGGAGCAAAGTGCCCTTTGGGCAGAAAAGAATTTAAAAAAAAAATCAGATCCTCAAAACATGATTTTTGCATATTTAGAGATGCCTAAACATGCAAAGATGGATGGATGGGACTATGAATAAAAACAAAATAGAATAAAATAACTTGTAAACTCCCAAGATAAATGGAGCATGCAAGTGTTAGTGGAGAGAAGGGGCGAGTAAATGTTCATGTTGGGGGACAGGAGAGGCATAGTGATTGATTCCTAATTGTTTACGAACATGCTCTAAACGAAGAGAAGGGCAGTTGGAAAGAACACATGAGTTTAAATAATTTTTCACCTTATACTGACAAATTTCAGTTGTGTAGCATTACAGTAGCATTTCATGTTTGAAATGAAATGCAGATAACTAAAGAAAATACTGTTTATTTTTCAGATGGAGAATGAATCTGTTTTAACAACATACACTGTGAATGAATTATCTATGATGAAATACTATTATGAATGTGTTATGTTTGTGGTTAGGAAACCAGAAAGCAGTATCTGAAACAGACTGTCCAAAAAGAATATTGCTGGCATTTTTGTTAACAATGTTAGCAGAACATGAAGTGGCCTGTAAGGGATGACTGGACCCAGCCTCTTATTAGCGGTGCCTTTTTATTCCTAACAGAATGTAACTCTTTTTATTTTCTACACTCCTTAATGATATCCAAACATGCATTTCTGCATTATTTATATTTGGGTTATTAATGTGGAATTCAAATATTTATGTATCTGTTCTTTCCATTTTATTGAACTGGTAATTTCGGAAAGATTTATATTTTAATACATTATTGACATTCATCATTCTCTGTAATATACAGAAATGGATGCATACATTTGTATGAAAGAAACACTACCGGATACAAAACTGAACCCCCTCCCCACAGACATATTGTTTAGAAAACAAATACAAATCTCAGTTAAAGTATTTTGATCAGTATTTTAGTGATTTTTCTAAAAGGATCCTCCCCCCCAAAAAAATGCAAATACTGCAAAAAGTATCATGTGAATGTGGCTGTTTACATCTCAAAGCTTTAGAAAAGGTAAGAAAACTTTTGTAAAAAAAAAAAAAAAACAGACCCTCACATTTGTCCTCATATGAATTTTATAACAAAATTGATTGACACAGAGCTGCAATCAATAATGTTGCTTTGGCTCATACCATGTTGAGCATATGGATAAATAGTTTGAAACACTGATATATGGAAGCTGTTACTATAAATGTACTACTTGTCTAAATGAGACTAGGTAGGTTTGTACAAGTCCCAAAATGAAGATCTGGAAGTATTCCTAAAAGATGTTTGGCATTGATTCATACTGTCATTGAAGGCATTATTTTTTCATAGAACAAGTTCATACATGGTAAAACCAAATTCTTTTAGGACAGCTCTGTTGGTAATTTGCTGAACTGCCCCACGTTATGATATACTGACACAAGTACAGAAACAAACTGGATAATTATGTTTTGAGAAATGTACTATCAGTCCTAGATCTCATGGTTTAACTTACTGGAATCTCTCATAATTTTGCACTAATTGCCATATGATTACTCTTTACTAGGCATAACTTGAGCACTAGCTCTGTTCAGATTCAGATCACTCACTGCCATGAATTCTAGTTATTAAAGTACAGTTTATGCAAGATTTCTTTAAAATTAATCCTAGGTAAAATTTATGGAAATTAATATACCATCTCAAAACAAAGAAGTTAGGCATTCTTCCATACTCTTAATATATTGACTTAGCTTGCAAATATAGTCCAAAATGCTTCCAGTGAATTGAGCTAAGAAGATATAATCTAGGGCACATGACTGGCTTTTGAGATACCAAATAATGCAAGAGAATCAAGGTTTATATTTTCTTTTATGCTACTAAGGCCTAGTTAACTATTATGTGTCCTTTTTCAAGTTGAAAGGTTAAAGAATAATTTTGCTTCCTGCTGTACTTGAACTAGAAATAGAATATATTGCTCTATGAGCAACGCTGTTAGTTATTTAAATTCATAGTGCAAAAAGTCAAAATTAAAATTTGCTTGTTTAAGTTCCTTGGCTCATATAAACTGCAGAATATGACACCTTTGTGCTTTTTTAAAATTGATCTTTTAGGGAAAACTGAATTCCCATATTGGAGCAAGCTGTAGCCATTCTGTTACCCCCAGTAACTCATGTAGATATATGTTCAAAGTTGCCTTTCAGTGCAAACTTATCTGACAGTAAATTCCATTGAAGTCAGTGGGATTGATTTCTCAGTGGGTATTGGATTATTCTATTGATATTTTTCTCCTATCTTTGCTAAATGCAGGACACAACTACTGTGTCTACTTTTCATCCTAGAAAATGCTCTTTTACAACTTAAACTGTCTGAAACTACTTTGGAACTAATGTAATTTACGCATCAGTGCTCAAATAATTTTTATTGTACATCAAGTGTCTTAAATTCATCAGATTTATTTACTTTTTACATTTTTTGTTAAAATTGCAAGTATTAATCCTTTAAGTCATTAAATTAACATTTTCTTTCCAATTTTTTCCGATTCCCGATTTGAACTCCATTTTTCATGTAAAGTATTTGTGTGTATACTTTGAAATTCAGCAGTAACTAATTTTTAAGGAATATAAAGATTTTTCTTCTTCTACATGTGTACAATACTTTCAGAATAAGGACATGGCAAAGATTACTGGAAATTGAGAATTAGGATTTATTTTCCAATACTGATATGTAGAATTCATATTCTGTATCCTACAATAGAACTATCATGGGTTAATCTTTGTTAATTCTTGTATGTATGTTTGCATACTCTTTGTATATTTGCACACAATAGAAAATTATCTATTTTGATCAAAGGAGGCTGGCAGTTGTGATCATTTTATGATCATGTGTTGTATAACATTAAAAGGTACATATGCAGCCCCATTAAATGAAAGTAAATTTAAAAACGTAAAGTATCCTTTATTTCAAATAGTGACTTTGCAACCATCTGCGAATATTACTTCCAAGTAATGTAGCAAGTGAAGTTTAATTTTTTTCTATTGATCTATAATGGAACTATGACCACTATTCTGTTTTTTCGGTATTACTGACCTTACTTCCATTGTGTAAATTATCTCTGAATACCTTTTCGTCATCTTTTTATTAGTTGACAAATGACAAGCTTTGAAAGCTTGTGAATCCCAGGTCATTTAAATAACAAAATACTGGGTATTCAGTATCAAAGCTTGATTTTCACAATGCAGGTGTGTCATGGATTAAACAAGAGAGATATTGGAGGATCTTTAAAAAAAATCTCAGCTGCTGATATTAGCTAGTCTGGAAAAGATTATAAAACTACAGGTAGTCCTCAACTTACAACAGTTCATTTAGTAACCATTCAAAGTTACAGCGGCACTGAAAAAAGTGACTTTTCACAATTATGACTGTTGCAGCATCCCCATGGTCACGTGATCAAAATTTAGACTCTTGGCAACTGATTCCTGATGATGGTTGCAGGGCCCCAGGGTCATGTGATCACCTTTTGTGACCCTCTGACAAGCAAAGACAATGGGGAAGCCAGATTCATTTAACAATTGTATTACTAACATAACAACATAACAACTGCAGTGTGACACTTAACAATTGTGGCAAGAAAGGTAGTAAAATGGGGCAAAATTCACTCACTTAACAATGGAAATTCTGGGCTCAATTGTGGTTTTAAGCTGAGGACTACCTGTATTTTCAAAGAGTTTGGACCCCACCATTCCACTGTCAGGCAAATTATGCATAAATGAAGGTAGTTCAACACCAATGTTATATTAAACAATACCAATGCAACACATACAATAATGTATTTGATAGGGCCACAATTTGGTAAACAACATAATATCCCTCAAAGGCCTTCTTGAAAAATCACTTTTTAACGATTTTTTTTTGGGGGGGAAAGAGAAAGAAAACTAAACAAAATGCTTGCTTCCAAAATTTTAAGACGAATTGGAGTAAAACAAAGAGCGCTATGGAGAAAAATCAATAGCAATTACTCCAATATACAATTCAATGGAAAAATAGTGTAAAATGTTGTATACAGGGTATAGGAATCCAACAGTTTTTAAAATAGACAAATTGTATATTGTTGGAAATGCTTCAGTAAAATAGGAACATTCTACCACTTGTGGTCATGTAAAAGAAAAAAATTGCAAGTAGTAAAAAGAAATATATCAAAACATTGCAAAATTCTACAGAGAAAGCTTTAATCAAAACCTCATATTTTATTACTAGATAATTCCAAAACACCTAAATGAAATATAGCACAATTCATTAAGCTATATGTGGATAACTGCAAAAATAAAAAAATACCAACAGTTGGGGGAAAAACTTAGCTGATGATATGAGATTGGCAGAAATTGGAATATGCAACAATGGCAAAATTGATAGGGTTGTGCGTATGCATAATAAAAAATTAGGAATGGTTCTATAATAAACTACAGCAAAGAAAATTTAGGTTTCTAGGAATAGAATCAAAAGTAATAATGAAATCACCTACTAGCCATTATCAATGTTCAATGTAAAGTGCAAATGTTTAGGTTGTAGTTAGCAGTTTGGAAATAAATGGGAAGGAAGAGAAGAATACATTAAAAGGTTTTCCGTAATGTTTTTTCACTGATGTTTTATTATTTTTTTCTCCGTATCTTTATTCTTTTGTCAAGAAAATTAAAAGAAGTGTTTTGATACACATGACTCCACTTCCTCCATTTGTGAAGAATTCTGGCAGCATTCAGTAGTCTTGTTTCCATTCCTCAATACATACATACAAATGTACCTGCATAAATTTTAGTTCGATAAGTGTAATGGTATATGGGAATGATTTTAGGAGACAAGAGGAAGAATCATAGACTAGGCAAATCAAATAAACCTGCAGAAGGAATAGGGGCATGGCAATATCTCAGAAGAGACACACTCTATTTTTTTGGGCTGTAATGGTGGGGGGGAGGGAATCGGGGGTGGATTCTACTTACCTTTACTACCGGTTCGCAAGAACTGGACCGAACCGGGAGCAACCCACCACTGGGGGGAATGTACTTTCAGACTTGCAAGATTCTGTTAATATAACCTTATAATAAAAAGAGAACTAGTAGTTCTGGGACATATAACTGGATTACTTGCAAGACTAATTCGACCACCTCTCAAGGCCGGCTGACACCAATCTTGTAAGTCTGTATTTCACCTCCTACCCCTTAAAGTCCTGTGATTAAGAAGGTGTCTCTATGAGCATACTATATGTGTATCGTAGACTTCTCATTGCTTGGTAATAAATTGCCTATCTATCAAGGTTGTATTCCTCAAGAAGGAATATACAATTTGCTGACAATAGGCTGTGTACAGCCTTGGACAGCTAGTAATGTGATCCCACAAGATTGTAAACTTTTAACATGGTTATATGTTATTTATATACATTACCTATGTTATATATTTTATATGGGGCCCAAGACAATTCCTATTGACTGAATGTTGGCCCAGGCAAGCCAAAAAGTTGGACACCCATGGACTAGAGTAAGATATCAAATTGGCTGTCCCCAAGAACCATCTTGGGTGTCATATCTTCCTCATTCTTTCACCATGGCAATGTTCCTATCTGCCATCTCAACCCCACTCTCAGTCCAAACCAGGGCGCCCCAACCGAGAGCATTAAACGTGACATATGCGGAAAAGCAGCCCATGACAAACCTTACATCCATGGAAGACATGGATTGACATACAGTTGTTTCTGCACACACAAAGGAGGCTTCAATCGATTGATGGCAATCACTTCGGCGAAATGCAGAAAACAAGTTCCTGTGGCGCAGCAAAACTTTAAACCCAGTGTTTGAATTGACTTGGTGACCAGTAACTAGTATATGTCTTGCGATAACAGAGGAAGGCATTTTGTCGCCATGGTTTGTTGCTGGATTACTCACTGAACCCATTTTGTAAAGTGCTCCTTCATTCTGAAAGCCAGGCACCTATCCGTTCTGCCGATGTAATTGTCTCCAGTACAAATTGGTAAATACAATGGGCTTTGCGCTGATAGGTTGTGCTTCTTTGATTGATGGTAGCAGTAGCCTCTGGGTTTGATGCAGTACGTAAAGCTTGGCCATACTGAACGTTGTTTCAATTAAGGTGTTTAGACGTTGGGTCGCTATTTGATCCCCCTTAAACGGCAGCTCAATAAATATTTCTTTTTACTGACAGTTGAAACTGTCAGTTTTGAGTCTCTTGTTTTGCTGTGCTTGTCGATGAAGTGGCTTGGGGTAACCGTTTGAAGGAAGAATTTGGGTTAAAAATGCCAGTTCTTCTTTTAAGCAGTCCTCAGTGCATAGATAATTCCTAGAAGCATGGCCCTCTGACAAATCTGCCATCAACAGGCACACAGACATGAGCTACAGCTACAGACCATTCAAAAGACGCAACCAACAACCCAAAAAAGGGAACAAGACACCTCCTTACCAGCAATCTAACACCCAGATGAGCAGAGAGCAGTGGTGAAATCCAAAATTTTACTACCGGTTCTGTGGGCATGGCTTGGTGGACGTGGGTTGGTTGGCATGGCAGGGGAAGGATACTGCAAAATCTCCATTCCCACCCCACTCCAGGGGAAGGATACTGCAAAATCCCCATTCCCTCCCTACTCCTGGGGTAAGGATATTGCAAAATCTCCATTCCCATCCCATTCTGGGGCCTGCCAGGGGTGGTATTTGCTGGTTCTCCGAACTACTCAAAATTTCCACTACCGGTTCTCCAGAACCTGCTGGATTTCATCCCTGGCAGAGAGTAATACAAAGATTAACATTAGGCATTAATCAAAAAGCAAACAATGCCCCAAGAAAGCTGACAGTAAATAACCCAACCAAGGAATCACCAAAACCACTCCTACCCACACTGATAGGGCAAACCCTCAGAACATAAAATAAGAACAAACTCCACTACCACTGATGTTACCTAGTTGAGTAATGAAACGTTTGCCAAAAAAAAAAAAAAAAAAACCCCAAGTTTACCAATGACTATCAAGGTCTTAGTTCATTTCCAAGCCATCAAGAATAAAAGGAGGCTGGACATACAGTTACTTGTTACGTCCCCGACAGAGGGCGCACGCGGGACCGGACTACAAACCAAAAGTATCACGTTGTCCTGTGCGCTCTTCCAGTAGCCCCGCCCCCGTTTGCAGCAGTTTACGCCTGCGCAGTGAAGCTAAGTAGCCCCCCCCCCCGGTGCTTGGCCAAAGCCGGCCTTGATGGCTAAGCGCAGAGCGGAGGCGGTGGCCTGTCGCGCGCCTTGCCAGCTGCGCGCCTTTCCGCGCGCGCCTCCTCCTCCGAAGCGCTCGCGGAGCGATCTCGAACGGCGGGAGTCGCGAGGCGCAGCGCTCTGGCGGGAAAGCGGCGGGGTGAAGCGCAAATGGACGGTTGTTGCGGAGGGAGGCGACGAGGCGGGGGCCGGCGGCAAGAGGCTCGCGGAAGGAACGGCGCGGCGGGAGCCCGAGCAGCGGCTTCCTGTAGTCGCTGGTATGGCGACCGAAGCGGCGGCTCTCGCCGGAGGAGATGCAACGGCCGGTCAGGGAGGGCCCGAGAAGGTGAAGAAAGCGGGATGTGCTTGGGGGCTTCTGGGAAACTGTAGTTTAGTGGTCCGTCTGTTGCTTCCAGGGAGGCGCGGGCGGGCGAGCCAGAGCGTCAGGCGGGAAAGCTTCCGTAGTGGAGGACGGCGATGGCTCGAGGAGTCATCCAGTCCGTTTGGGCTCTTCTGTCTGGGCTGCCCAGCCTTTGCTGAGGGCTCTCTGGGGATACCTTTCCCACTTTAGCGAATCAGAATCTTTATAGATGCTAGTTGGTTTAAGTCTTTGGTTGGGAAACAATTAGGTGGTTAACAAATAAAGGGATAACGGTGAATCACAGCCCTGGCCAGTGAAGGGACGTTGTGCCCCAAACCTTGGCAAAAGCAGAAAGGGAATACAGGTAGTCCTCGACTTTCGACCACAGTTGAGCCCAAAATTTTCTGTTGCTAAGTGAGATGTCTGTTAGCAATAGCGCTTAGACTTATATACCGCTTCACAGTGCTTTTACAGTCCTTTCTAAGCGGTTTAAAGAATCGGCATATTGTCCCCAACAATTTGGGTCCTCATTTTACCCACCTCGGAAGGCTGAGTCAACCTTGAGTTGAGTCAACCAAAATGAGTTTAGTCCCATTTTACGACCTTTCTAGCCGCTGTTGTTAAGTGAATCGCTGCAGTTGTTAAGCTGATGGCACAGTTGTTAAGTGAATCTGGTTTCCCCATTGACTTCGCTTGTCAGAAGGTCGCACACTGGGAGTCACATGACCCTGGGGAAACTGCAACTGTCATAAATACGAATCTGTTGCCAAGTGCCTGAATTTTGATCATGTGATCATGGGGATGCTGCAACGGTTGTAAGTGTGAAAAACGGTCATAAGTAACTTTTTCCAGTGCTGCTGTAACTTCAAACGGACACTAAATGAATTGTTGTAAGTCAAGGACTATCAGTACCAGTTTATTAAGGGCTTCTGAGAATTTTTTTTTTTTTTTAAATCTAAATTGGCTGGATAAAAACTAAGGTGGTGGAGCCCTTTTGAGTCTTTGGCTGTCACAAAGTTATTAAAAGACTGAACTTAGAAAGGAGTCTACAATTCTCTGTGAATAAATCCTACTCTTATCCCAAAGGTGCTTTTTCTGAAAAGGCAACTGGTTTTTGTTGGATTAGAAGCAAAATGTTTAAAAGAAAAAAGTAAGGAAGTCCAGTTGCCTTTTGGTAAAAGCACCTTAGGAACAACCATGACTTATTTCGATGATTGAGAACCTCCGTAGACAACCCTGCTTTTAGTTAACTGTTTTATTGTATGCCATCCAAAGTTACATTTGTGACATGGGCAACTGGTATAGACTTGATACATAAACCAATTTTTGCAGCATTTTTTTGAATATACTTCTTGTGGAGGTGACTGTGATGTTGCTAATTAGGAAGTAAATTGACTGTAAATTTCTTTGGGGCTACGTGTTGTAGGCTGTAGCCATTGATCACCTAATGGTTTCCCAACCAAAGACTAACCACCTAATTCAGACCTTTTAACTCTTTAAAAGATTGATCAAGGCTATGAGATGAAATGAAGCTGATATAATTTATGTTTCAAATTTCAGGCAAAAAGATACACTTGGCCTTTTAAGTTGAATTATTTATTTTTGATAAAAAACTAATACCGATTAAAAATTAGTACAGAAAAGAAAAAATAGAAAAGAAATAAAAATATAGTAAAGAAAAAGAAAAGAAATATATAAAGAAATGAATGCTCTTGAACACAACAAATTTAAATTATTTTAGTAACTTATCCCCTTCTCTTAAAATGCAATAAATGATCTCTTCCCATAGCTTGTCTGTAAACAAAATTGAAAGCTCATTGTTTAGTCCTGATCAGATTGTTATACATGTACAATGTGAGTTTCTCAGAGACAGAATAAAGGAGACAAATAAAAAAAATTAATTTCTTTTTAATGGTGAATGATTTGCCACGTTCTGGTTACCATATAATGAATTAAAATATTTTTTTTCATATGTATAATTTTTTTGTGTCTTCCCAGATCCAAAAATTAGAAATTTAAGGAAATGGCATAATTCTAATTCTAGGCAACCACAATTTTTGGCTAGCTATGAATTATTGAGAATGCAAAATGTATTTCCACAGAATACTATTTTTCCACTTCAAGCCACCAGAGGGTGATACAAGTCCAATTTTCTACGTTCTGTGTTGAGCAGTTCTGTCTTTCATTGCTATATAACACATCAGTACATCACATTCAAATACAAGTAAGAGTCTTTAAAAGAAAGTCCACACAGAAAAATGCAGTTGTTTCCATTGTTGTAAATCAATTTTAATTTGATTGAGCTGCTACAATGATGGAAACCAGAGAACACTTGAATATTTGTGTGAATATTTCTCCATACTATGTTCTTTCTTTGTCTATAAGGTCTTAATTTCTAGCATTATTTTAATTAGATTTTGTTGGTGGTGAGTTTTGTTTTGTTTTTCATTACAGTTAAATCTGTTTGAACATTTTGTTTTCATAGCTTGAAGATGACGTTTGGCACTACAACTCCTTCCAGTTCTGGAAGTTACCATTACCTACCATTGATTTGTCCGATATTCAAGAATTAGAAAAAGGCTCCATAACAGAAACAAGATCCTCCAGTAACACCTCACTATCAGAAATGGAAACCTGAAGAGTAATCTGTTGGTATAGATTATGGAGTGTGGTTACTGTTTTGCGCTGTTGTTTCTTGAAAGTGTAAGCAGAGTTGAAACTACGAAGGTATTAAATATAATTTGAAGAAAGGATAACTTCTAAATTCTTCTAAAATGAAGGAGTCATATACTATAGAACTCATCAAAGACTAAATAGAGAAGCTATCAATGTATAGAACCAGTGGATTGTGAAATTTAGAGGATTAAAGGAGTTTACAAAAACTGATACGTATGAACAAAATTGCTTTAGCTCATTGCCAGTATAAATGAAAAGTGTGCAAAGTTCTAAAAGGGTACGTGCTATTATACTGCCATGGAAAAGAGTACAAGTTACATGTGTATTTTAGTTAATGGCTAGAAAAATTAACAGCAAAATAAAATCACAAGTCTCTGCAAAACTGAAATCACTATGGTCAACACTTTCTTCCAAGAATTTCCAAAGTAATAAATTTTGTTGCTGAGAGTAATTTAAATCAGTTATTTTTATTATAACTGGTTACTTGGGTAATAGTGTTAAGAAGTTCTAGCAATTTGCAGGCAAATTGAAGAATCATGATGGAAAATGATAGGAAACCTACATGATGGGCCAACTAATGTAGGTTCTGGGCATATTTACAGAAAGTGGCTTAGAACTGGCTTGTACGAGGAGAAGCTTGGACTGTCTTAATTGTTAACAGATTTAGACTGAAACAAATCTAGAAGAGTCTTAAAGGCTGAATAAAGTAAAGCTAGTACACTTAAACCTCCTTTCTCTTCCTGTCTTTAGTCCCCATGGCTGCCCTATTTTTATTTACTCCACCTACTCTGTTTTGCACACCACTACCATCATGTTTAAAAAGAATTCAGTGTTCCCCGTTACCCCAATCTTGCTATACTTTCTCTTGAGTCACAACTTCAGTGCATATTAACTGGTCCATTCCTCCGCCACCTTCTTGTGCTTATTTTCCTCCATTGTGCTCCTTTAGCTGCATATTGCCCATTCTGTGTTCACATAATTTGCCTCACACTTTCCCTTAGATGCCTGTTGCCATCAGTGGTTTCCTGATCATTCAACCTGCCACCCAACACCTCGACCTAGAACATATGCTCTTTATTCACACCAAACACTGATTCAAGATCTGTACACAGACCAAACAGGAGTTTCAGTCTGGCATAGAATATTCAAAACTCTCTGTTCCATGCACTGAATATTTTGCATAACCATAATGTATAGTTAAAAACTTGCATACTATAGAAGTTTTAGTATTTTTGAAATACTGACTTTACTGTCATTTTATTAATGATGGTTGTTTGAAACCTTCAGTAGAATTCTGACAATTGTTAGTTTTTACTCAGATTACAGGGCTTTTTTAAAAAAATACACCATAACTTGAGCATATTAAAATTATCTTCATTGTCTAATAAAATTTCTACTGACTGCTTAAAAACAAAAAAATTACTGTTTATACAACGAAAATAATTCACACAAATGATTTCTTATTTATAATGGTATTTTCACTTTAAGCCTAGGTGCCATTTCAGTAAACTTACATGTCGATAAACAAACAGGCAATGTTTGTAAACTTTTTAAATAAGGTGTGTTGAAATAATTTTCCTTGTAGAAAGTAATATATAAGACTTATAATAAGACTTTTCACTGACTTTCCATATTTTTTCAATAGTTATACAGTTCATTTCATGTTAAATGATACCAGTAACTGCATATAAGCTATAAAGTTAGTTTTGCATGTTTATTCAATGCAGATTTTTTTTTCCTCTTAAAAATACAAATGCTGCTGTATAGCAGCCTCTTTCCAATTTTGTACTTAAATTTTGGTTGCTGTATTTCATAAGAATTCACTATTGAACTCTTCAATGCAGAAGAAAAAGCAAATATAGTTTCCTTTCTTTTCCATTGTCCTCCATTTATCTGTTTGCTATAGAATGAAAGAAAGCTACTCTTACAAGATTTCATCAGCCTAAACATTCCTGTTCCTTTACCAGCATTATTTCATTATTTTGAGTCATGGACTAAAGTTTGGGAGAATAAGATGAGGAACAAATGACTAAAAGAAGCTACCTTTGTAAAAGGAACTACTATCTGAAAAATGCATAAGGTCACCTACCTTATGAACACATTCTTGGATAGCTATAAGTTGATATTGTATTTCAATAATTAAAATGTGCATTGTAAATCAGATATTTGACTTTTTTCTTGCTTTCTACAGTACAAACATTCTACTTGAACAAAAAGATATTTGTAAAGACCCACTCACCTATATACAAACAACAAGCTTTTTAATGATAATTGTTGCATCAATATTTTGTTGCAACAACTATTAAGAAGAAACAAGTCTACTTAGTAGCATTGAGATTAGCAAGAAAAATAGTAAAAATGCTTTTTAGTTATCTTTGAACAAGTCAGAGCTTATATTAGTAACAGAGATCCACAGTGAGCTGTCGGATTTTTTTCCATTGGAAAACTTCTATTCTGAACTAAGCTGCTACTTAAAACAAACAGGAAACATTCTGAATGTTAATCATTTCCTTAATGTGGTTTATAAACTTGAAACCAGATTGTCACATGTTTTTAAGTATAAGTTGTAGTCTCTTCAGTTTAATTGCAGTACAAGTATGTCACCAGAGTTTTCAGAGTTCATCTTTTTCCCTGTTCCCATTAAAGCTTTTAATTGCAAGTACATGGACAATTCTAATCATTACTTTCCAGCATTGTTTCCATTAGCTGTTAGGGCAAAGCAGTTTTTATCTGATTGTGATGTAGATGGAAAGTTCAGTATGAAATCCAGTGGATAAAGCCTACAAAAAGTTCATTTTAGTGATGAGAATGAAGAAGGTAAGTAAGCTGACTTTTCTATTGTGATGTATGTATCTTTGATATGGAAAAACCTTGAATAAAATTATGTAAAGTTTTTATTGGGGTCAATGTCGAATAAACATTTTCAGCATGTGAAAAATTGAGAAACCAGAGAAAGATTGAAAACAGTAGCACTGATTTTTTTTTCCTTACTTATTGTTGGTTTTTTGGCATACCTCAGCAAAAGAGAACACTGGATAAAACCACATGTGAAGAAATGTTACCCGAGTCCTCAGACTAGTCCAGCTCTGTCAATCATTTACATTAGGACTTGCACATATTACTGATTTGTATATGTAAAGATACACATATACAATATGTATATCTTTACATATTATATATGTATATTTATTTATACAATAAAAGTGTAAAGAATTAAAATTATTTCTGGGATTTAAATTGTGTCAAATGAGTTTTACACTCTTAAGCTCTTTAGTTTTGCATTCTTAAGTTTTACTTTTGTCAAACAGCTGTAGGTCGTCCTGCGAACACCTCAATTTAGAGAATTGTGATTATATGGATTTTCAGGGAAATCCATGTAATTTTAGTCTGTATCTTAGCTTCTAGATAGAAACCTACCTAGACTTCTGAAGTAATGAATATGCAGGTGAAAAAGGGAGCTGTGCTTCCCTAGTTTCGTGTCAAGTACTTGAGCCAAATAAATTTTTGAATGGAAAAATTATGGGGTTTTAGGAAGTTGAATTTGTAATGTTCCATATTTTTTAAGAAAATAAATGAATATGTTGGTGAGATTAGACTTTTTGCACTATTCAATATTTTTTTTAGATCTGCCACATCAAAAAGCTATGGATCAATAATAGCAAGAAGCAGCAGCTTTACTTCAAAGGTGGATTATTGGCCAAATATTTACCATCAGAAATCTTTGCCAAATTAAATCTCTTTCAGACCAAATTCTTTGCTGTAACCTGCCTGTGATTCTGACTGAATCTGACACCTGAAGCACAATGCAGTGGTCCTGAATTTCTAGTAGAATTTTGAGGACCTGCCAAATTTTGCTTTTGCAGTTAAACCACCTTCTGAAAACGTGACTTTGGAGGAAGAGAATAAAGTGGCTTGTTTGCTTTTGGTTTTTATTTTTTTAAAAGAATACAGATGTGCAAAATACTCCATGCTCCAAATAAAACTCTGTTCCAGAATTTGGTCCAGAGCTCAAAGAAGCAGGACTTGTCCACTATTATTCTAAAGTATTCAGCTATCCCGTGAATAGCTTTAATTTTCGAGCTATGGAGATTTTCTGAATGGCTAATGAAAGAGTAGGAATAGATTCTGCCCTTACTACTTGAAAAATGAAAGTGGGAGTGAAGCTGAATTGGTGAAATACATTCAGAGTGCTCTTGACTAAAAAGATTGTTAACTGGTTCTTTTGTTATCCTTAAATCCTTCACTCTGCTGAAGTTTAGTCAATGGGTTGTGTATAACACTTCTTGGAAATCTGCCAAAAGCAGACATACATGATGTGTGCATATTGAAGATACTTTTGCCTTGTTGAGGTTTTGGATTTTCAGATACAAAACAGTAAGGATTTGTTGATGATTAAAGATGAAAGCTAAAACTGCAAAGTGTATGTGTATTAGCCCTAAGCTTTTTCTCTCCCATAGACTGATTTTTAAATTAACCATTATGTGCTGTGCTTAATCTGAGCACAAAGTCTGATTCTTTGTACAAGGGCAGGCTAAGAATATATATATAGCAGGACTTGTCCACTATTATTCTAAAGTATTCAGCTATCCCATGAATACCTTTAATTTTCGAGCTATGGAGATTTTCTGAATGGCTAATGAAAGAGTAGGAATAGATTCTGCCCTTACTACTTGAAAAATGAAAGTGGGAGTGAAGCTGAATTGGTGAAATACATTCAGAGTGCTCTTGACTAAAAAGATTGTTAACTGGTTCTTTTGTTATCCTTAAATCCTTCACTCTGCTGAAGTTTAGTCAATGGATTGTGTATAACACTTCTTGGAAATCTGCCAAAAGCAGACATACATGATGTGTGCATATTGAAGATACTTTTGCCTTGTTGAGGTTTTGGATTTTCAGATACAAAACAGTAAGGATTTGTTGATGATTAAAGATGAAAGCTAAAACTGCAAAGTGTATGTGTATTAGCCCTAAGCTTTTTCTCTCCCATAACTGATTTTTAATTAACCATTATGTGCTGTGCTTAATCTGAGCACAAAGTCTGATTCTTTGTACAAGGGCAGGCTAAGAATATATATATATATATTTATTCTTCTTGGCTATTTTTCTGTAAATTGAGTATCATCCCTTCAAGATAGGCCAGATCAGGAAACAAAGTCTGATATTGAATTAATGCAGGCTATAATAACAGAATGTGAAGGGAGTTTGGCTGTGTTTTCTAGTCCCTCTACATCTCAGTGAATTAGGGTGGATCTAGTCCGAGTTTTCTTATACCTCTATTTCCTGGAATTAATGCAAGCTTTTGTTTTTGTGACTGTTGATGCATATTCTCTTTCATGTCATCTCTGAGGCTATCTACATAATATATGGATTATTGGCCTGCCTTGACCCTGCCTGCCTACCTGCCTCTGTGACAAAAAAACAGGGGAACCCCCAACTAGTCTCAATTTTCCTTTTTTTGCATAACAATATGAGAAATTTTTGCTCAGCGTTCAAAATACAACTTTCTTTTTTATTTTGTACAACCCTTGTTAAAATGTCAAGAAAAGAGACTTATCATATTGAGATAAGGAGGTGTGATAATTAATCTGAGTTGATCTATTTTCTTTGTGCAAATAATTTAGGGCCAAAAATGCAAGTATTAGCTATTTTTTCCTTTGTGGAATGTGTGAGAGTGCCAAAGGCACTTACTATAACAGTGCCAAAGGCACTTACAGTGAGAACAGTGCCAAAGGCACTATGATCAGGCTTCTTTTATTTTTTTATAAATACTAGGATTTACCTTGAAAAAAAAAAATCTTAACTTTGTACAGTATAAGCCCAACCACTGCTCACGATATCAAAGTAAAATTATTATAGCTTCCAGGGTGTGCTTCAGAGGGTCTTATCAATGTGACTGCAGTTACTCTATCTTAGCCTACTATTTTGAAAAATCAAGTTTGGCTAGTTGCAGTGCCTGATCTGTTCCTCCCAAAAGTAGGAAGGCTCCAAAAAGTTTGAAACTCTACTCCTTCACATATATTATTTTAACTTATGGGCAGGGAGGAACCATGCAGTGTTTCATATGAGGTGGAGAAGCACATACTGGAATTCATAACAGACCAAACTGGATAGTTTGACCCTGCCCCTTGGCCTGTCTGTTGTTTATGTATTTTGTAAGAGAGCCTTAGTATGTAACTTCAAGAATCCTCCAAAGAACTTGGGTCATAAAGTCAGCTGCCAGTCTCTGATAGAAGAAGTGGAACATTAACCAATGGTGTAGTCCAAGGATCAAGCAAAGTCTTCTTTTGAGTTTTGAATGGACTTTCTTTCTGTGTGTCTGCGATACTTGAAGCAGCTTTCAGGGACTGGAAAAGAGAGAGTGCAGCACTGATTGATGAGTGCAACTCCAGCTTGTGAAGCTCCAATTTATGAAGTAAGGAAGAAACACCAGACAGGATGAAAGTTCAAGTGAAGGTAAAAAAAACAAAACAATCTGCGTAGAATTGGACAGATGGAGTTTTGACCGAGGTTTTTTGCTAGTCATTTTAATGCAGTACATCTAGGCAGCTGGTAATCTTTCGAACTCAAATTAGGTCTCAAACCTGCTTCTTCCAATGGCAGATACTTTTTTTGCACACTGCTTCAGACATCCTGCTGATCTTGTTTTCACAATTCCACCTTACTGGAAGAAAATACAAAAGCGATGTAGCATATGCTTATGAACATGGCTATTATTATGCTTGGGATGGATAAAATGTTATTTACTTGGCTCTTGTTTTCAGAAGCCATTTCCCTTTTTTGTAGTTGTAAGTGAGGAGAGACAGAATGCAGATCACGGCTTATAAGTATTTTCAGGTGTTTGCAGACTTTGATGTAACTGAGTTAGAAAAATAAGATACAGTCTTGTATGACGATATAATCATTGTGCACGGGGAGGGGCTTGAAAAAAAGGAAAAATTCAGATTTGTACTCGAGATTCTAGTTCTGGGTATGCAGGAGATAAAGTGCCTGAACATTATGAAGTTCTTTGTATCCTAAACAAGGAGAAGATGCCTAGCATTCATCACTATTCACCAATTTTCTTAGGAGGGCTAGGAAATGTCATTCAGTAATATGACTGCCACCGATTGAAGGTACTCTCTCCATAGGTTCCTTTTATATAGGCAAAATAATTTAAGAATGCTAAACACAAAAATATCACTGCCATAACATCAAATGCCAGCTCTATTGATATTAGATGATACTAATTACATTGGTTTGAACCTCAGGGGTTCAAACCCCTGGTTCATCGTTCTTCAGATCAAACTTTATATATCACTCTTTCAAAAAACACTATGATTTTTACCAGTGACCTGAAATTTTCTATTCTTATTCTAGAAAGAATTATTCTAGAATTCTAGAAAGAGACAAATGTGAAGTCAATGAATTGTAATTTATCAAGCGATGTAAGTCTTTTTAGTTTGTTACTGTAGAATTGTCCAAATTGTATATGTGTAAATGATCATTTTCTTTATATTGAGCATTATATATACCTGTTACATGTAACTCTTCCCATCCATAGTGTGTTTGTGTAGTCAAATATGCGTGTGTATGAAAGGACAGATTTCCTGGTTAAGAATAATAATTTATTTGATGTGGTGAACTTGGTGTATAAAAGTATGTCCCGCACTAAATGTTAGTTTCTAAGACACAGTAACAAATTGTATTATAGATGGCAAGAGAATATTTAATTTTGTACGATATACATACTTTTTTATTTTCCCATAGACAAAAGAACATGTAAAATAAGCTCATCTGTAACTAAGAAATCCAGATATGGCTGACTTTAAAGCCAGTCAGTTAGTGAATCTACTCAGTGCGTGTATACATGTGTGTGTATTAATATAAATATTTTGGAACTTAGGTTTTTTCCAATTCATCAATTACTGGATGGTTTTACTTATACATGTGCAATAACTTGAATTGAGCAATATTAATTCCGGAGCTCCTACAAACTTGTTATCAGCATTTAAGTGTACGTTTCATTAAGAAGTCTCTACCAAGATCAACTTTAATTTTTCTTCTGCCATGGCAACTCATGGGAAATAAACATTTGCATAATCAACGGTTGAGATGATAAACATATAAACTTCTGGAAAATATTGGTTTTCTTTCTCAGCCAAGTCACTATTGAATGATCTGAATCTGTCTTTCGGAGTGGGTATGCAAACATAATATCCAGTCAGCCAACTCTAACTGGTTATATAGTAGATCAAGACCAGGTCTGGAAATATCAGATAACAGATTAACAGAGTGGGAAGGGACCTTATAGGTCATCTAGTCCAACCCCCCGCTCAAGCAAGAGACCCTACACCATTTCTGACAAATGGCAGTCCATTCAGACAAATGCTGAAAGCTGAACCTTAAAACAAGGAAAAATATTATTCTATGTATTCTTGAGTCTTTAAACAATAAGAAAAGTGCAATTGAAAGACAATAGTGAAAGTTGAGTGATGGGTGTAGCGAGGCACATATTTACAAAGCAGTTAGATTTTACTGCCTTCTCAGGAACCTCAGTCAGCCATTTTTCAAAGAAAAGGGATATAAGTATCCTTTAATTGCGAGAACTGATAAGCTCCTATCCTGCTAGAAGGAAATAGAATGAGAGACAGTTTTGCCAGGGGAGTGCCATGATGTCCCACGCAGTTGGTGAAAAGACCAATAAAAGAATCTGTGTATAAGAGTGGGAAAACTTAAAACATGAAAATTGTAACGTTCTGATATCATGGAGGGATGCTTTCTTCATCTCGTAACTTGTATGATATAAGAAACATTGTGATTATGGCAGCCTTAAACCATGGAGAGACAAATCGGCAGATAGCTACGAGTTGCACTGAATGACATTAAGTTACTGGTCATCTCTTACACAATCTATCTTCACAAGAAGAAAGAAAAAGAGAATACAGTTAAAAACAGTTTTTTAAAAAAAAAAATTGGCTCAAGTTCATTACACAATACTACTTATACAGTATTACACAATAATACTGTTCTGGCTTACAAACAAGTGTTGTTTTTTTATTTGATTTATATGCCGCTCTTCTCCGGAGACTCAGGGTGGCTTACAATGTGCTCAGCAATAGCCTTCATCCTTTTGTATACTTATACAAAGTCAGCTTATTGCCCCGACAACTGGGTCCTCAATTTACCTACCTTAGAAAGGATGGAAGGCTGAGTCAACCTTGAGCCTTGGCGAGATTCGAACCTGCAGTAATTGCAGGCAGCTGATCTTAATAACCAGCTTAATAACAGGGTGCCTTAGACCACTGTACTACCAAGGCTCTTTGGTAGTACCAAGTTTGACTTAAGGACAGAGCTTGGGAACAGAACTCATTTTTAAACTGGAGATTACTTTAATTACTTGTGTAAATGTACCACGATAGTCAACAACAGATTGAATAACGTCATAAGAACATATAACAAAACCATAAAAATCTCATAAAACAAACAATATAACAACACCTGCGGCATCCCTTTCTTCAGAAAATTGAACTTGTAGCTGAATTCCTGGAAAATGGAAAGTGACACCGACCTAGTCTCTGGAGGAGGAGACTATTCCATAAAATAGTGGCCATTATGAAAGAAAGTACAGTGGTCAACTTATAACCACTATTGGGACCTGAACTTCCATCCCTAGTAAAGCAGTCGTTAAATGAATCATGCCCAATTTTGAGGTCCATTTTGTTGGGATCATTAAACGAATCACATCAGTTGTTTAGTAAAGCATACGGCTGTTAAATGAACCCAGTTTTCCCGATTGACCATGCTTATTGGGAGCTAGCTGGGAAGGTCGCAAATGGTGCTCGTGTGAACCTGGGACATTGCAAATGTAAGTGAGCTTCAGTTCTACGCATCTGAAAATTGAGAAATACTATCAACTCTCAACTACTATCAAGAAGCTGAAGAAGCTTCTTGGATGAGAAGCGAAACGTCTTCAAAATAAAACCAGAAAGTCCAGTTGCCTCTTGGAAAAAAGCACCTTTGGGACAACCATGACCTGGATGACTGAGAATCTCCGTAGATGTTTATCAACTTAATCTGATGGATCAATTCCACTTGAAGGCAACAGTCCTTAAGATACCTAAGAACCAAGCCACATTGAGCTTTATAACTAGCAGCTTCAGTTGTATTCAAAAACCCACTGGGAGCAAGAGCAGGGTCTTTAACATAGTTTTCAATGAATGTCACTTGCCAGCTTATCACTAACTGCATTGCCTCATGCATACTTTGTCACCTCAGCAACAAGGCTTCTGGTCACAGTCAAATTTCTTAAGCTCATTGCCATTATCCTTCTCCAACCATGGAGTTCTAATTGATGAAGGATTCAAATCTTTGGAGTAACAGTATGAGAAGTTGTGATATTTAGGTGGTTTTGTACACAACTCCTGCGCTTCCAACATAGCAACGTTTACAGAACTACAGGTTTCACCAACTGTATTCTAGACTAATTTTGGATGGATAAATTCATTGCAAAGAACCAAGTCATTGGAATTATGCTCTTTTCCCTGTTCTAGCTCAGTTCAATAGCTTGATTGAAAGAATAGTTTCATAGAGGATTCTAGCATAATACATGATTTCCTAATTCACTAGTTAGATACTGATTCTACTAGACAGCAACATAGCAAACATAGATGATTTGCCCTTCTGGTAAATTGTCAATAGCCATTTCTTAAGAATTTCCGGAGATTCATTGGGAGATCCCTATGAATTACCTGTGGGTTTTAAAATACCATAGAATACAAATTTTAATTTAAACAAATGTCTACATTAAGCGTTTCAAAACTTTTTGAACTAGTAGATACATTTGAAACTTTATCATATGGCACACAAATGCTTTAAAAAAACTGGCTATCACAGAGATGGATAGACCTATATATTCACAAAGTTATTTCTATCACCTATTTTACTATTTGCCACTAAACAGCCATTTATCACCAAAGCAACCTGGTGAAACTGTTGCTCACCAAGCCTTAGACTCCTAGAGTTCAGGATGCTCCCCATTTTTCCTATACTAAAATCAGCAATATAACTTGTCTAATGGATACAAGGAGATATCCGTGGGCATGCTAAAATCTTTATAGATCAGCATTTCTTCTAAACATTTCTTTATATGGTCATCATTTATAAAGCCATACTAGCACAGTCCTAGTCATTTAGAGCAGAATATTAACTTCAGTAAAGGGTTTTCTCATTGCTGAAATATAAAATAGTTGGTGGACCTTAATGTTTTTTCATCTTGGAAAGGTAAGATTTCTCTATCATTACTTCTTATTTTATTCAATAATCTGCAAGCTTGCTTCTATCTTTAGGCCTGGGTGAATTTAAAAAGGATTGCAAAGGCAAGAATTGTGTAAACTAATGGCCTTATGCGCAGCTTCTACATTTTTTCAGTTCTGTGATAATATTTGCAATATAGTATTAACTTCTTCATGATCCTATGAAACTGTTGCTTATTTTTGTATATCAAAAGATTTCTAGAAATATCTTTGAGATGTAATATTTCTGTTCAGTCCCAGAAATCTTGGATTGAAGGTGCCTTCAGTAAAAGAGAATGTGCAAAAATTGTACCCAGCTCAAAAGATTCTCACAGGTACTTTGCTTCTTCTTGTTTTTTTGTTTGAACGGTACAAGGAGTATGGTGTATTTTGTATAAATGTATGCTGAACAGCATCAGTATTCATTGCGTAAAGAGCAAAGTTAGACATGGGAAAAATCTCAAATCTTATTGGCCCCATTAAGCTAATGCCAAATAATAAAAATGTGTATAAGCTTTTCAGACAGAGCTCTTCAATAGGCAAGATTGCAAATGAAACAGTGGCCTGTGTAAGGGACCTGATGTTTAAACCACAAAATTAAATACTATCATTTTCATTTCTGTAAATAATTAGCTTAAAGGTGAGCTATATTTTAGCTCAGCATTTCCACCTTTTTCTCTTAAAAGTGGTACTTCTATAAACTAGATGGCACTTGAAGAAATATATTTATCATGGATTAAACACTCTTCACTTATTACTTCAGTGTTCTGCACATTTCAGGGGTGGGTTCTACTTACCTTTACTACTGGTTCACAACAGGGTCACGTGCACGCTCTTCTGCGCAAGTGCAAAAGCATTTGATGACGTCGGGGTCAGTGGGCGGAGCCTCCTGCCGGTTTTACTACCGGTTCTATAGAACCGGTGCGAACCAGGGGCAACCCACCACTGGCACATTTAGATTGGCTTATATTAACGCAAAGGAATTAATACAAAGTAATAATAATAATAAAATGCAGTATGATGGACCGGTGTCCAATATGTTAATACAGTTATTATAACGAACAACAACTATAAACTAGATTTATTTGCCTGAGTTGGAATAAAGTTAGCATAAAGAGCATTGAATCATTAGATACAGGTAGTCCTTGTTTAGCAACCAGAATTGGCTCTGGTGACTCGATTAAGTGAAGTGGTAGGTAAATGAAAATCAGGTGACCGTGACTTTGCTTTTCTGCTGGAATGTGCACCTGGAGAAGCAGCATAGACGAGTTTGGCAATAGAAAATGAACCTTCCCATAGGGGGCACCCCTGCAGTGAACCTGCTCACCTCTTATTTGCTGGGGGAGATGGCATTCTTGTCACCTGTCTAGCAGGCTGGATGTGTATAAAGAAACTCACAGATACTACAGCTGATGGGGGAAGGGGGCAGGAGGTCAATTGTACCCTGTAGTGAAGCTCCTCTTCAATGGAAAAAAAGAGCTGATTTTGTTTTCTGGGTGAGAGTAAGGGTGGAGGACAGAAACAGGGAAGAATGCCATATGAAACCATGACAAAAGTTTGGCTGAAATCAAGGGAGATTATATCCAAAACATAGAAATGTTTTCAAAAAAGGAAATGAGATTTATCTCATGTTACCTGTTTGGACAAACTGAAGCATTGTCTTCAAGAGGTTTATAAAGGGCCTGTTTCATTATATGCTGTAACATAGTTTTAGGTGTTGTTAGGCTCAATGGTTAATCACTCCTGAGATATCTTTGTTTCCCTTTCTTGAATAATAGACTACATTTGTTCTTCAAGTAGTTGGCAGAGGTCCCAACAACTCTTCAAGCAATCTCTTCAATACTGGAAGGTGTACTTCATTGGGGTTTGAAAACATTCACATTGCAAGGATAAAATTACGATCGCTTCAAGATAGTAGAAGTAGGGGTAGTTTCGGTCTCCCAGCATGGGAAATGAAGCAGCCATGTTAGTTTGGATAAGAGATTGGGTCAATTTAAGGAATAGTAGAATTTTAACCTTGGAAGGACATGACCTACAAAAGGGGTGGCATGCTTTCTTGTGGGATAAGAAGAATAGGATATACTCATATTTTTTTAGACATAAAATTAGAAATGCATTGATACAAACTTTACAATAAATTACGATAAAAAAATACTAAAAAAATCCATTCACATTAACTATGACATCCTTTACTACATCCTTACTGGCTTGCATCCTCCCCTATTATATTTTCTCAGTCTACACTATGAAAATCACCATGTCTTTTGTAAAGAAAGAAGGAACATTGGCATTCTCTCTACTTTCTTGGTCATCTGTTCAGATTGCCCAGATTGGAATAAGCACTGAGCATAAGACGTCTGTTTCATTGGTGGGTTGCCCCCAGTTCGGATCGGTAGTAAATCCAGCGGGAGTCTCTGCCCACTGTTCCGGATGTCATCATAGGCGATCTGTGCATGCGCAGAAGCTTCTGTGCATGTGCAGAAGCTTGGCGCACGTGCGATCCCATTGCGAACCGATAGTAAAGGTACGTAGAACCCACCCCTGCTCTGTTTCTCTTGCTAGTGACATCATTGAGGAAACCTTTTTATTGGCTAAAATCAGCTAGCAAGACAGACATATCAATAACATTGACATTATTTATATGTCTTTCTAGCCAGCTGATTTTCTACCTTTGCAATGTGGTCATCGTTGCATTTTTGAGCTCTGTAAATTTCCTTGGCTGTTAACCCTTCCTTATATTCCTAATACACATCCTTATTTAGAATCACAATGAATTCAGGACTCTTTTAGGCTTAAGCAAACTCCTTTAATAAATCTCCATCTACCCATTTTGCCTGGTTGAGTCAACTATAGCATATTCGTAGTTAGATATCCTTTCTATTAACCTATCCTTTTATTTTAACCCAGATGTTTTCAACATTCACATTATCATCAGTCCAGTGGACCACTGTACAGGTAAGTTTATTATTGATATACACTAATCTTTTATTTTCTTGAGTTGCCCATGTTATCCACATTTGGATAAAATGTGGATAAAATTTGGCTTACCATGTAAGCCAAAAAAATTATTATTATTCCTTCCATGTTTCTATAATCCTTCTATAATCCTTGTAGAGCCAGTTTATTTTAGTGGGTAAGATGCTGATATAGAAAGCAGGAGATTACTAGGCCTCCCTTGGCCATGAAAGTCACATAGGTGACTTTGTATACCTGTCACTCTCTCAGCCCGGCCCAGCTCAAGGATTGTTGTGGGAAAAAATAGAAGGCACAAGTATTAAGTAAGTTCACTGCTGTGAGTTATTTGTGTGTGTGTGTGTGTGTGTGTGTGTGTGTGTGTGTGTGTGTAAGAGGGAATAAAAATAGAACAATAACAATAGTAATAGGCACCTTGAACACAATCTCAAAACATCTGGACCTTGAACACCATTGGCACTGACAAATTCATTCATCAATCAGTTGTAAAGGTAGCTTTACGTGGAACAGATTACATCCAGCAACAATGCCTTTAACACCATCAAGCAGTAACAAATCCCTGGTCCTTGGGAAGTGACCAGTCATATATAATAATTATGATACTGGTTATATCATACTTGACTTTGTGCCCAATAATATGTAGTTCATATTGTTTGTAATCCAAGGATAATATTGGATACGTAAAGAAATATTTAATATAATTTTAAACTTTTTCTTCTTGGTCTTCTTTTTTTCTTTTATGCCTATATTTTATGTGGTGGGTTCATATTTTAAACTCCACTTCATTTTGCTACTATCTTCAGTCCATTACTTACCAATTTGTTATCAAAGATTTTAGAACACTCGTCCCTTTGTAGACTAATATTTGAAGAATGGGATCTAAATCCTAACGAATGCCTTGCACAATAATGTATAGTTTCAGGTATATTTATTAAATAGCATGTATATTTTATAATTATTGCATTGGAGATTAACACAACTATGATGTTGGAATCATGCATAATAATTGTATTTGTGTTAGTCTCTTGTTGCAACAACAACAACAACCTTACAGAATGCAAGTCCCTGGAACCCTATGCCTTAATCAATGTGTCAAGTCTTTAAGCACTTCAAAATTGTTCATTTTAACTGATTAAAATGTTTAGTGCATGTACCAGCATTTTTTATGGAAACTGTTTTTCAGAGGTTCTGCAGGATGTCAAGTATGCCAGAATCTAATTCGGTAAGACCATTTAAAATCTCAACATCTGCAAAAATTAAGAATGGAGTATTCTTAACAGATGATGCAATTACTATTTAAGCATTCTTCAAGAAAGAAAGAAAGTCAGAAAGAAAGAAAGAAAGAAAGAAGGAAGGAAAGAAAGAAAGAAAGGAAGGAAGGAAGGAAGGAAGGAAGGAAGGAAGAAGGAACGAAGGAACGAAGGAACGGAGGGAGGGAGGGAAGAAGGAAGGAAGGAAGGAAGGAAGGAAGGAAGGAAGGAAGGAATTTAGCACAACACTAGAAGAGAAAGATGTTAGTGAAGATATCAGACTGGGAACTTAAATTTGGAAAACTAACAGAATACATGCAGAAAAGAAGTTTAACTAAATTGAAGCAAGAGTGGCTCCAATGCATATTTTATATTATGTAGCAAGCGAAACATAACTATCTGGAATATGATTTTGATACCCTTATCTTTGATACTCTATGTTTGAAACTTCAATTCTTGAATAAGAACTGAAATAAAGGATACAGGAAAAAAATAACTGTCTATGAATATTAACTGAGTACAACAAAAGAGAAGTTAGGAACTGATATTTATTTATAATGTTAGTAGGTTTTTTTGTCTTTTCATTTCTTTTTCTCTTGTATTCTTAACAAATAGAGGAGATTTTGGCTCTTAGCTCAAAGACTGAATTCATATTTTCATTATTAAAATAAATATAACATAACAATAAGATGAGATTTAATGGTTTTATGGTTAACTTCTACGGTAATCAAAGATACACTGAGCACTAACAATACAATCTTGGCAATTCCTTTGTCCAATCATGGAAATTATGTTTCTGTACTAGGAATATTTTTTTAAAATTAAACTAAAAATAGTTATTTACCTGTTCTGACAAAGTGGCACGTCATAAGTTTTTCTTTCTTTTTTTTAACAATCAATAACCAAATTCATCTAGATTCAATTAAAACAAGCTCTGGACAACTTGGACAACTGATGAAGGTGGAGCTTTCTTTTGTTTTACAAAAGAAAGCTGACAAATAAAAAACCTAGGCCTTTTCATGCACTTCTTTTATGATTTTACCATGTTTTCATACATTGAAAGATGTGGTTATGTTTTAAGCTCCAGAAAACATGAGAATCATGTTCATATTTCTAATATTAAACTTTGAGCTTGTATAAAGTAGCTTGTATGGTGGTTTAATGTTAAAAAAAGAGCATCAACATTGATTGAATTAATGCTAATGGTAACTATCTTTCTATTTGAGATGTTGCTGTGGTCGGCTAATTGGTGATCACCATGGGATAGATTATGGTTATCCTGTATTTCAGTCCGAAAAAGAAAAACATAATGTGGAATGGTCTGTTGAAAAAGATACAAAGATTAGTCCAACTGATGCATTTGGTACAATCAATTTTCAAGACAGTGATCACACGTACCATGCTAAGGTTTGTACAAATTTAAAGCTGGATGTGTAACACTATTGAGTTTATTGCAGAATTCTGTAGAAGTACCACTGTGAAACTCTAGAAAACAAATATTAGTGCTAAACATAAAACTGCTGTGAGATTAAATAAAGAGAATCTATATAAATATGCTTTTATTTAAATGTTTTGTCACAACTTCTTGAGCTGAATATCAGGAAAGAATACATATGAAACACAATGGAAATAGCAGCCTTAACACCTCAATTATAATAATTGTAGAAAATAAGGAACATGACCTTGCCAGAGATATTAAGGACCTGTTGCCTAGGCATAAGGTACAGAAGCATTTTTTAAAAATTCAGAGCAACCACATAACATACAGAAGTACCTCCCTAACTTATTGAAATATAAGAAGCAGGAGGTAATACACAATCAGACCCAAAGGCAACTGGACCTTGTTGGGTTTTTTCCTTTGAAAATTTTTTGCTTCTCATTCAAGAAGCTTCTTGGACATCCAATGACCTGGATGATTGAGAATCTCCGTAGACATTTACACAATCAGACTTGCAAGATTCTGTTATAATAACCAGTCTTAATAAAAATAGTTTTAGCCTTCTTGTTGAGTTGATTTCCTGGTCTGGTTCATCTAATAGGCTAGAAAATAATTTCATTAAAGCAGGGAAGACATTCACTTCCTTTCTGATGAATGTATACTTTTCCAACCAGGAATTCGGAAAACATTAAAACTTTAGTGAAATCATATTAATCAGTGGATTTCTGTTCCTGTTGAAGTTGTAGTACTGGGAAAGGAAAAAAACATCACATAGACAATTAAGGTTGTGAAGTATGATTTGAAACATGAAACTGAAAACTGTAGGCAATGTTTTAAAGTTTTTTATTTTTTATTTTTTTTATCAAAATATTAAATCAATGGGTGAACAGTGTGGCACTTGGGTGTCCTACATACAACTAAAGCTAATCAAGTTAATCATAATCCTTACATTCAATCCGTTTATGTGTTTCTAATAGTAATGCATACTTATATTTATTTATAATCTATCATTGTTCAATTATTTCACATTTTCTCTTGTTATTACTTTCCTTTTGTTATATAAAAAGTCTTTTTTTTTGTAGGCAATTTACAGGGTTGAAAAAGTCTTGAATCTTGGAGAGCCACAGAAATGACCTTGTAGCAAAATATGCAGAAATAATTATGAAAACAAAAGCTTTGTTAAGTCTGAAAACCTGAGATAGACGCTAAAACTGGCTCCAGTGTAATTCTCTGGGGTATTAAAGAGAGAAGGGAAAATAAGGGCTTTCAAAATTCTGTCAGTATAGCCTATATTAATGAAGTATAGTTCCAGTCAAACTTGTAGAGTTTCTTTCTTTGACCTACGGCAGGGGTGTCAAACTCGCATCATCATGGTGTCGTCCCGTGACATATCGTGACTTCCCCTCCCTTCACTAAACTGTGGCCAGTACATGATGCATCTGGCCCATAGGCCGCGAGTTTGAGCCCTACCTCATAGGCCTGACAGAAAAGCAAGACAATGATTAGAACTCACAGCAGCTTGAAGAAGCTAGAAATAAGATTCTACATTATTCTGGTAAACGTATAGTTATCCCTGTTGTTTTGGTGTTTGGCAACTACAGATTATTTCTTTTTGTCCCACAGTATATCAGAACTTCTTATGACACAAAACTAGATCAGCTGTTGCAGCTCATGATTAAAGAATGGCAGATGGAATTTCCCAGATTGGTCATTTCAGTTCACGGTGGCATCCAAAACTTCAAACTTCCATCTAAACTAGTGCAACTTTTCAGCAAAGGATTGGTCAAAGCTGCTGAAACTACAGGAGCTTGGATATTAACAGAAGGCATTAACACTGGTAAACTTATCTCTCTTTAATATTTGGTGGGCAAATGTTTCTGATATCTCTGAACACTAGAATAGTCTTGCTATCATCCTATTTGTTAAGAGTTACATATTAAGCATATTAAGACTATACCAGGTAGCAGCAGAGCTGCTTGTGTCTGTCATAAGCACACAACAGAGCTGTTTTAAAGGGTGGTATTCTCCCCAAATATATTGCTTACCTCCTTGTAGAATCTTCTTCCAAGCACTCTTGGAGATTAATGTTAATTTATGGAAATAAAGTTTTGTTAAAGTTTCGTGTAGGAGTTAAAGAGCTGGCCCAGAAACCAGGAGACTGTGAGTTCTAGTCCTGCCTTAATCTAGTCACTCTCTTAGTCCAATACTACTACTATATACAAGTTAAACGTGCATCTATGTACCACATAGCATTCTCAATCATATTTAACATAAAGCATTTGGGAAAATATTGTGTCATCTCATTCTTCAGAAAAAAGATCATGTATTATAAGTGAGGAATCAATGCACATTATTGTGTAGATGTTTTACAGATGTACATAATTAAGATGTAGTAATTCCATCAAGTTCAACATTGCTCTGATTCTTGTTTATATTTGGAAGGGTTACAATATATTTCATTTCTGTAATCTGATCATATTATAAATGTGTAATGATGATAATATGTCACCTATTTCAATGTAATTGTCTAGGAATATCTAAGCATGTGGGAAATGCATTGAAATTCCATGCCTCTCAATATTTAAGAAAGATCTGTGCTATTGGAATTTCCCCTTGGGGCATCATTGAAAATCAGAAAGAACTTATTGGCAAAGATGTGAGTTCCCAAATGGTTTTCTTAATTATTTTTTTCTTAATGAACTCTTTGCACTGTTGCACTGTGTAAATATCAGAGTCAAGGAGGTTGGAGAATACTACTAATTTCCTACTTATAGTACAGGGGTATCAAACTCAAGGCCCAGGGCCCAGACCTAGCCCACGGGATGCTTACATCTGGCCCACTGGGCCACCCTGGAAACAGCAAAGGACTGGCCTGAGGTACCTCTGCCAGCGAAAACGGAGCTCGGGAGGGCTGTGTGTAGCCCTCCTGAGCTCCATTTTTGCTGGCAGAAGATTGCAAGAGGCCATTGCAGCCAAAAACAGAGCTCTGGAGCCCTTTTTCGCTGACAGAGCACTCGGCCAACTACAGGCACCCCGACACGAGTGCCATTGAGCTGGCCATGCCCACCCTGGCCCCCCAAGGTCAAACACAACCCCTTTGAGGGCCACAAACATTGATGTGGCCCTTAATGAAATCGAGTTCGACACCCCTGTTATAGTATATGTGAGGATAAATATTTCTATTTATCTTGTGTAGCTGCAAATTTTAGTGTCTAGACATTTATCCTGTATATTGATGGTCATTTACTGGTCATTGAAAATATCTTATTATTTATTTATCATATGCATCTTTAACTTCTAAAACTATACCTCCCATTGTGAAATAGTTTGGACAGAGAAATATGGCCAAGAAGCCCCCTGGTTTTTTATCCAAATTCACTCCATCCCTTATACCACACAGATTGTCAGCTAATTAGAGAGCCCCAGTGTTAATATTTATAGGATGGAGAGTCCTTTCTTCATTACATTTGAACCAGGATGATTAGGGGACAGGAGACTAAAACATATGGAGAATGGTTACAAGAACTGGGCATGGCTAGTCTAGTGAAGAGAAGGACCAAGGGAGACATGATAGCAGTGTTCCAATATTTGTGGGGCTGCCACAGAGAGGAAGAGGTCAAGCTATTCTCTAAAGCACCTGTAGGCCAGACAAGGAATAACGGATGGAAACTGAACAAGGAGAGATTTAACCTGAAAATGAGAAATTTTCTGAGAGTGAGAACAATCAACCAATGGAACAGCTTGCCTTCAGAAGTTGTGGGAGCTTCATCACTTGAGAGTTTCAAGAATAGACTAGACTGTCATTTGTCAGAAATGGTGTAGGGTCTCCTGCTTGGGTGGGGGGTTGGAAAGTCCCTTCCAACTCTGTTAATCTGTAATCTGAACAATTTTCAAACAGTAAAGTCTTAGTTTTGAAGAATTATAATATATTTTAAAAGTAGGGGAATATCAGGTGAGATTTGTCTTTTTATTTGTATACTCAGTTGAGAGTTTTATCTTTCATATTTGTAGGGAAATACTGTATATTTCGATATAGAAATACATACTGTGTTTATTTTTCTATGATTTACTGTGGAATTTATAATTATAAGGTGTTTAGCAGAATCTCAAAGAATACGAAAAATATTTGGAACTATTTATGAATGATTCATTTCAGGTTTTATGTAAATAAATAATATTAGTTTTCATTGTGCAATGTAAGATACCATTTGAATTTTTATATTTCTGCACTGAAAATTAATCAATCATGATAAACCTCACAAACTAAGTAGCTTCTTAGGAGGATAAAATCTTGCCATAGGTTATCCTGTTAGCAAGATCATTGTTGTTTCATTTTTTAAAAAAAGTAATAAAGAATAATGAGAAATAAAAGGCTCTTTCTTTTTTCTACCAATCCTGTAAAAAACATTATTCACAAAAGGTATAGAAGGAGAACAGGATACTATAGTGGAAGAAGAAAAAATCTTTCCATATTTCATCTGCAAAATCTTCTTCCCTCCCTCCTATATGGAATTTCCCATTACCTAAGGCTGTTAGTTTTCCAGGTATAACTTGCAAAGAATTGTATTAAGGATCATAACTGAAGAATGATAACTTTTGTTTCTCTGTTAGGTATCGGGGGACTGATATTAAGCATGGACAATATTAAACAGTCTTCCTGAATTACAAATCCCATCCTTTGGTTTTAATTTGAAATTAATTTTAACTGGTTTGTTTTAAATTGTGGACCGAAATTATTTAATATTTTTTAAACTGTTTTAATTTTTGTATGCTATGTTTTTACCTTGGCTGTTCACCGCCCTGAGTCCCGCTGGAGAAGGGCGGTATAAAAATCAAATATAAATAAATAAATAAATAAATAAATAAATAAATAAATAAATAAATAAATAAATAAATAAATAAATGTTTGTTTGCAGTCCATCTTAATGGCTGTGAAATAGTGCTTTGGAAGGGCTGTTTTTTAATTTTTCTGTCTCATTAGGTAGTCTGCCTGTATCAGACACTTGGCAATCCCCTTAGCAAGCTGAGCACCCTCAACAGCATGCATTCCCATTTCATACTGGTTGATGATGGCACAGTGGGCAAGTATGGCAGTGAGATGAAACTCAGGAGAAGTCTGGAAAAGTATCTATCACTTCAAAAAATACATACCAGTAAGAAATCCTTTTTCTGTATTACTTCTGTGAGAACCTCTTTCAGTGGTGCACTTTTCTAATTGATCTTGTGGGGATTCAGGGCTTATGTAATTTGGCAACTCTATCCCTACCCCTACTCCTACCCTATCTCTACCCCTACCCAGGGGTGAAATTCATCCGGTTCTATCCAGCTTGGGCAAACCGGTAGTGGCGGCTGCGGGAGGCTCCGCCCACCCATGCGGACATCATGATGTCACTTTTTTGGATGCAAAGAAGGTTTTGCGCATTGCACAGAAGGCTTTGTGCACGTGCGAGCGAAGTGAGTGCGAGCACGGCATGCACACATTTGCGAACCGGTAGGGAAGGTAAGTGAATTTCACCCCTGCCCCTGCCCTTGCCCCTACCCCAACCCTACCCCAACCCTACCCCAACCCCTACCCCTACCCCAACCCCAACCCCAACCCCTACCCCAACCCCTACCCCAACCCCAACCCCAACCCCAACCCTAACCCTAACTCTAATCATTTCAATGAAGTGGTTTGTTTTATTGGTCTTACCATATTTTTTATTAGTAATGTCTTAATATTTCTGTTCTTTTTAAATTAACATACTATTACTATGTATATAATTGTCAAAGTAGTCATTAAAATATGTATTTAAAGTTTTTCTTCTTTTTACTTCATGCTGGAAGAAAAAGCATACTTTGATGAGAAGCTTATCATAGGGCAGATACTCTTTATACAAAAAGAAAGAAAAGGAAATATGATTCTTGATTCTGAAAGTACTATCATTCATACCCATATTCATCCCATTGAACAAATGAAATCAGTCACTTATTAAAACGTGCCATTTTTAACAAAGGAGAAGTCTTGAGTTTACAGTTCTTCTAACATTTTGTAACATGAAAAACGTTATGATTTTAATCCCGTCAAGCAACATAGCAATTTCAGTAAGTACTGAATCCCCTAAATTCATGGTTGCAATTTCTGTGTGATTTGAAATAGGAATGGGACAAGGTGTGCCCTTAGTTGGGCTAGTGGTAGAAGGCGGTCCCAATGAAATCCTGACAGTCTGGGAATATGTCAGGGACACACCTGCTGTTCCGGTAGTAATATGTGAAGGAACTGGAAGAGCTGCAGACGTGCTTGCATTTACCTATAAACACACCGCAGATGACACGTGAGTATTTGTATGACATTCCTTCAAATATGGAATGAAGAAACAGTGCGCCAAAATAAGCAGCTCAAATTTTTAAATGACTCTTTAAATCAGCAGTCTCCAACCTTGAGACCCGGCTGGGGAATTCTGGAAGTTGAAGTCCGCCAGGCTTAAAGTTGCCAAGGTTGGAGACCCCTGATTTAAACGGTCTTTCATAAGACAACCTCTGTCTAAAACATATTTGGTGACAGGTAATCCTCTACTTATGACCACAATGGAGCCCAAAATTTCTTTTGCTAAGGGAGACAGTTGTTAAGTGGGTTTTGCCCCATTTTATGACCTTGTTTGCCCTGGTTGTTAAGCAAATCACTACAGTCATTAAGTGAATCACATGGTTGTTAAGCAAATTCAGCTTTCCTCATTGAAATTGCTTGCTGGAAACCTGCTACAAATTTATTTATTTATTTATTTATTTTTCATATTTGTATACCGCCCTACTCCCGAAGGACTCAGGGTGGTGAACAGCCATAATAAATACAAATACATATAGAAGTTAAAAACTATTAAGAAACAGATTAAGTAATTTAGGGTCAAAGATTAAAAAACATCCAAATTTATCTAAAGAGGTTTAAAACCCAATTTAAAAGACAGTTTAAAAGCCAATTAAAAAGGGAGAGTTAGGCCAGACCAGCTTGTTGGAATAGAAATGTTTTCAGGGCTCGGCGGAAAATGCGTAAGTCTTGGATGTTTCGTAACTCCGGGGGAAGCCCGTTCCAGATGGTAGGTGCCCCCACAGAAAAGGCTCTCCCCCTGGGGGCCGTCAGTCGACATTGGTACAAATCACACAGTCCAACTGTCACAAATACCTGTCTTTGCGAAACGCCTGAAATTTGATCACATGGGGATGCTCCGATGATCATTTAATTTAATTTAATTTAATTTAATTTAATTTCCAATTTATATACCGCCCTTCTCCCTGAGGACTCAGGGCGGTGTACAGCCAAGATAAAAAACATAGAATACAAATATTAAAACATTTAAAAATATATATAAATTTTGGCCCGAAGTTAAGAATTACAGACTAATTAAAAGAATTTAAAAATTTCTTCTTAAGCCAACCCGGCTTGCTGAAAAAGATGGGTTTTCAGGGAACGACGGAAGGCATTGAGATCATGGATTCTTCTTATCTCCGGGGGCAACTGATTCCAGAGGGTGGGAGCCCCCACCGAGAAGGCCCTCCCCCTGGGGGTCACCAGCCTACATTGTTTGGCTGATGGCACCCTGAGGAGGCCCTCTCTGTGGAAGCGCACGGGTCGATGGGAGGTCGTCGGTAGCAGCAGGCGGTCTCGGAGATAGCTAGGCCCTATGCCATGGAGCACTTTAAAGGTGATAACCAACACCTTGAAGCGCACCCGGAAGACCACCGGGAGCCAGTGCAGCTCGCGCAGGAGCGGTATTACATGGGAGCGCCATGTTGCTCCCATCACTACCCGCGCTGCTGCATTCTGGACCAGCTGGAGCCTCCGGGTGCTCTTCAAGGGGAGCCCCATGTAGAGAGCATTGCAGTAGTCAAGGCGAGAGGTGACGAGGGCGTGAGTGACTGTGCACAAGGAATCCCGATCAAGAAAGGGCCGCAACTGGCGAATCAGGCGAACCTGATAAAAGGTCCCCCTGGTAACAGCCGTCAGATGTTCCTCCAAAGACAGCTGCCCATCCAGGAGGACTCCCAGATTGCGAGCCCTTTCAGTGGGGGCCAAAGACTCGCCCCCAATAGTCAGTGATGGAGTCAACTGACTATATCGGGATGCCGGGAGCCACAGCCACTCAGTCTTGGAAGGGTTGAGCCTGAGCCTGTTCCTCCCCATCCAGATCCGCACAGCCTCCAGGCACTGGGACATCACTTCAAGGGCATCGTTGGGGTGGCCTGGGGTGGAGATGTACAGCTGGGTGTCATCAGTGTACTGGTGGTATCTCACCCCAAAGCCACGGATGATCTCGCCCAGCGGCTTCACATAAATGTTATAAGTGTGAAAAACAATCATAACAGTGTTGGGTCCTCCCGGTTCCACCGGTTCCGCCAAGCTGGTAGCGGTGACGATATGACGTCATTGAACCGGTTCTGCCCCCCCTGCCCCCCCTGCCTCCACCCCCCTGCACTATTCTTACCTTTTATTTGGCCCCACCCCCAATCTATTGCTGCCTCCTGAGTCCCAGCAAGAAGGAAAAAACCTGTTTAAACTCTTGCCGCAGGGCTTCAAAGGGCTGCCCTACAGCTGATCAGTGTTAAAAGAAAACAAATGAGTAGACCGGTGCCTGCAAAAATAAATGGATAGACCAGTGACTGCAAAAATAAATGGGTAGACCAGTGCCTCCAAAAACAAATGAGTAGACCGGTACAGCTCTGCAAGCAGCTAAAAGCTTGGTAGACCAGTACCTCTGTTAAATCCTAAAGAATTGTCACATGATCATCAAACCACGCCCACAAAATAAGCCACATCCACAGAACCGGTAGTAAAAAAATTTAGAACCCACCCCTGAATCATAAGCCACTTTTTTTCAGTGCCTTTGTAACGTTGAAAGGCTATTAAATGAATGGTTGTAAGTCAAACTATATTTAGGAGAAGTACAGTGTAACAAGCATTGCTGGGGTGATTGGAAAATGTTTACGCTGGTAGGGATCATGGCAAGATGCATGTAATGAAGTAATATCTGTTTGACCATTCATTTTCCTCTCAGAAACTGGAACACTCAACTTAAAGAAAAGATATTATTAAAGATTCAGAACAGCTTCAGTTTTGGGCAAAAGCAGTCCCATCATTTGTTGAAAATTTTAATGGAATGTATGGAACATAGGGATTCTGTAAGTATCCTGATTTCATGGTATCTCTTTATTAATCCCATTCTCTTCTGTCACTGAATTATTACTCATTCCAAGATACTGTTTAATTAATATTATCAATGGTAAAATAAGAATTAATAAGTATTAATATTTCATAATTATTAATATTATAATATTAATAGTGACAAATAATTTGTGCAGCTTTTTTTTTAATATGGCAAGAATTGTATACTTCAAGATAAGGTTGGATATTTTTGCACCAATGATACGAACCAGTAATCCTTACGTTTTTCTTTCTACCATTTTCCACAAACAAAAGTAGCTTCACAATATATTTTGATTAATTGCAGTAGGATATTTATCTGAAACACATGTGAAGAAATCTGTTGAATTCAATTTGTTTTTCTTTATCATTTAGTCAATCATATATCCCATGCCATTTTGTCTCAGTTTGCATGTTTGTGACCATATTTTACAGAATTTTTCAATACGGTTTTCATAATAAGTTCATTCTGCAATGAAGTACATTTTTTGTACAATTGTAATAGGCACAATTTTATGCACTGTATCTCCCTAACATTATGCATTTTTGTGGTAATACCCATTGTTTTTCTTGCATAGCAAGAAAAGTTCTTACACTTTTTCCTTGGTGGGGATACTCTGGGAAAATCCTTTGATTGCTATAATTTGTATATTAGTTTGCATATCGATATTGGAATCACAAATTATGATAATGTGGCTTAAAATATGAAACGACGAAGTGTCCATCATTCTTTCCTTAGAAGCGATATGAAATGATTTGAATTCTTCCCTTATATATGCAGACTCCATCTGTCTTCAGCATTTGCTTCCTATTCTTCAAACAGCTTAACACCCCTGTCTTAGATATCTCTCTGCCATATCTCAGCTTATTCCTTCTGATCTTATTTTCATATTTTTCAGGGCATTGATTCCCTTCCTTCCTGTCAATCTTTTTCTCTATAACTTAGGAGATCTTAGAAATCGTCTAATGGTGTTCACTTTTCTTTCCTCTGGTAACTTATGTTATTCTTTGACAGATAACAATATTTGATGCTGAGTCAGAGGAACATCAGGACATGGATCTCGCAATCCTGACTGCACTCTTGAAAGGTACTTCATATCAGTTTTTTGTCATGTATTTCCAAAATCAAATCAGGAAGTAGAAGTTACATTATTCTGGGTATAAAACTTAACGCAGAATGTGTTTATTCATAGGCACTCATATGTCTGCTCCAGATCAGCTCAATCTGGCTCTGGCTTGGAACAGATTGGACATTGCTAAGAAACATATATTGGTTTATGGACAACACTGGAAGGTAAATTTCATGTTTAATTTCTTTCTGCTGCATATGACTACCATCGGTTCTGCTTTTTCTGCATTGTTTTACTTGTCTTATCATGCACGTGGTAGATTTTATATCTGAATTGCCATCAGCACTGAGATAACATTAAAAAAAAATTGCGTTTCCCATATTGTGTATGAAGGTTGGCTCCCTTGAACAAGCAATGCAGGATGCCCTCATTATGGACCGGGTAGAATTTGTGAAATTGTTAATAGAACATGGTGTGAATCTACATCGCTTCCTTACGATATCCCGGCTGGAAGAGCTGTACAATACTGTGAGTGCCTGAAATTCTGATTTGCTTTTAAGAATGGCAAATGGCTTTTAAACAATAGAATCAAAGAAACAAAACAGTACCACAGCCTTCATCAAATAGTTTGCAGGATAAATACAAAGACCCATAAAAATGTTAGGTCCTTGAAATAAATTTATTTATTTATTTATTTTTCTCAGGAAAAAATATTTCTTTAACCCGGAGGAAATAAAAACATGCACTAAACAGCTAAAAACATATAATGAATGTATAGAAATCATTGGGGTTTTTAAAATATTATATTGTTATAAAATAGAGAAAAAAAATCCCCGAAATATGGCTTGTTATATTCTGATTTAGCCTTTTTCCATTGCCAGTTTTGTTCTAATGGACAGCTCTATTTTGTTTTGTATGACATCTATACTCCCATGTTATGTAACATCGTAAAATGAATTAAATAAAAGGAAGCAAATAAAAGACCCCAATATTAACAATATATTTTTTTCAGCGTTTGGAAGTCTCTCAGTCCACTTGATGATTGTGAAACCCACAATAATAATAATAATAAAAATCCTCAAAAAATAATAACACAGGATATAAATATGCAATGTATTTGAAAAAGATTAAGATGAATCCTAGTTATTTTTAAATAAAAAAGAAAGAAGAAAACTCCAAAATTTACGCAGTTCTTCCCTCACCTCTCATGAGTTGAAAACCAAAATCAAATAGTCTTCCTGAATTTATTCTGACTGGCCACTTTTTAGATTCTGGGGTCCAGAATGTGATCTCAGTCCCAATAATTGCTTTCTTTTTTGAAGAATACTTTTTGACAATCGCACGCTAAGATTTTGCAAGTTCTTGTAAAAGAAATTTGAAGTTTTGTGAGATTCTGAAGTTTTCACACAAGTTCTTCATGCAAGTCTTTCAAAAGCTTTGAAAACTCATGAACAATTACAGAAATACTGTAATTAAATATTTTTTTGGGTGATATTTTTCATGCTATTCATTTATTCATGTTATTTTTTTTATTTCTAAATTCCAGAAACAAGGGCCAACCAATCTACTTTTGCATCATCTTCTTTGTGACGTGAAACAGGTAATTCCCTTCTAAAATATGAAGATCAAGGGCGTTTATAGGCAGTAATTTATCACTATTTGTTATTAACAAATGTATATATCAAGGGTGCCAACCTTGGCAACTTTAAGACATGTGGATTTCAACTCACAGAATTCCCCAGCCAGCCATGCAAGTCTAATTGCCAAGGTTGGACATCCTTGGTATATATTTCTTAGAAGTGTTATAATTCTAGTGGTCCGTAGCAATTGCTGAAATAAAAAAGGTGGTACTAAATAAGATTTTCTAATTGAAAACTCTTTTGTGAAATGTCCTCCGTTCCTTTTTGTCTTGAGCTATTGTTACTGAGGAAGATCTCTGGGTATCATCTAATTAAAGATGTAAACATTTGAGAAATATGGTATTGACTAAAATGGTAAAAGCTATTAACTGCCCATAGGTTATTACTATAATGAATGTATATGTAAATTGTGGAACTTTGTTCTAGTTAAGTGTTCTTCAGTAGCTTAAGTAACAACTAAGATGATTCTTATATTCAATATTCAAGTTAACTTTCTGTAAAACATTTGATATATATAGTAAATATTTTATTTTATCTGAGACACTCTATTTGGCCATCAGATAGATAATTTAGGTTTTAGGTTTTAGGTTTTATTTGATTTGTATACCGCCCTACTCCCGAAGGACTCAGGGCGGTGAACAGCCAACAATAAAATACATAAATACACAAAATTTAAAAACCCGATAAAATCAAATTAAACTTTTTGGCCCAGACAAATTAAAATACCCCAATAATTTAAAAACAGATTAAAATTTACATATTTTAAAAAGGGAAGAGATCAGGCCAAGCCCGCTTGATGGAATAAAAAGGTCTTCACAGCACGGCGGAAGGAACGCAGATCCGGGATCCTCCGTATCTCCGGGGGGAGCTCATTCCAGATGGTAGGTGCCCCCACAGAGAAGGCTCTCCCCCTAGGGGCCGCCAGTCGACACTGTTTGGCTGACGGCACCCGGAGGAGTCCCTCTCTATGAGAGCGTACTGGCCGGTGGGAGGCTATTGGTGGTAGTAGGCGGTCCCGTAAATAACCAGGCCCTAAGCCATGGAGCGCTTTAAAGGTGGTAACCAAAACCTTGAAGCCAATGAATTTGACTTTTATCTCTTTGTTTTATTTGTTTGGCAGTTTTCTCGATTTTAAAAATCTTGTCAAATAATTGTGTCATTGGCTTTTATTGACCCCGTATTAGATTTCAGTGTTTTGTAGTTAACTGGCTTCAATTTTGGCCCAGGAAATAAAAAATGAATGAATAATCTGTAGCCTAGAAAAGTTTTATATTAATTACAGTTTAATCAAGAATACAAGAGGAAATTTTAACAAAACTAATGTCTTGAATTCACCACAAGGTGGGAAGAATAATGCTGTTGAAAGATTTTTCTGGGTTGTGAAAACAATTTCTTAAATATGTTACAAAACAAGTATTTGTTGTAATGTAAGACATTAAATATTTGTGTTACAGAGTACTCTTCCAGTGGACTATAAAATATCGTTGATTGATATTGGATTGGTTATAGAGTACTTGATTGGTGGAGCTTATCAGAGCAGCTACACAAGAAAACATTTCAGAATTTTATACAATAATATTTACAGAAAACATAAGGTAAACAAGTGCATGATTCCATGCCACATTTTCTTACATTGTATGGGGAGCACCCTCATTCACAGATCATCATTATTTCTTACCTCCCTTATGCTTTCCTTATGCTGATTTTGTAATGCTTACCAAAGGAAGCTCAACTAATGTGGAGAGGGACGGAAGAATGAAGAAAATTCTACTCTTTTGCTTTAAGTGTAAATTTGACATAGAAAATAAACAGATGATTAGATCAGCACACAATCAGTGTAATATTTCAGATGTGTGACTATTTAAAAAAAAATATTGATCCAATCTACACCACAGAGTTGCAGCTGTGCAGTAAATAGGAGGGAGCACTAAGTATGCTGCTTTGAACTCCTGTACAAAAACTGAGATATCAATCTAATAAAGAAATAAAACAGGGCTATTTTCAAAAGCTAGTTGTAAACATTGAGTTTAGTTTACAATGTAGTTCCCTGATATCCAAGAAATGTTGAAGAATTGCTGTTCTTATTTTTTGCTTAGCTTGCAACCATGACACATGCTTTTTGTAAAGCAAACTAAATTCTGTATAGTTTTATAAGCACATCATTTAACTTAGTGGGTGGGAAAGGACCGTTTTGCATGTATAAAAAAGTAAAGGTAAAGGTTCCCCTCGCACATATGTGCTAGTTGTTCCTGACTCTAGGGGGCAGTACTTATCTCTGTTTCAAAGCCAAAGAGACAGCGCTGTCTGAAGACGTCTCTGTGGTCATGTGGCCAGCATGACTAAATGCCAAAAGCGCACGGAACGCTATTACCTTCCCACCAAAGGTGGTCCCTATTTTTCTACTTGCATTTTTTATGTGCTTTAGAACTGCTAGGTTGGCAGAAGCTGGGACAAGTCATGGGAGCTCACCCCATTACACGGCACTAGGGATTCGAACCGCTGAACTGCCAACCTTTCGATTGACAAGCTCAGCGTCTTAGCCGCTGAGCCACCGCTCAGTGTGTATGCATGCATTGTAATCAGCATTGTCATGACCAGGATATAATGTTTGTGTAACCTAGTCTTAATTAAACTCTTTCTTTCTATTTCATAATGAATCTTTAGAATCAAGATGTTGTCTCCAGGCTGGCACAGAACCTCTCGCTTCACCAGGTTAATCAGACTGGGAGTCGAAGTGGAACTGCTGAAAATACTTTGCATTCCCAGTTTATCAGAACTGCTCAGCCATACAAATACAAAGTACTATGAATCTTGTTTACTTGTGCAGTTTGTTAAAAGGGCATTAGACTGGAAATCCTGTTTGTTCACTTGACAAGATGAAAGAGGAAGACATACTGGTTTTAAATTTTTTTTTCTCTAGTACATTGAGACAAGGTTGAATCAGATAACAGCTAGAAGTACTATTGGCTTTCTATACTTCTCTTGTTTTAGTCTGTGCAGTGAGAGGTAGAGAAAGATTTCAGGTATTTGCTGAAGTCAGATAATAGACAGAGATCATTGGGAAACACTTTACCTTCCTGAGCCAACTTAAGCTAAGGAATAGACTGAATAGATTTTACTCAAGACTTGACTGTCTGCAACAGTTCTTGTTATTGTAGGGTTTTTCTAAAAGAATGAATAATTCTCAGCTCGCCTAAGTCTTTGAGAAGCTCTTCACTTATTTTTTTTCCTGCTAGACATGGCTGACAATAGAATTAGAAGCATTTCCAATTACAGAGCTATAGAATTGGAATTATGGCTCATTATAAATTATACTCCAGTTTATTGCTTAATTTCTGAATAGTCATGGTTTTCTAATGATAAATAAATGTTTCCTTCGACAGTTTCCTATCTGATTGCTCATCCTCATATCCCAATACAAAAAGTGAAACATAAACAAGTTCCAGCACCTGTCCATTTTCCATTCAAGCATTTCCATATATTCTCCCATTCCGTCACATTAAACAGAGTGATTGTGGGGTTTGTTTGTTTTTTAAATTCAGTGACAGAAAAACAAAGCCAGGAGAATCTACCAATTGCTTTCCTTCATCTGTTTTAGGTTAAATCTGTAAGGATATAAGGATTCATTGGCACCATAACTGAAGCAGAATAAAGTTTCTTCATAAAGGCAACAGAATAAATATAGCCGGCTATTAGTCCTCCCCATCTGATGTGACTTGGCAGCTTCCCCTAGTTTTTATTTGTAGCTGTTGAAATTGTGGTCTGGGTTGTGGACTTTGTATTTATCTGTACTTGTACTAGTACTTGTTTCAAATACACCTTATGTGTGTTTAATTGCCTGGATACAAGCCAACCACACACACAAAAAAATAATATTAATCATTGCTTACAGTTTTCTGACAGTTGTTTCATATATTGCAGCTCCATTTGTGAACTTACAATTTTCCATATAATGTTTTTATCTTTTAAATATTACATATTCCTACTTCTTCTTCTAACTTTGTAGCTCCAAGACACAAAGCTAAGCTTAACTGAGAAAAAAAAAAGATAGGAACAAAAGGCTAAAAGTTTAAAGACTTATATTGACTTTTTATTCATTAACGTACAGGAAAAATCAACAAATCTCCATAAATCCAAGAAGAAGGTCAAAGATGAATTCACAGTATTTGATGACCAAGAGTCGGTTGGCTTTATTTACCCCTACAATGATCTCTTGGTTTGGGCGGTTTTGATGAAAAGGCAGAAGATGGCTATGTTCTTCTGGCAGCATGGAAAGGAAGCAATGGTCAAAGCTGTGGTAGCTTGCAAACTCTATAGAGCCATGGCACGTGAAGCCAAACAAGGCAACATGGAGGATGATACAGCAGAGGAACTGAAGAAGTATTCAAAGTAGGGATTTTCCTTTCACTTCGGATAATAATGATCTGAGTATTTAGAACAAATAGACACTTTTCTCTTGGTTGCTTAATAGTTTTATGTTATGGCAGGTGAAATTTCATCTGAAAAATCTTTTGGCTCCACATGCAAAGAGCTGGTTTGAAATATATTTAATCATCCCTAAACATTTGAAATAATTCAAATTTTTGTCTAGAATTCTTATGTCTTATGTGCATTCTTTATTTTTTATTATGCTGCAGTACATCCTGTTATATAAAAAACGATGAATACAAATTCTGGTTTATTTATGAAGTATATTTTTATGAAGTATTTTTGAGCTGATGGTCCTATATGTTTTGTTTTTTTTAAAATTTGATTTATATGCCGCCCTTCTCCGGAGACTCAGGGCGGCTTACAATGCATTAAGCAATAGCCTTCATACTTTTGTATATTTATACAAAGTCAGCTTATTGCCCGCAGAAACTGGGTCCTCAATTTACCTACCTTAGAAAGGATGGAAGGCTGAGTCAACCTTGAGCCTGGCGAGATTCGAACTTGCAGTAATTGCAGGCAGATGGTGTTAAATTACAGAGCTCTGTCTGTTGAGCTGTCCAGGCTGTTTAATTTCATTATTTGAGATTCTTTATTTCATGTCTCTGAATGATGCCTAGGTTAAAATCTATTGAAATGTTGGCATTATTCCTAAAATGAGTTATTATTTCATAGCATCAGCGTGAAACTTATATCTTCTTTCTGTTCCTATCTGTGATTCATCTTCACTTTATCTGATTAATAGAGTATGATAGGAAGTATAAAAGATTAAATCTTGTTAGATATAATGGGATTAATAGCTGAGTAATTATGTGTATGATTGTAGTAAAATAGGTTTAAAAAATAAAGCTGGAATCTATTAAAGCTGATGGGAGTTTTACCATAAATCAGGAATAGGCATCTGAGGAATATATAAAAGCCTTGAGCCCTTTTTAATTTCCCCCCTTTGACCAAGATGTACATCTCCACCCCAGGCCACCCAAACAATGCCCTTGAAGTGATGTCCCAGTGCCTGGAGGCTGTGTGGATCTGGATGGGGAGGAACAGGCTCAAACTCAACCCTTCCAAGACTGAGTGGCTGTGGTTCCCGGCATCCCGATATAGTCAGTTGACTCCATCACTGACTATCGGGGGCGAGTCTTTGGCCCCCGCGGAGAGGGCACGCAATCTGGGAGTCCTCCTGGATACACAACTGTCCTTGGAGGAACATCTGATGGCTGTAGCCAGCGGGACCTTTTGTCAGGTTCGCCTGATTTGCCAGTTGCGGCCCTTTCTTGATCGGGATTCCCTGTGCACAGTCACTCACGCCCTCGTCACCTCGCGCCTGGACTACTGCAACACTCTCTACATGGGGCTCCCCTTGAGGAGTACCCGGAGGCTCCAACTGGTCCAGAATGCGGCTGCGCAGGTAATCACGGGAGCCGCCTGGCGCTCCCATATAACACCGCTCCTGCGTGAGCTGCACTGGCTCCCAGTGGTCTTCTGGGTGCGCTTCAAGGTGTTGGTTACCACCTTTAAAGCGCTCCATGGCACAGGACCTAGTTATCTTCGAGACCGCCTGCTGCTACCGATGACCTCCCACCGACCTGTGCGCTCCCACAAAGAGGGCCTCTTCGGGGTGCCATCAGCCAAACAATGTAGGCTGGTGACCCCCAGGGGGAGGGCCTTCTCTGTGGGGGCACCTACCCTCTGGAATCAGCTGCCCCCAGAGATAAGGAGAATCCAAGACCTCGGTGCCTTCCGCCGTGCCCTTAAAACTTTCTTTTTTCAGCAAGCCGGGCTGGCTGCTGAATTTTTTAAACATATTTTTAATTTTTAATTGGTTTGTTATCTTAAACTGGGTCCAAATTAATATATATCCTTTTAATTGTTTTTTAATGTTTGTATTGTATGTTTTTATCTGGCTGTACACCGCCCTGAGTCTTTCGAGAGAAGGTGCGGTATATAAATTTGAAATAAAATAAAAAATAAATAAAATAAAGATCACCAAGCTGTTTTCTTGCCATTTCGAAACAGAAAACACAAAATCTATTTTAAAAAAAAAATTTCAAATCCTGAAACATCATGGCCCTCCCTTAACTAGTCCCCCTGTAGTTTTCATACATGTATTTGATCCTAGTAAAAAGTAAAAAAAAATAATAATCTGATCATGTGATTTTTCAGAATAAATTATAGAAGGATGCTTGGATTTTCTGAAAAAAATAATTTAATTTAAAACTGTAGAAAAACATAGTGGTGTATATGACTGTTCTCTTAATATCCCTTGGCATAATTCTCATTCAAGAAAATGTTTAGAGTCATGTTGCACATATGATACAGAGATGTATGCAAAGATGCCTTGGCTACTATGATTAATTCTATTCTAACAGTCACAACTCTCCTCCCCTTGTCCTATTTTATTTTGATGTTATAGTGAGTTTGGGCAGCTTGCTCTAGATGTGTTAGATAATGCATTCAAGCAAAATGAGCAGATGGCCATGAAGCTGTTGACATATGAGTTGAAGAACTGGAGTAATTCAACGTGTCTGAAACTGGCTGTGTCAGTGGGTTTGAGACCTTTTGTGTCTCACACATGCACCCAGATGCTGTTGACTGATATGTGGATGGGGCGCCTGAAAATGAGAAAGAATTCCTGGTTTAAGGTAAACAATTTGTCTTTGTCTAAACTAAAGGCATTTCTCCAGCTTTGGACTACACAGTTGGAGGTGCTTAAACTGGAATTATATGAAGGCTTCCTTCATTTTAGTTCAGTGGTTTTAGTTTCAAGAGAGAAAGCCCTCATTGCTGAGGTAATCTCATAATATTGTTCACTTGTCCTGGTTTTTTCAAAGATGTTATTGAGAAATTAACTGCCCCCATTACAATTTCTATTCTGTTTGACCCTCTTTTTGGTCAATCACTATCAATCCCCTAACCTCCTTCCAACGTAATAGCTGCTAAAGCTTAATCATTTTCATACATCTTGGTCAGTTTTAGAATATGAGGAAAATTAATTTTTTAACACCACTACAGTTGTAGATGACCTGTTTCATTCATGGATGAAATGAAAGCAACATCATTTGGAAAGAGAAGATTTTAAAAAAAAAATGTTTGTACCAATGCAGGATAAGGAAAGTTTTTGTCAGTTTCATAATTTTGATCATGTAAGTAATGCAGTAAAGTTGGATTCCAGAACAACCACAAATCCAATATTGCATGATATTGTAATACCTGAATCAGTGGTGGATTGCCCCCAGTTCGGACCGGTTCGCAAGAACCGATAGTAAAACCGGCGGGAGGCCCCGCCCACTGCCCCGCATGTGCAGAAGCAAGGCGCGTATGCTTGCTTCGCTCGCATGTGCGTGCAATCCCGTTGCAAACCGGTAGTAAAGGTAAGTAGAACCCACCCCTGACCTAAATAGTACATGGTTCATCAATTACTGGATTGGAGGACTACAGTATGTAACTGTGAGTTCTGGACAGCAGGTGAGAAACAGTAGGTGAAATGTATGGGTGTATCCAGAGGAACTGCCTGAACCATCTATACATACATCTATTCCACAGGTGGAAAACTATGGCCTCTTTATGACCCTCATAATTCTTGAATTCTGACTCTGGAATTCTGGGAATACTGGATCAGAAGTTCTGGGAGTTGAAGTTCACAAATCGTAAAAGGGACCATAATTGCCTACATCTATACATACTTTTTCAGATTCTGGTAACACCAGAATCTTAAATGTCAATGTCTGATGAAGTGACAAAAATGCAGGAGAAAAACTGCACATAATTTCTCTGACACAACAAACAAATGAGAACTCAATGGTAACTTATAAGGCACTCTTTCCTGTTTTTCAAACCCTGAATTGTTGGTTATCTCTTTGAAAGCATTTCCTCCTTGGATTATGGTGGGGAAGGAATGGACTCTGTACTCTTGTAACATAAAACTCATTTATGTTTCATAGTCTCGCAGAAGCCCTTTGCCTCTGCCGCCAAAATAAACCTAGATTATAACACTCCTACATTTGATTGTTTCAGAGTAACTTTGTTTTTTATAAGAACATTTTATTGGATTTTTTTTCATTAAAAAGAGAAAGCACTAATAAAAAATATAAGATAAAAAAAGGAAAAAGTGCAGGAAGAAAGAAAAAGAAATATAAAGAAGTGACAGTTTTCTTTTACAACAGTATAAGTATAAATTCAAATTGACCTCTTTTTCTAAGGTTTCTTTTATTAATTTATTTGTTTTATTTATTTGCATCTTGCCCTTATTTTTACAAATAACTCAAGGCAGCAGACATATCCAACACATGTTCCTCTTCCTATTTTCCCCACAACAACAACCCTGTGAGGTGGACTGGGCTGAGAGGGGGAGAGGGAGAGAGAGAGAGATTAGCCCAAGATCATTCAGCCATTTCATGGCTGTGGTGAACTTTAACTCATGTTCTTCTGGTTCTTGCCTGGTGCCTTAACCACTACATCAAACTGGCTTTCAATATTACTTTCATTTTTTCAGTTACCTATTTTTTCTAATCTTCAAATCCATATATGTCAGTAATGGCCACTTGCTTATCTTCATGTGTAGTAAGAAGACATAGATATAAAACAATTTTCTTTCCCAATCATGGAGTGCATTTGCCAGGTCTATTTTTGTGAATGTATTTGACACATTTAACACTATTGCTTTGAGAGCTGCATTGGTTGCCTGTGTGTTTCCGGGTGCTAGTTCAGTGGTGAAATCCAAATTTTTTTACTACCGGTTCTGTGGGTGTGGCTTGGTGGGCGTGGCAAGGGAAGGATACTGCAAAATCTCCATTCCCACCCCACGCCAGGTGAAGGATACTGCAAAATCCCCATTCTCTGTCCACTCCTGGGGGAAGGATATTGCAAAATCTCCATTCCCTCCCCACTCTGGGGCTAGCCAGAGGTGGTATTTGCCAGTTCTCCGAACTGCTCAAAATTTCCGCTACCTGTTCTCCAGAACCTGTCAGAACCTGCTGGATTTCATCCCTGTGCTAGTTATCACCTATAAAGCCCTTCATGGCTTGGAGCTGGGATTCCTAAGGGAAGTCTTCTCACAATTGTTTCTACCAGTTCAGTTCAGGTTGTAGCTCCCTCAGCTAGAAAATGTACCTTCTATGTCACAGCCCCTACTTTCTGGAATAGCCTCCCTTCAGATATCAGGATGACCTCAACCCTGTTGGCCTTTTGTAAGGCCATGAAAGCTTGGTTTTATGTCTTTCTGTATTTTGCATTATTGTAATAGTTTAATTGTTTTTATGTTTTGTGATGTATGCCTATCAGTCACTTGCTGAGATGGATGGCTATAGAAATCAAATAAATAAATAACTAAAGATAAACCATATTTGTGTACACACAAACACAGTTAAATATATATAATATATTTATATATAAAACATAATAAATTATATATTTTAATGTGGTTTTTGAATTGTTTTTACCTGTAGTTTTAATATCATTTTATTGTTTTCTTTATAAATGACCATAAAAGAGACATGCAAGTCTGATGGTTGGTATAAAAATCTGCTAAATAAATAAAGCAAATAAAGCCCAAGACAGGCACCCATAAATCAGTTGGAACCAAAGGGCACTGAGATAAAACAGTTTATGGAAGTACAGCATGATGGGCACTGCAATGGAGAAAGAGTGTCCATAAGAAAAAACCTGTCATATAAACAAAGCTTTTTCTCCAATCCAGGTAGAAAATTTCCCTCCAACCATGACTATAATCCAGAATGATGGATCCCTGTTATTGATATTTTAAATGCTATTTTTGCAATCAGGTGAATTCAGCTGAGCTGTTATCAGACTTATTTCTTTCAGTGCAAAATATTGGATTAGACTAGCCAAGTTAATCTTTGGCAAGTTTTAGATGCCAAGATTAAGGTGTCAGGGTGGGATTTGCTTTTTAAAAGCTGCTGTGTAGTTATTGTCCAATTGCTGTCTAATACTAAAGAATAAAAAAACCCCATTCATAATAAAAATTTGATGCTCTTTTAGGTGATTCTAAGTATTCTTCTACCTCCCACCATCTTGATGCTGGACTTTAAAAGCAAGGCTGAAATGTCCCATGTGCCTCAGTCGCAGGAGCCCCACCAATTCACGTGGTACCATGGTGATCCAAACACCACCAGTGGAAAAGATAACTTATCATTGGTGAGTATGTAACCCTAACCAGGGTTGGGTTTTATTGAATGGAGTAAAAGCAGATTTTTTTTGTTAGGAATTGTTCTGGTCTAAATATTGTGTCACAAGAGAAATCTAAAGCTTAGAAAGTTTTAGGGGCAAATTTATGCATTAATGAAGAGAATATTTGTAGCTCAGGGCTGATATGAGGGGTCCTTGTTGCTCTCTGAGCTTGCTTGTTTTCCTGCAGAAGTTTCATTATTATTATTGTTTTTTATTAGTCATATTTCTATGCCGCCCACTCTCCGAGGACTCTGGGCGGCTTACAACAATCAACAGTATACTAAATAGCATATTGCCCCCAACAATCTGGGTCCTCATTTTACCCACCTCGGAAGGATGGAAGGCTGAGTCAACCTTGAGCCAGTGAGATTTGATCTGCTGATCTGCTGAACTAGCAGTCAGCTGAAGTAGCTGCAGTACAGCACTCTAACCACTGCACCACCTCGGCTCCTTTATTACATTTCATTACCCAAACCAGGTAGCATTATCAGATTTGCTAGCACTCATGATGTTATCTAGTTTGTCTAATGAAATTTCTGCAAGAAAACAAACAAGCTCAGACAGCACCAAGGACCCCTCTGGCTTGTGTATCTTTACTATATCATTTGACTGGGCTCTACCACTCTCCTCTAGTATATTCTCATCTCTTATCCTGTTTTCTCTCTTTCAATCGTTCATGCCCACTTAATAATATACTGCGGATTGATCTTTCATATTATATATTGTATAACATACTGTCTTCAGACTATGAGATCTTAAAAAAATCTTATTTTCTTAGAACAGGATCTGAATTTTGCTCTTTTGAGAGTTTGGGGCCATTTGAAATCATTATGTTAATTTCTAACTAGACTATGAATTGTTCACATGTGACTTTCCTCTTGAATGGGAGATTTTGGACTAAGAACAGTCTCAGCAAAAGTGTCAGTCTCGTGCTTCACATTTTCTAATTGCCATATTTGAATAACTATGTGTGCCACAGATGTGATAAATAAATACAAGGCAGATAGCATGATACAGATGGTCCTCGAATAATGACCACAACTGAGCCCAAAATTTCTGTTGCTAAGCAAGAAAGTTGTTAAGTGAATTTTGCCTAATTTAAGACCTTTATACCACAAATGAATCACTGTTAAAGTAGTAGCATGAGTGTTAAGTGGTTTCCCCATTAACGTGGCTTGTCAAAAGTCGCAAAAAGTAATTTTTTTTTTTAAAAAAAATCAGTAAAATACTTGCAGTTCAATATTACAGGTCCAGCTCACATTTTCTTTGAGTAGTCTGTTAAATTTGCAGGCTTGCTTTTGACGCCTGGCTCTGCATCAGCAGAGGTCTCCCAAAGCCCGGAGCGGCAGTTGGGGATACGGGGCATCTCATCCGCTCCGTCCCAAAAGTAAAAAAAAAACTTTTGGGACTCCGCAGAGAGTTCTACCCACCCCTGCCGGCTCTATCTCCGTTTCCTCATGGAAACGGAGTTTTTTCGAGCCGCCATTCCGTTGTGAAGGCGGCTCTAACAGGCGATGGAAGCTGACGATCCCAAAGGAACGTCTGGCAGCGGCAAACAGCAACCCGGAAGTCCCCGGGTGAAAGGCAGAAGGGTGAAAGAGCCACATGTGGCTCCAGAGCCACAGGTTGCTGACCCCTGGTTTAACCGCAGTCAGAGGCTCCATTCTTAGCAGAGCTGTCTTTACTTTGCCCTTTCTTCTCCAGAAGTCCCAAACAAAGCCTATTCATGCCAGTCTACACAAGCTGGATCTATAGAGACTACTTGACAAGCCAACATACTGTTGTCTGCATCCCACCAATTCCAAAATACTTATAGTGGATTGATTCATTCAGAATATTTGCTTATTTACATATACTGGAATTCATTTATGTAGTTGGATGGCAACTAATTTAAACATTTCATATATTTTAAAAGAATAATTATGATTTTGAGAAAGAGGTTGAGAAGCAAGCTGAAAAACCGCCTTACTCCAACAACAATGAACAACAAAGCCTTCTTGGAACAAGGAAAATGTATGAATTCTACAACGCCCCTATTGTCAAGTTCTGGTTCCACACGGTCAGTTATTGACGTTACACTGAACGTTTTACCAAAATGCGTATCGATAACTCAATCCCTCTGGATGCTACTGAAACAGACCTATTCATGAGAGAGAATAAGAATGTTGGCATTTTAAGTAATTTAACTGGTTGAGTTTTATTTTACTTATTTATTTAGATTTTCTAATAGCCAAGTATATTGCAGAATGAATTTATTTGAAGTAATTATATGGACTCTATTGTCCTAAGAATGTTGCATTGATAAGACAATGAGATTACTAAATATAAATCTGCGACTATTTGACTGTTGACTGATATTATATTTATAATTCGATCTCTCAAAATATCAGCATTGGTTCTATGGGTTTACTGTTCACAATATCCTGTTCAGGCAAGTGAAGGAATGACGGAATAACAATGGTTTGTGATGATGTAAGTTGCTCAATTTTGTCACAGCTGTCAGTCATAAAATGTCTACTGTATATTTGCTAGATGGCCTATTTAGTCTTTCTCATGCTGTTTACTTATACAATCCTGGTGAAGATGAAACCAACTCCCACTGCTCAGGAATGGCTTGTGATCACCTACATTTTTACTACCTCCATTGAGAAAGTCAGAGAGGTATGTCCTTTATTTAATGTTAGCATTACTGCTGTAGTTAATTCTTATATATACAAATACATCTAGGTATATGTAAAATTACAGGTAGTCCTTGACTTACAGCCACAATTGTGCCCAAAATTTCTGTTGTTGAGCAAGACAGGGTTTAAGTGGGTTTTGCCTCATTTTATGGCCTTTCTTGCCACAGTTGTTAAATGAATCACTGCAGTTGTGAAGGTAGTAAATATGAGTCAGTTGCCAAGAGTCTGAATTTTGATCACATCACATACGGATGACGCAACGGTCATAACTGAAAAATGGTCATAAGTCACTTTTTTCATGCTGTTGTGCTTTGAATGGTCACTAAACAAAAACTGTTGTAAGTTAAGGACTACCTATATATGAACGGCAAAATAAATATGCAGGGATTTTGAATCCATTTACTTTTTTTCTTGAAAATATTAATATTACATAATTTGCAAAAATGAAACTGAACAGGAGTAAAAAAATGTGCATCGGGAATGCAGCCTTTCAACAATCTATTTTTTTGGGGTGGGTGGATGGAAGAACCAAATACATCTGAAAGCAGGAGTTTACAATTGTGGGCAGCATTTTTGTTTTGTAGTATTCCCCTTTCCTCCAATTTCACAGAACTGGGGTTGGCAGGGACCATTTAGGCTTTTCAGCTTTTTGCTGATGCATTTGATCCAGGAACCAAACATTGTTACCTAATTATAGTTTAAAATGCAATAGGTAAATATATACATTAAATAGAAATCAAACGTACTTTTTTTTTTTTGGCTCCTTTTGCCTCTTTCTTTTCAGAGTGCAATCTTTACCATACTATTTAAAGTCCAAGTTTTGCCCAAGAAATGCTCTGCATCCCTCCTCTAAAAAAATTCAGTCTTAAGTGTACAAATTAACTAAATGTTGTCTATGTGTATACTAGAGATCCGGCTTTGATGGAGCAAGTAATTGTGAAACTATTCCTTTATAAAACAGCATTGTGCACTGGTTCTTGGTTTACAAAATACAATATTGCAGAACGTTGTGTGGTACATATGAGTAATTAACCTCACAAGTGTTTGCTCTATGCAGCGTGGAGACTTTTGCCTCTTGTTTCAAGTAATTGTTAACTCCTGACCAACATTTCTTTAAATATTAGCATCTTTTCTAATAGTATCCTTCAGCTCAATGGGACTCGTACACCTAGAGCCATTTATATGTTTCTCTGTTTTAACATCACCCCTTCACTTCGGAGCTTATCAGCACGATCATAGCAGTGTATAATTAGTTCGTGTTAAGAGATCTTTTTAATGACCTTCCAAAGTTTCCAGTTCATAATTTGCCTTGCTGAAAAAGCCCTGAAGGGCATTCTTATTGTTCCAGAAACCCCCTGCTCCCCCACTAAATTTTTCTTCTTGTAATGTCAAAAATTTCTCCTTTCAGGATTGGCATGCCTTTTAAAAATGCCAACAATTTGTTTTTTTACCCCACCCCCCTTTGGTATCAGAATAAAGCTAATTTATTGATTCATTCTTCATTTGACCAAAACTCTTTTAATTTTCCTTCCGCTTCCTTGATTTTATATGCTGTTTATTAATATTTCATTTTGCCAGAGGGCTAGCTATATTTTAAACACAGGTATAACTATTGCAGCCCTTTGGTTGCTCTAATGAAACAGAGAACAAATAGATATAGAAATAGAAATACATTTCAGTTGGAAGAACTGACAAAAATCTGAGATTCAGGGTTTTTGAACAGTGGTTGATTGAGTAATTTGAGTAATTTCAATTGTTCCTTCTGCCAAAGGCCCCCAACCATCGTTCCAATGTTTCAGTGAGTGATTCCTTTCTGCCATCTTGCCAGTTAGCAACCCTACTCATTTTTCCCAAGCTGCAAAAATGAATCTCCCAAATATCAATTAACCATCAAGACAATTAGACTTGATCAGGTATGATAATGACTTTTAGGAATCATAGACTACTTACTATTTACTAAAAACATTTAAAGCAATAAGAACACAATTTAATTAACTTTTTGTTGTTGTTGTTGTTGCATAATCTTCATGCAAAAGGAAAGTTTTCCAGACCAAGGAACTTAATAGTCTCTTTTATCTGCAACCTTCATTAATGCACTTCTGAACCCCAGACCATGAATACTTTCACAGGTAAGTTGTAAATTGAAAGTCTAAGATATGGGCTATTAAAGCCCATAACTTAAATTTTAAATTTACAACTTACTGTATTCATGGATCTTCATTTGGACATAAGGTTTCTGTGTGTAGATATTTTATTCTCATCATGAACCTTGGTAGTACAGTGGTCTAAAGCACCCTGTTATTAAGACCAGCTGCCTGCAATTACTGCAGGTTCGAATCTCGCCAGGCTCAAGGTTGACTCAGCCTTCCATCCTTTCTAAGGTAGGTAAATTGAGGACCCAGTTGGGGGGGCAATAAGCTGACTTTGTATAAATATACAAAAGGATGAAGGCTATTGCTTAGCGCATTGTAAGCCGCCCTGAGTCTCCGGAGAAGGGTGGCATATAAATCAAATTTAAAAAAAACAACAACACAAGGAGCTAATGCTAATTTTGTGATCTTGATATGTGATTGATCAGTAATCCTGATGTGAGCCACCCCCCAGTTGTATTGGGATGTTTTAGCTTCAATATAAATCTTCAATATGAAGATGTTATTATTTAGAGGTAAACCCCAGGGAGAAACATGAGCTATGTCCAAGTGAACTTGTCAAAATATTTGAGTGTCACCATTTTATACATAAAGATTATTCCAAAGGGTATTCATTGCTCTGGTGCAATTACATTATAGATAACTGATAAACCCTCCTAGAAGCTATGGAGGAAGATCTGATTAAAAAATTAACTGGGAAAAATAAAGCATGAATGATGCAGGATCGCATCTACTATAAAGAAAATTTCATACTTCAAGAATTCCAAAGAAAGATCATAGACAAAATGCATAAAACCTGAGAAAAATCCATGAATAAGATAAATGTGACCTTTTCCCTACTCTTTGAATAATAAAGAAGACACAAAGTAATTAGACCTCCACTTATTATTCAAGTATTTGCAATAGAAAATCAAGGCAGCAAAAAAATAGAATGAATCAAGTTGAAAATATAGTCAATATGTGCCATTTGGGCATATTGTAACTCTCTAAGAAGGCATCATTCCCTGATCCGAAGCAAATCTGAATCAGGATAAATTTTCTTGTTATCAGAAATAACCCATATTTGGCAAAATATTAACGTTGAATATAAACAAAGATCTTTTAAAATTTAAAATTGGCTTCTTTCTAAATTATCATTACAATTTAGCTTACATAAAATGTAAAAATATATCTATTTCAAGCTGATAATTCATAGTCATTAAAGCATCGTAATTTGTGTTTTATGGATGAGAAAATAAATATAACAAATGATGCTGACAATAATTATTTCGTTTCTGGGAAAAATTAATTTAATGTGTAAGTATAGTAAAGTTGTTGGGCATTTGCATTGTAATGATTCAGAAGTCAAATGGAGTATCATTTTTCCTTTGTCTTGTGTCACTCACTTGAGGTACATATTTTTGTTTATATAGTAATGTTATAACAAATCATTCTGCCTTTAGATTTTTATTTCAGAGCCAAGCAAGTTCATCCAAAAGGTGAAAGTATGGATTTATGAATACTGGAATTTTACAGACTTTATTGCTATCATCCTGTTCATGACCGGATTTGGTTTGCGCTGGGCTAATCCTCCACTTCAAACAATAGGAAGATTAATTTATTGTTTGGATATAATATTCTGGTATGCTCGACTTCTTGATTTTTTTGCCGTGAATCAGCATGCTGGCCCCTATCTGACAATGATAGGCAAAATGGTAAGTACTGTTGGGTGCTATTATGAATAATTATAACCTTTTCTTAACTAAGCTTGGCTTTAATAGTTCCCCAAGGTGCCTCAGAACCATGAAACCATGAGTTCTAGTCCTGCTTTAGGCATGGAAAACCAGCTGGGTGACTTTGGGCCTGACACTCTTTCTCAGCCCAACTCACCTCACAGAGTTGTTGAAAATAGGAGGCAGAAGGAGTATTTAGTATGTTTGCCACCTTGAGTTATTTATAAACAATAATAAAGGTGAGATAAAAGACAAATAAATGAAAAGTTGTGGTCATACAATCAGTAGAACTGCAATATTGGATCAGAAATACACATGGAATAATAAAATGTGATGATGAAGGACACTTGACTTACTGTATTCAAGATATGTGTTAGTGAATGTTGCTCCCACTTGGAACCTCCTTTTAATATAATGAGGAATTTATTCAGCTTTATTATTAACACAAGTATCTTGGTAATCTCTTTTACCCTGTCTCTCTTTTCCTTCTCTTCCATTGTAAATCATAATTTACAATTAATCTACAATTTATTCTTGAGTTAAATCTTGGATTCATTGAGAATAACAGACCAGGATCTCCAGTTTGAATAATATGCTAAACAAAGAATTCCTGATTTATATTGGGTCATTTGAATGACTGGTTTTAATGTTCAAATACATTGGGAGAAGGACTTATGAAAAGCTCATTAATTTGATTGGAAATAGTTAGATAATAAATATGCTATTATTATTATTCATGGTTTTTGAATAATTGGCAACCTTGTATCTTTTAAGATGCTTTTATATTATTTCTTAATAGATTGCACAATTAGATTTATTAAAAGCAACAACAGAGACTGTCTTCGTTTTAAAATTCTTACTACTACGATACCCTGTTTTGTTTTTCATTACAGACAGCAAACATGTTCTATATTGTAATTATGATGGCCATAGTACTATTAAGCTTTGGTGTTGCACGAAAAGCAATACTTTCTCCAAATGAGCAGCCATCATGGACTCTTGCACGAGATATTGTATTTCAGCCATATTGGATGATATTTGGTGAGGTGTATGCAGGAGAAATTGATGGTATGTCTGCTGTTGTTGAAATGTTGCATTTAAATTTCATGCAATTGAAATCACATTCATGTAAATCTTCTATTTACATTTATTATTTTAATTGTTTTTTAATGGATTTATAGTCAGTATGCTTTAATAGTAGGTTTTTCTGTATGCTGCCCAGAGTCATTTTTTGTAAAATACAAATTGGAAAAATAAAACAAATAAATAAAGGCATAGCTTACTTATTAACACAGCCACTTATTATGTGGCTAGTAATAATAAACAGAGCGCCAAAGAATTGAAGGCTTTGAACTATGGTGCTGGAGAAGACTCCTGCGAGTTCCTTGGACTGCAAGGCGATAAAACTGGTCAGTCCTAGAGGAGATCAAGCCTGACTGCTCTTAGGCCAGATGCTGAAGATGAAACTCAAATACTTTGGCCACCTAATGAGAAGGAAGGACTCACTGGAGAAGAGCCTAATGCTGGGAAAAATTGAGGACAAAAGAAGAAAGGGACGACAGAGAATGAGGTGGCTGGATGGAGTCATTGAAGCAGTTGGTGTGAGCTTAAATGGACTCCAGAGGATGGTAGAGGACAGGAAGTCCTGGAGGAACATTGTCCATGGGGTCGCGATGGGTCGGACATGACTTCACATCTAACAACAACAAATAATGAACAGTGGAAAATGTTTGTCTTAATTGTGCTCTATAACCTGTGATACAAATGAAGCATAATTTCATTGTTCTCCAATTTCACTGCAATGAAAAGCTCTAATATCCGGATAAACAATAAAAAAAATACCCCCTCCTTTTCCCCATCCTTTCTGACTTTGATGATTGAATTTCCCAGCTAGATTCTGTCTCAGACACTTAAAATAAGGGGAACAAAGAAAGCTAAATGACTAGATGATTCGGTAGATGATTAGATATGTTAGATTGCACTATACCTTAAATATTATTATACTATAATATCTAATGAGGTCGTAGTTCAATAATTTTCAGATGCTTTCACCCACTTCTCTGACTTTAAAACTTTCGTAATATAGAATAGACATTGTGAGATTATATGTGTTTTTCTAAGAACTCTGTTCTCTTGCCAAGTGTCATTAAATTCTGTAAATACATAATTTGTCTTTCACTATGAAAAATAAAAGAAATAATTATACAGAAAATGTTGGAAGTAGTTCATTTATGGCTAATTCACTACCATCAAATTGATTAAGCTTCATTATTTGGTTTAAACTGGCTGGAGCACTTAATTCATGAATGGATGTATCATTATATCAGTATTCACAAGCCAGATTTACAGAGTTTCTTTTCTATTTTTTCAGCTTGTGAATTAGATAAAAACTGTCCTCCAGGTTCATTCCTCACCCCGTTTCTTCAAGCAGTGTACCTTTTTGTACAATACATTATTATGGTCAATCTACTTATTGCTTTCTTCAAGTAAGTATTGCTTTCTTCTAGCCCTATCCTGATGATTTTAAGACATTTTAGAATTAAAGTTCCAAAGAAAATTTGGGGGATTATAGTCCAGACACATCTGTAGGGTATTAATGTTTATGTTTTATTGTTATTATTGATAGTATATTTAGCTTACAAATTTTATAGAAGTAAAAATCAGCTTCTTTCAGTTATAATAAATAGATTCCAATTTAGGAGAAAAAGCATAATAAGTCCAAGGTTATGATCATGATTTTTTTTTAACTAGATGTTGTCTATGCCTAATAAATGAGTTCAACACTGAACATATTTTTCAGCAGATCCTTTTTTGCATATTGCCTTTGTATACATGTCTAGGAATTTTTTCTTACTTTCATAGGCTTTATGGTAATTACCATGGGTGAAAGGCAGGGGACATCTTTGACAGTGGTGGTATTCAAATTTTTTTTACTACCCGTTCTGTGGGCGTGGCTTGGTGGACATGGTGTGGCTTGGTGGGCGTGGCTTGGTGGGCATGGCAGGGGAAGGATACTGCAAAATCCCCATTCCCTACCCACCCCACTAACCTGCTTTCCAGCTCCATTCTCCTGTGCAGGGCAACAAAAGAAGACCCAACCGATCAGCTGGGACTCTGATCAGCTGGGACTCAGGAGGCAGCAAATAGATGGGGGCAGGGCCAACCAGAGGTAGTGTTTACCAGTTCTCCAAACTATTCAAAATTTCCGCTACCGGTTCTCCAGAACCTGTCAGAACTGGCTGAATTCCACCTCTGATCTTTGATATAAAAAGCAAACTCTTAAAAAAACTTCATTTGGTGTCCTTATCAGAATCATAGACTTTTTTCCTCTGAGTTATACAGTACATGTCTCAGTTGCAAAGGAACAATCAAATGATTGGTGAAAACATCATGAATATAATCATCATTTATGTTTTTAAAGGAATTCAGGTAGTCCTTGATTTTCAACCACAGTAGAACCCCAATTTTTTGTTGTTAAGCGAGACTTTTACCCCATTTTATGAATAGACATTGTAGACTTTTCCTATTAGGTAGTCTCCTGCAGTTGTTAAGTGAATCACTGCAACTGTTAAATTAATGACACTGTTGTTCAGTGAATCCGGCTGCCCCTTTGACTTTTGCTTGTCAGAAGATCACAGAAGGGATCCCCAGGACACTGCAACAGTCACAAATATGAGTCAGTTGCCAAGTGTCTGAATTTTAATCATGACTGCATGACCACGGGGAGGCTGCAATGGTTGTATGAGTGAAAACAGTCAGAACTCACTATTTTCAGTGCTGTTGTAACTTTGAACTAAACAAACTGTTGCAAGTCGAGGACAACCTGTATTTCTTCTTGTTCCCTAGAAATATAATTTAAATGCTATCTAACATAAATATGATGTAACAGGTCAATGGTTATATTTATTTTATTTATTTATTTTATTTTTTAAATTTTTATACCGCCCCCTCTCCCGAAGGACTCGGGGCGGTGAACAGCCAAAATTAAAAAACATACAATATAAACATTAAAATACTATAAAACAAAATTAAATTTATCTTTGGCTTATAAAGTTTGTGGTTCGTAAATGGTTTGTAAAGTGACCATCTGATCCACTCTCTCCCTTTCCTTCTTAATCCCTAGTAATGTTTATTTTGATATGAAGTCTATGTCAAACAAACTCTGGAAATACAACCGTTACCGCTATATTATGACATACCATGAAAAGCCATGGCTGCCCCCACCTTTCATCATACTGAGCCACATTGGCCTTGTGCTAAATTGTCTTTGCAACCGCCGGCTCCCAAGTGAACTGGATCAAGAGGAGAAGGAGCATGTTGAACTCAGTAAGCAGAGCCTCTCTATGTTTAGTTTTCTTATACAAGGACCAAATATAGAAGTCATTAAAAAAAAAAGACCATAATGACATTCCAGCTGATAATTGTGTGGTTATAGGTATTGTCATGGGACAAATAAATGGGAGTTTTTAAATATGTAGATGTGCTGCAGAATTCTAAAGATGCTGTTTATTTACGTATTTGTTGAGATCAGTGTTGGCACGATGTAAAATAACAAGATACAATGTACAAAACGGGTGTCAAACTCACCGTGTCACATTGCCGTCACCTGATGTTTTGAGACATTTTCCCCATTCGCGGAACTGGGGTGGGTGTGGCCTATGCATGATGCATCCGGCCATGGGCCGCCAGTTTGACACCCCTGATGTACAATAAATAAATGAATAGGATGGAAAATTTGACCAACTAACACCATAACTGCAAATATATGCCATATCAAACAAGAGGCATAAAGCAAAGAACAGCCAGGAAAAGAAACCAGGGAGAAGAAAAACAAGAACTGGGAGAACAGCCAGGTCTTTAACAGGGGTGGGTTCTACTTACCTTTACTACCGATTCTCAATGGCAGTGCATGTGTGTGCTTATGACGTCTGGGCAACTGGGCGGAGCCTCCCGCGCTTTAACTACCGGTTCACAAGAACTGGACACAGCCAGGAGCAACCCACCACTGGTCTTTAAGGACTTCCAGAATGTCATCAAGATCACCTATTTCTAAGTGAGGGAACTTCATTGCACAGAGAATTTCTTCCTCTCCACCATTTAGCATCCATGTGGGGGTTGTTGTTTTTTTGGTGCAGTTACAAAGAAGAATTCACAGATTATGATTACAATCAGCATTCTAGTGCCAAGTGAAAGGTGTACATCATGTTCAGTCAAGATTATTTCTAATCAAGTCAGGTTGTAGCTATACCACTCAGTTGATAAAATATGCTGTGTTCGGAGAGGTGGGGTTCTTGTTGCTCTCTAAGCTTGGTGGTTTTTTTGTGGACATTTAATTACCAAACTAGATAACATCATAAGTGTGCACTATTGATGTTACCTAGTTTGGTAATGAAACGTCTGCAAGAAAACCACCAATCTTAGAGAGCACCAAGGACCCTACAGTTCAATCCTGGGCTACAAATATTATGTTCTATTCATTCCAGAGAGGCCCTGTAATGATAAAATCAATTTTATCATAATCTCTGAGCATGAACTACATTGTTTAGAAGGCAATGCTATGGCTTCCAGAATAGGTTGAACAACTTTTCTTCATGCAAACTAGCCACTGGTAATACCATTATTTTAGGTTTTTTTCCCCTTGAGTTTACTACTGCCTTCTTTAAGGAGGGCTGTCTTTATATGCAGGAAAGAAAATAACTTTTTTCAATATCATCCCTTATTTAACAAAATATGAAGGACAGACTATATGCGACGTTTGTGTGTACATGTGTGTGGAGTGTATAAGATTAATGGAAACTACAACGGAAGAGAAAAGGATTTTATTTATTATATTTTATTTTATTCTGGATGACACACACTATAATAAACAATAAAACACAATACAGAACAAAGCAAGATGGTATCCAGTCGCTCTATGCAAATTCATAGACAAAACATAACTAACCAGGGGCTCTATTCATCGTAATCGAAGGCCTGAAAGACCAATTTATGTCTTCATATGTCATTGTCTCGACTTTCATTTTACCACTCCCTATTAACAGTTAATCAACACTGTTGAAAGGTTCACCCACCTGTAACTAACACGTTTCTGTCATGTGTTTGATCACTAAGGTTATTTAAATCCAATAAAGGTAACATTAATTTGTTATTGCTTTACCCAGAACTGTACCTGAGCGATGAAGAATTAAAAAAGCTTCATGATTTTGAAGAACAGTGTGTGGAACAGTACTTACATGAAAAGAAGGAAAGCTTTCATTTCAGCGATAGTGAGCAGATCCGTGTTACAAATGAAAGGTAGGCCATGTCTTATAATAATACTTCTTTGATACCTGGCATTGTTGAAGGGAGGGTCCAAAATTTATAAGATGCCAGTCATAGCATCATAATGAAAACCCTGCCCCTTTTGTGCATGTATGCAATGTCATCAGAGGTGGGTTTCAGCAATTCAGCAATTCTGATCAGTTCTGGAGAACCGATAGCGGAAATTTTGAGTAGTTCGAAGAACCGGTAGTAAAAATTCTGACTGGCCCTGCCCCCATCTATACTCTGCCTCCCAATTCCCAGCTGATTGGGAGGAAAAGGGGATTTTACAGTAACCTTTCCCTGGACTGGGGTGGAAATGGAGATTTTACACTATCCTTCCCCTGCCACGCCCACCAAGCCACATCCACAGAACATTAGTAAAAATTTTTGAAACCCACCACTGAATGTCATATGTAAAAGAGCCAGGTCATCTATGCAAACCTCTCAAATCTTGCAATTTTGAACTGCTCCTTATAATTTTTGGCAACAAAAGCATGTTGAACTGGTCCTAAATATTTAAATGTTAATTAAATATTTCATTATTGTATTACGCAATATAGTGGAACAAAAAATAATAATAGATAATATGTGAGGTCATTCTGAAAAAAAAATGAATAAATTCCTTAAGCCACGCCATCCTGTTAAATTCTTTAGGTGTTCTTCAGTTTAATGCAGAAAGCAAAGATTTATTCAACTAAATTTTGGGTTATGCTGAATCATATTGAACAAATACTCAAATGATCACATAGACCAAACTTTTGAACACTGAAATTGTTTTAGCAGACTGCAAACCATTTAAATGTGTCTCAGATAATCACATTTATGACAAACGATTCTACGAATCATAAACACCTTGCAGTAATCAAGAGTTATAAGGTAGAAAATACAAGTGAAACAATTTGGCTTCATATCTAATGAGCTTCTAATTTACCAGTTGGACAATACAGTAAATACATTCCTTTAGTGTAGTGAACCATGCATAGGAATATAATTTTTGGATGTTCTTCCCCCAGAGTTGAAGAAATGTTTTCACAGCTGAAGGAAATTCACGACAAAGTAATTTATATCAAAGATTCTTTACTTGCCTTGGACAGCCAACTGGGACACTTACAGGACCTCTCAGTTTTAACGGTTGATACTCTCAAAATCATTTCAGCTGTGGATACTTTGCAAGAAGGCGAAGTCTTTCTATCTGAACAGAAGCATCAGTCCTGTAGAAAGCTTCCGCATAGTTGGAGCAACACTCTATGTTCAAAGGCTTTGAGTTGCATGGAAAGTGAGAATATCAAGTACAATTACCACAGCATGCCACCTTCTCTTCAGAGGAACCTAGCCAGAAGCCATTGGTCATTAGGGGGGAACCATCCCATTCTGGATGGCCTAAACTATGATGAAATCCAATTAATCAAGAAAGATCAAGAACAGGAAGTTGAAAATGGCCTTCTGACATCGGAGTTATCTTCAGGGAATAAATCAGGCTCTCGATACGGACAGTTTCTTCTTGTGCCTCCAGATCAGAAAGGAGCTTCTGAAGATGCTGGTTTAAGTTTGGCCTTTTCAACTACTCTGAATGAGCTTAAGGATGAGGACTTAAAAGCTAAAGACGAAATGAAGCAGAGTGACCCTGTCCCTCAATGCCATGTATGCAGTGCCAACGATGGGGCAAAAACAATGCCGGTTATCAGCCAAGTACAAGAGCTGAACATTTCCGTGGCTAAGAAAGAAAACGAAACTGCTGCCGAACACCATTTATCCATCCACACAGTTAATAGCATCCGTGAGATCTCTCAATCTGCTCCTTATCAGTGTGAGGGACCAGGAAAAGGTTATGTAAATTGGGGCTTCCTGGAAGACAACGAGAAGAGAGATTGTGGAAATTGGTCAAGGCAGCAAGCATGTCAACAATCGCTCCATGACAAAGAAGATGGCCGTTACAGTCCTCCGCATGTGCAGATCAAGGAATCCAAATCTTTCTCTTACAGTTCGGACGTATCAGAGTACAGTAGTGACAGCTCACAGTCTCGCCTGACTTTTCAGCGCAGCATGTCTGTCTGGATCAACCCTCTCAAGAGAAATTGGCCTTTCTGCAAAGGGAGCAGCTTTTCTGCCCATGGTGCTGAGAAAACAGCAAAAACCTGCAAAATAAAAGGCAATAACAACACAAATTTGAGTTTTCTCCTCTTCTTGTGCTTTCATCTTCAAAGAGAGAGCTCTATTGCAGGGGTTTCCAACCTTGGCAACTTTAAGCCTGGTGGACTTAGCTGGCTGGGGAATTCTGGGAGTTGAAGTCCTCCAGGCTTAAAGTTGCCAAGGTTGGAGAGCCCTGCTCTATTGCATTTACAGGTAATCCTCGTCTTACAACCATTCATTTAGCAACCTTGAAGTTACAATGGCACTGAAAAAAAAAAGGCTTACAACTGATCATCACATTCCAGCATCCCCAACAGTCACATGATCAATATTTGGGCACTTGGCAAGGCATGTATTGGCAATGGGTACAGCATCTTAGGGTCGCCATTTGCATCCTTCCCAGCTGACCTCTGTCAAGCAAAGTCAATGGAGGAAGCCAGATTAACAACAACTGCATGATTCACTTAACAAATGCAGTGATTAGCCTAACAATGGTCGTAAAATGGGGTGCAACTCACTTAACAACCACCTTGCTTAGCAATGGAAAATCTGGTCCCAATGTGGTTGTAAATCAAGGAATACCTGTATTTTTTTTAAAAAAAGAGTTTTTCTATATTTGCATTTTTTTGCCTTCTTTTAGCTGTCTGTCTGTCTCTCTGTGTGTGTATATGTAGAAGGCAGACTACAAATAAATTAAATTGGTGTTAACCAGCGGTTGGGTTCAAACAATACCCTAAGCAATAATGTGTGCCATGTGGTTTTAATTTGTCAGGTTATATAAACAGAGCCATCTTACCTCAACTATCAGCAAGATGGCAACTGCAGGCACCAATGACATTAATAGTGTCTTTGAATAGTATGCAATAGCTGTCAAGATTCGGGTTAATGTCAAGGTTCCAAGTAACATCCCCAACAATAAAAGACTCTGAGGCTTGAGATTCCTCAAAGTTCCATTTTATTAGAGATGTCAGATTGGCATATCTAGGAAAACCCAAATATGAAAGCTTCCAGGTTTTCCCCACCCAAAGGAAAGTTCAAATCCCTGGCCAACACCCACATGTCCATTACATGGTCCAATCATCCACTGTCCCAACTGGAGATGGCTCCCAGTCATCCGACTCCAGGTGCCAGGGCAAGGCGTCCTTGACTCTCTGAGAAATGAATGTTATTTTGACTATATATATCTCCCATACTCCATACAATCCCCCATCCCATTTCCCCACAGTAGAAAATGTGGCAGGCTTGAAGGCCCAATGTAAAAGATGGCTTCCAGACCTAACAATAGCATTATAATGATATGACACATTTTATGAAATCATAAGGCAAACAAAATTAGAATTATATGTAAGTATATGCAATATTATAATGACATTTGAAATATCACTTGACATTCTTCCTCCATACACCTGTATTATTAAGCTCAAAGATTTTCCTCTCCCCTCCCCTTCCCTGCCCTGCCCTCCTCTTTACTCATACTTTTGTCTACCATAGAAAAATAGTTTAATCTTTAGCTATCCTCAGCATAATGTGAGGACCAATTGTGATGATTCAGTCTTCCCCAAACTATCCTCCATATTTTGGGTCTACATGTACATCATTCATAGTCAGCTCTTACAGTGCAGATGATAGGAGTGGTAATCTGTTATGTTCGTGAAAAGAGGAAAATCAATTGTAAACCACTTGAAGTTGTTTAAACTGGGCAGCAGGTAAATATTTGTAATTAAATAAGTAGTTACAAATATGACAGACAAGGAAATGTATGGAATATTAGTATGTTGAAATATACTAATTTTTTGTTAGACACTTATAAAATAAAATAAATATATATATTATTCTATGACTAAACAGAATATTGAACTTGTTTAGTTGCAGAATAGATATATGCTAGATAAATATGTATAAGAAGTGTTTTTTAAAATATTGCTAGAAAATATCTTGCAAGAAGTCTGTGACAAGCCACTTTTATCTCTTGACTTCATAGTGTCTTTAACTTCATATATTCCATTGTATTAAAGATGATTCCATGGTGTTGCAAACAATGCTAAAAAGAGGCATAGCTAAAAGTAAACTCCATTGATCACAATATGTCTTCTCTCTTAACAAAAAAAGTCACTGTAAAACTTGTAGACTTATTTGAAATATGAATTTGTGTCTTCGCCCTTTTTATTCTTAGAATTTTCAAAATCTACTCAGCTCTGTCAGTCAGTATGGGCCAAGGCAAAATTTGGAAACAAAGAAAGGAGGTCTTCAAGGAAAAAGCGAAAAACTCTTCAAGTTCCAGTAGGTATTAATAGAATTAGAGTTATCTGTTGTTAGAGTTTGTGTGTGCATATAAATGTATGTATGTATGTACACATATACATATATACACATGCATACACACACATATATACACACACAACATATAGTGTATACACAAACACACACACACACACATATAGTCTATACACACACACACACACACTGTATCTTGATATCACCAGAAGTTTTAATCACATCCACACAGACCCACCCACACCAAGTATGGGTGGTTCTGTGTGGATGTAATTAAAACTTCTGGTGATATCAATTAATCGTTTGCAGACAGTGCATTACTAAAACAAAGGACAAACATTCATCAAAAATAGAAGCTAGGCTTCAAATAAGGATGGTTATTTGTAAACTACAATGCATAGTTAACATGTTTTCAAAGAAAAGCTGTTCATCTCCTCTGAAGATTATTTCAAAGCAGCAGGTTTTGGAGTAGTTAATCCACAGAGGTAACTTTTTTGTTTTGTGAATCATGTTCCGAATTTTCAAATGTTTGATGAAATGAGTCATCTGGAATTGTAGGATACAATCCACAGGAAAAATACATGTTTTATATAGTACCATTTGCTTAATCATGGTATTTCATCCCATGAATAGAATTCCCCAAAGTATTGTGACTTTTAATCCTACAGTTGATGAAATTTTTCCCATTTCAACTGATTGGTGTATAAGCAAAATCACTTCTTCCCTGCTGTCAACTACTTGTATTGCATAATGAATATAATTTGTGGAGCAGGCAAATACTTTTATTTAAATAACTTGATTTGACTTTGGATAAAAATTGGGGCTATATATATTTTTGTACCTTGTTTCTACTCTATTTGATTCATGCAGTTTTCCCCCTTAACTCTCTAATCTCTGTTTGTATAGGGATAATAGACATTGCTTTTAGAGGGCAATGAAAATATGACAGCAGTCCAGGTGATATTCAAATTGATATTTGATTTTTCTGGACCTTCGGCTGACTTTTATTTCCTCTTTTCTCTTGGCAGTTGATTACAGTAGATAGTTGCCCTCAGAGCATCCAAGTGAATTTGGAACCGCTTGACAGTAAACCTGCCGAAGACAAAGAGGAACGCAGGGCCAAATGGCTGACTGTGTCTCACTTCAAGCAACTAAGTATGTCGCATTAGGCCCATGAACATTACATACAGGACTAAAAGAAAACCATGCATACTGTTGAAAACAACCCCTTTCAGAGAACAAGTTATAAAGATAGGCTAAGAAACTTCTTGAGAAGAATCACAATATTATAAATTTGAAGAATAAGAAATACATTAATCTAATTTCACAAGTTGTAGATCTACCATGAAGGACAGAAGGAACACATTTTCAAATCATAAGTAACAAATTACAGACATACAACTGACAGCAAATCTTGGGTCCCTGTGGAATGTATGATTGTTCTACAGAGTTAACAGGGTTTACTATTGAATGTTGGCTTCATCATCAGTATATTAATTTACATTTGTGGTCCAGTAAGAAGAAATTGCATGGAACCAGCAAAACTTTCATGAGTTCCAAAGAACAGGATTAATTAACTTTATTTTGCTAGAAGTTTCACTCCTCCTCCTCCTCTTCCCTCTGAGGGTTGCAGGAGCCAAGCACTGATATAATTAGAAAGCTGGTATTTTTAGCCTGCCTTTGTTTGTTGAATTTTTTAAATGTAAAATTCATGCCTTAAATATTGCAGGGAGTTAACACATGCAAATTACCATTACTCTATCCCAGAATCTCACAAAGATTTAAAATATTTAACACGCTTCATCCCCATGCCCAAATTTTTACCTACCTTATCCAGATCATATTATTGGCCTTCAATTTGCAGCCACAATTGAGCCCAACATTTCTGTTGCTAAGAAAAACAATTGTTAAGTGAGTTTCCCCCCATTTTACGATCTTTCTTGCCACAGTTGTTAAGTAAATCACTCCAGCTGTTTAGTTAGTAGCATGGCTGTTAAGTGAATCTGGCTCCCCCATTGCCTGTTAGAAGGTCGCAAAAGGGGATCACATGACCCCCAAGACACCACAACTGTCATAAATATGAACCAGTTGTCAAGTACCTGAATTTTGATCGCCTGACCATGGAGATGGTCAGTAATGGTTGTAAGTGTGAAAACCGGCATAAGTCACTTTTTTCAGGGCCACTATAACTTCAAACAGTCACTAAATGAACTGTTGTAAGTCAAAGACTACCTGCATTTGATTATATAAATCCTTTATCATCAAACCATATAATGCAAATTTCCTTTCCAATACCCTTCAGTCCCTTGACTGATAACAAAATCTTAGTGACAGTCAGACAAAGGATGAAAAAAAAAAAAAGCTTGTGTGTCATGTCTAAAAAGAGTCCATCATAACACAGCCCTCTGTTGACATTGCATAACCCTTATGAAAATCCTATTTGTAACAGTAACAGAGTTGGAAGGGACCTTGGAGGTCATCTAGTCCAACACCCTATGCACGCAGGAGACCTGTACTAGAGATTTGAACCGCCAAACTGCCAACCTTTCTGATTGACAAGCTCAGTGTCTTAGCCACTGAGCCACCTAGAGAGGCCGTAATTTCTCAAAGGTAGAGGATAAGAACCATCTTGCTTTAAATTGATTTATTGATATGGATACCATTCACTTTTGGGGAAACAAGATACATGCAATGACTTTGAACGTACAGCTCTTATATTTGTTTACTTGGCTAGGTTTAGATCATATCAGTTGTATGCATCAGGAAATGAAAAATCAAGAACTGGTGAGGCAGACAGTGCAAATCTGTGACTACTTGAGACAATCGCAAGAGGTAAGACTTGCAAGGTAAATTTTTATGGTCTGTAATTTATATTAATTGCTGAATCCCTAGTGAGTAAACTAAAGAAAACTGATACTTTTTTTTACTACAGCAAGCACAGAAGATGCTGGTGAAAAAATAAGTATAAGAATAAGAAATCCATAATATTTTTAAAGATCAATGATTAAAAAAAACTAACTTATCAAAACATAAAGTCTCAAGGATATATGAGGAGAATAACTTTAAAAGCTAAGGTTTTATGCAATTGTGAGTTGTTAAGGAAATAGCATCAATGAGTAAATATAGATTGGTGGTATGCAATCCTTCAAAGGGACCCTTTGGAAAGTAGAGAGCACGTGCATAGCATGTCTTCTCAATTTGATAAAGCAGACATCTTTGTTCTCAGGATCATATCGCTGTTTTGGAAGCTACTTTCCATGGCTGTTCCCAGAAATACCTTCTGTAGCAGTTATGAAAGGTGGAAAGAAACATGGCATTATTATTATATACACAAAAATGACAGTATACACAGCAAACAAGATAACCATGCTGGATTTCGTATCACAAATCACTAGTTGAACACTTCCCAAGCGTTTAGGACTGCGTGATGTATCAGTGGAATATGGCATCATCATCATCATCATCATCATCATCATCATCATCATTATTATTATTATTATTATTATTATTTATTATTATTATTATTATTTTAATTTAAAAAGTTCATGCACACTCTAGAATGTTTTGATCAACTCTTTTACACAGTCCCAATATAGTCTGCAGATGAAAGAATTTTTATAATTGGTACTTTGGAACTTTCCTAATCTGAATCCAGTTTACTTTATTGATACCACCAAATTTACTAAGCTATAGTACAGATAGTCCTCAATTTATGACCACAACGGAACCCAACACTTCTGTTGCTACATTTGTTAAGTGAGTTTTGCCCCATTTTACAACCTTTCTTGCTACAGGTGTTAAGTGAATCACTGCACCTGTTAAATTAGTATCATAGTTGTAAAGTCAATCTGGCTTCCCCATTGACTTTGCCTGTCAGACGGTCGCAAAAGGGGATCTTTTAAATATTTGATGCTAATTAAATAGTTTAATCAAGCTGAGCTGCTACATGGAAAACCTCAGGGAAGGATGTTTGCTGTCTTAAGTTACTTATATAGTAATAAAGGAGGGATAGACATAAAAAAAATAAAAATAAAATTATGGAAAGCAAAGATTTGTTTTCTGGTCCATTGAATAAATCTACAATAACTAAATATTAATAACAAAGGTTGTCTTGAAAACATTTTGAAATGAAAACTAGAGGCTTAGCTTTAAATATGGTATATATTCTTAGATGCTTTCTGCCTTTCAATATCCTTAGTAAAGAACTAATAATATTTGTGTTTGCATATTGCATGAAGTGGTTGATTTTATTTTAACATGGTCAAAAAAATCCAACTATTATAACTGGTGAGTCACAAATATGGATTAATATAAGTGGATTCAATAAACTGTAGTTAAAAAAACGCTACAATTTTGTGTAATATGTATGCCAAAGAAAGAAGATATATAGATGTATGAAAGTTACTAATCATGAACTAAGGCATACTTTTATTTAAAATGCCTGTTCATAAAAAAATAATAGAAACAACAACCTTTTTTTCAGGATTTAAATAACAGCATTGCTTGGACTAGGAAGAATAGAAAGAATAATCTGAGCAGAAGCTACTCGTAAGTATTCTTGTCTGTTTGATCACAGATGGCATTTTTGATGGTTTTTAACCATATTATCTCTATTATCTGACATGCTTTTGTGACCAGAGGTGGGTTTCAGGAAGTTCTGACCAGTTCTGGAGAACCGGTAGCAGAAATTTTGAGTAGTTCGGAGAACCGGTAGTAAAAATTCTGACTGGTCCCACTCCCATCTATTCTCTGCCTCCCAAGTCCCAGCTGATTGGGAAATGGGAACTTTGCAGTAATCTTCCCCTGGAGTGGGGTGGGAATGGAGATTTTATAGTATCCTTCCCCTGCCACGCCCACCAAGCCACGCCCACCAAGCTACGCCATGCCCACCAAGCCACACCCACAGAACCAGTAGTAAATTTTTTTGAAACCCACCACTGTTTGTGACCTTTAATCATTTAGCTGATAATCTCATAGAGATGTCCCCATTCTAAAAGCTTATCACAAAGGATTGTGAGTTGTATTAAATGTATAATTTATATGTGAATGTAAATATGAATTCAATCTGTATGTGATCCTCATTGAAACTCATCCCAAAAATGCACAGAAATATATTTCTGCATACACCATGATATATCAAGAAGATAAATGCTGAGTACAAATGATAGAGTTTACAATTAAATAGTTTCTCTATCAATAGTCATGAGATATCAAGAAATGCTCAAAGAACCTAGTCTTTATTGTAATGACTACTATATATATTTTGCAAAATTAAAATGAATGAAGTTATGTAAGTTTCTCAATACAATGAAACATTCCATATGTGAGTGCATGTTAAATTAATGATAAAAATCTAATTCCACCTTTTGTTTCAAAAAGGTTAAGAAGTTTAGATGGAGATGGCAGTAAGTTTTTTTGATTTTATTTGTAAATAGTGTAATCAAATGCATTTTTAGAGCAAAGTTAGTTTAGAAGAGCCTCTCACTACTAACTCACTTACTCTTTCCTATATGGAAACTTACTATAACTGATTATTCCGCAGATACATTTGTAGAGATTGTTGATGAGTTTTGTTTAGTCTTACCTTTTAAATGTCATACAATAAATGGAAAATAGGTAGGGATTGAAAAAGAAAAAAAAGCATAAATCAGGCATTACTGCTTACTTATATATCTGAAGGTTTCTATAAAAATCCAAAGACCTGTTCAAGACCTGTAATGGATGTTCAGCTATTATATCAAGTTACTGAAAATTAAGATTAGTTTCAAACTATAATATCCATTTCTGGATTGCAAATAAAAAAACAGTCTTTCCAGTTCAGACTAGCTCTATCACCTTACACCACTTTTACTTTGACCTCTATCTTTCACTGCATTTTAGTGTATGCTCCAATTTTCTGTATTGATACAGCAAAAGATATTCATTGGGGGCCCATCTAATTACCTTCCCCTCAATGGTTTTAACAGGGAACGGTAATAACGTTTCTTTCCAAGATTATCTCTTTATCTGTTCTAATATTGAAATTAATATGGTTACACATATATTCCTGACCTGTCCAATCTTGGAAAGCAAAATTAATAATACCACTAATTGCAAAATAGTTGATTTGGAGCCAACAGAATACAGTGCATTTTTTTAAAAAAAATTAAGTGATTGCTGTAGTGAAGCTTCCAGGAAAATAGCAAACTTTTAATACTGGTCTCTACTGCTGTCAGTAACCACTAGATTTAAATTAAAATGTACTTATTATAAAAATTATAGTCTATAATTTTCAGTTATTTTATTCATCTACCATCCTTTTTTTTTTTCTTTTTTCCTGATATTGTTTCATAATTTAATGTTGAACTGTATCTGGATAATTTGTCCTGATATGCTATTTTAAACTGCTGACCTTTGGCCATAGAAAACAGATCTATCTTTATAAAACATAATAAAGGTTCAAATTCAGGGAAACAGAGTGTTCTTCAACTGAACAGTTTTTCAGTTGAATTGAAAGGCATCTTATTCTGGTATATGTTTCGCTGCTATTTTAATTTTATTGGTATCTATGACATTGATCATTGACTTTTTAAAATGTTGCTTTAATTGTATATAAATACAATTAAGATAATATTTAAAAAATTGTTTTAACCCTGTTGTATTCTGCCCAAAGACTTCTAGGAATAGAGGAAGATATAGGTCTTCTGAAATAAACAAATAATATTATAGTCCCCAGTATCATTATATGCTTTTTACTGATAATTTAATAAAAAGTTAAACTGAATTCTCTTTCATTCCAATCACTTTGTGGCAATCTTGACTGCTCACAACAGTGTATTTTCTTTCCATATTTAACATTAATGTTTTAAAAATATTTCAGATATCTCACTCTCCTTAAAAACCCCTCAAGATTTGCACCATCATTACTCAGGTACGTAGTGAGTATTTAAGTGAGTATGCTGAGTATATTAACTCTTTCCCTCTATCATTTTCTAATTATCTGACTTTGAAGTAGCTCATTATCAAGAGCCGTATATTAAAATAATTCCTAAGAGAGTATCTTGGGGAGATTAAGATAATTTATTATGTTAGCACTGCTTTCTGCATGCCAAGTAGTTGTTGGTAAAATAAATTGCTTACTGGAAAGGATAATAACAGGTCTATAATCAAAAGCCATAGAAATAAAATTTATTTTATAATGCAATTTCTTTTATAAATATAATTTCTATTATATTTAGTAAATATAATAAAAGGAGGTAGAGGAGATTGAGGGTGAGCTAGTTCAGTTTCTGATGAAATAAATCTGCTTTTAGTATCAATCCCTAGTGAATTCATATCCTAAAAATGATTTCACACTGTATCGGAAGCACTGAGAACATGTGAACCTGCTAAACTGCTACATATTCAAAGCTGATGAAATTTGTGAAACCCACCAGCAGATGTCCTTGCTGTCACACAAGAACACAAGTATATCAAAGTCTTTGCAAATTTTGTTCAGGATTAGATTGCTAATGAAGTATTTGCAGCAGGTAACAATTGTATGATAGTTAAAGGTAGTCTATTGTTATTGCAATGGGTATGAAAGCTATTATATTATAAACAAATATCAGCATATACCAAATCTGTTGCGGTCAGTTTAGTATATATTAAAAATAGAACCAAGCTGGATTTTCATAAAACTTAAAAGAAAATCTATTCAAACTTTACACATTAATTTTTTTAATTAATTTTTATTGAATATTTTTTAAACAAAAATAAAAACAATAAAAGAAAATTAAGACAATAATAAAAAATGGTGAAAAAATAATAAAAAAAGAAATAGAAAAAAGAAAAAAGAGAAAAGAAAAAAGAAAAGAAATATATAAATGGCTTCCAATCGCCTTGACAACAGTTATAAATACATTTATATTTTGCCCTCCTTATCTAGAATTATATCATAATTTCTTTCTTTCCAGAAGCTACCCTTTCTAATCCTTAAAGCCATAAATCACAAGTCCATTTTCTCTTTTTTCAACAAAAAGTCCATAAGGAGTTTCTAGTCACTGATAAGTGTACGTGTTGATCTGTCACTAATCAAATGATTTTGCCATCTCTGTTAATTCTGTCATTTTCCCCAACCATTCCCCCATTGTGATGTTTCAGTCTTTCCATGTTTGTGCATATAATAATCTTGCAGTATAATCATACCTAAAAAGTATCTTAACATGGGAGAAATTATAATTGTGTTTGTTGGGGAGAATTTTTTGCCAAGGATAATGTTTTTTGCTTCAAACAATACTTATTCTAATAACTGAACAGTGGGAGAAAGATATATCAAAATCTATATGGCAAGAAAACAAGCCAAGTGTTAAATATATTTTCTGGGAAATGATTCCAGAAAAATTGTCTAGAATGTATAAGATAGTTCAAATTTATGTTGCAAATGTGGATAAAGTGAAGGATCGTTTTATAATTAGTAGAGTTTACAAAAATACTCACACAAATTTCTGAAATGCCACTCATCCACCTTGATGTATATCCAGCAATAAATACATCCTATATTATAGTCTGCTTTGCTATCTGAGAAGAAATATAGAAATACCTTGAGTTCAGACAAGGTATCAGTAATTTGCAAAGGATCTGAGGGAAACTCAGCTTTAAATCTTAATAACTTTTGTCAGTACTTTGCAGTAAGGCTTTAGATCAGTTGTAAAGTTGAAACGATATCATCAAATACTGCCCATTTTATTTAAATCAGAAGAATAAATTCAGTGGGTGGCCCTTGAGGATTGAATAAATGATTTCAATGGTTTCTTTAAAAGATTTTCCAGTGCTATATTGTTCATTTAAGTTTCTTTTCATCTCTAACTCAATCTTTTTCTAGTTAGTAGATTTATTCCTCCATTCAATATTTTTTGCCCATTCCAGCCAGTGGCCAGAAAATAGGAGTGTAAGAAAATTAAAATGCTGAAATAAATACTCTTTAGATAACGTTTTAACAAGTTAGTTTTGCTTCCATGAATGAGATTAAAACATTATTCTGATCACTTCAAATGTTGTACTGTATTTTATGTCTCCCAATCAAAGGCCTTCGGTAAGAGAAACAGCTATTTTCAAATTTTCTTTTTTAAAATGGTGGGCAAGAATTTTCAGATCATATGATTAACCTGTTTCTTTGCAGCTGTTGAAAGAAACAATTTAATGAGGCTGGCTCAGACAATCCCTTTCACACCAGTGCAGTTTTTTGGTGAGTACCAGATTCCATGTTGATGTATGAAAACATTTTAGTCATTAGGAAAATTCATAATAATTTAGACTTAAAATGTGCAATCATGCTATTGCCTGGTTATTTTTTATTACATCACAGTGCATCTCTTTCTTTCTCTCTCCTATCTATATCTCTATATTTTGCATTATTTGCATTATTTTGTATAATATCATATCTAGAAATAACTAGAAAACATTGTTATTAAAAACCCTTGCATTTTTCCTCTATTGTTAATCTCATTGGTTGTTGGTTTTTTTTTGTTAATCTTATTGCTTTTCTATTGCTAATCTCAGATGGTTTTTTTACAACATTTCCAGTGTATTTATTTATTTGTTAAATTTATTTAGCTGGAGAAGAAGTAACAATTTATAGACTGGAAGAAAGTTCACCTTCAAGCCTTGATAAAAGCATGTCCTCTTGGTCACAGCACGGCATGGCTGCCATGATTCAAGTTTTGTCTCAGGAGGAAATGGATGGAGGGTTGAGGAGAGCCATGAAAGCTGTCTGCACCTGGTCTGAAAATAATGTGCTCAAGTTAGGTGAAGTTTTCATTGTAAAATCTTTCCTTCCTGAAGTTGTTCAGACTTGGCAGAAGATCTTCCACGAAAGTACAGTGCTCCATCTGTGTCTCAGAGTGAGTATAATCTGATCAGCAATCCCTAATAATAACAGGAGGCTAGCAATACTCTAACTCAAATACTTTGGCCACCTAATAAGAAGGAACTCACTGGAAAAGAGCCTAATGCTGGGAAAGATTGAGGGCAAAAGAAGGGGGCGACAGAGAATGAGGTGGCTGGATGGAGTCACTGAAGCAGTTGGCGTGAGCTTAAATGGACTCCAGAGGATGGTAGGGACAGGAGGAATGTTGTCCATGGGGTCATGATGGGTCGGACATGACTTCGCAACTAACAACAACAAAAGCAATACTCTACCAAAGGAATCCTCACTGTGGTCCACCCTGGTCTAAAATGGTGGTTCACCAAGAAGTCTGTCAAATCCCATTGTCACCTAAATCCCAACACTGCAAACAGCCATCTCAGCCCTGCTTCCCCAAAAGTATGTCTATTCATGAGAATGGCTAAAATGGATTCATTATAGCACACAAAATAGTAATACCAGTAACTAGTAGTATTCTCAGGTATATATTGTAATGTATTCAAACTACTACCAATCTAGAAATAAAGAGAAATTTTACAGTTAGAACAATTAATAAGTGAAACAGCTTGCCTTCAGAAGTTGTGGGTGCTTCATCATTGGAAGTTTTTAAGAAGAGATTGGATAGCCATTTGTCTGGAATGGTATAGGATCTCCTGCATGAGCAGGGGTTGGACTAGAAGACCTCCAAGGTCCCTTCCAAGTCTGTTATTCTTTAGTAGGGGGTCTCAAAGCTGTTAATATCATTGTAATAGAAACAGGAAAGATCAGAAAGAGTATTCTTCCTACCGTGTTTCCCCAAAAATAAGACCTTATATTATGTCTTATATTTTGTTGAACCCTGAAATAAGCGCTTGTGTTGTGACCCCGACTCCCGAGCCTATCCTAACAGAGGAAGAGGACTCAGAAGGTGATGGGGAGGAACTGACAAGGCCTCCAGGACTGTCCTTTCGGTTCCATCTGAAGGCCAGCCTGGGATGTGCCAGGAGGAAGGCATATCGGAGCACCAATTGGGATAGGGAGTGAGGATGATGAATCCTGGCTTGATCCCAGGCAGCGTCAGAGGGAGAAGCGTATGCAGCAACGGAAGAGGCGTGGGAGGGGTCAGAGATTGAGCTGAGTCACAGAGCCACGCCCCACCAGGAATAAAAGTGGGTGGGATTGCTCTTCAGGCTTTGTGATGGACAAAGTTAAACCCTGAAAGTCACATCATGATCTCTGAAATTCAGCTTGGATATATTTTGGACTGAACATTGACTAAACTCTTGTCTCGTGGATAATTTGTTGCTCCTGGAACGGACTGAAGATAAATTCTCTTCTGCTTTATGGGAGTGAAAACGGTCTTGGCAGGCATTCAACAGTTTGCTGCCAAAACCTTGGTCTGCCAAGAATTCTAATCTGTTTACCTAATAAAATATTGGCAGGCGTGCTTGGTATTACGTTTGCCTGTGTGAGGAAGGGGGACAGAACAGCTTGGGCTTATTGCCATGCACTCAAAAGCCCGATTGGGCTTATTATCAGGGATGTCTTATTTTTGGGAAAACAGGGTATTTGTCAGGGAAATAAATACAGGTGCATGGGATCAGCTCACTTATATTTCGTAAATTATTTCATGATTTTGTTTTCTAAGGAAACTAAATTTTCATCCTGTCCTTTGAATGACACTTATGAATACTTTTAAGTTTTCCCCACCCAAACCAATTAGTAGTTTTTGATGCAATCTCTAAACTGAGATTTCAGAATTCAGTCCTTACTTCATCTGGAAAGAGTCATTAGCCAGACTTAGTTAAATCACATTGTCTCATCACAATCTTAAAAAGGACGTACTTAAAATGTGGATGAAAAAACTAACATTTTAAATGTTATTTTAAACATTACTGAAACAATATATCTAGGATTTTTTTGTGTTATTACTTTTAGGAAATACAGCAGCAAAGGGCAGCTCAGAAATTGATATATACCTTCAATCAAATGAAGCCCCATAGCATTCCATATACTCCCAGGTATGAAAAATGTGTTTCTAGGAATAAAATGTTGAATATAAATGTTAATTTATATATATTTTAATTGTTTTTAATATCTGTATTTCATGTTTTTAATTCTGGCTGTGTACCACCCTGAGACCTCAGGGAGAAGGGCGGTATATAAATTGAAAAATAAATAAATAAATAAATAAATAAATAAATAAATAAATAAATAAATAAACAAACACTAAATTTATTCATTCTATATACAATATGTTGATTTAATTAATAATATCTGTCAGTAATAGAGAGGCAGATACAATCCTGCCCTAAAATTCCAACAATTATTAGAGGAACAGACAACTATTTATTCACATGTTTTACATATTATTACAGTCTATATTCCATTGAAACGGAAACTGTGACAAATTTTATTTTCTTGGGCTCTAAGATCTCTGCAGACAGTGACTGCAGCCATGAAATTAAAAGATGCTTTCCTCCTTGGGAGGAAAAGTATGGCATAGCTATAAAACCAGAGTCAAAGCTATGGTTTTCCCAGTATGGACTATAAGGAAGGCAGAATGCTGAAGAATTGATGCTTTTGAATTATGGTGCTGGAGAAGACTCTTGAGAGTCCCTTGGACTGCAAAGAGGTCAAATCAGTCAGTTCTAAAGGAAATCAACCCTGATTGTTCTTTGGAAGAACAGAAATTGAAACTGAAGCTCAAATACTTTGGTCACTTAATGAGAAGTGAGGACTCATTGGAAAAGACCCTGATGTTGGGAAAAAATGAAGGCAAAAGGACAAGGGGACAGTAGAACATGAGATGGTTAGATAGTGTCATCGACACAATGAACATAAATTTGAGCAAATTCCAGGAGACAGTAAAGGAGAGAGTGTGCCATGGTCCATCAGGTCACAAAGAGTCAGACATGACAGTGACTGAACAGCAACAACAATATTACATCATTCCTCCGCTTCCATCTCTTTATATAATGACCACCAAAACCTGACGTTACAAACAAGATACCGCTTTTCAGGACTGTAATAAATCCTAAAGGGATGATCCATCATATTAGATATTTATTCAGGGAATACAGTTAATTTGGGGCTTATTTCAACTCTCTGTCTCTCTCTGTCTTTCTGTCTCTCTCTCTCTGTCTGTCTGTCTGTCTGTCTGTCTGTCTGTCTCTCTCTCTCTCTCTCTCTCACACACACACATCGTACACGCACACACTCTATCTTATATATCTATTTATCTTGTTCCTTTTGTTCAGTTCAGTGCTGACAAAATTGCTCAAGTCAGATAGCAGTATGGCAAGATAAAATCCTTTTAAAGTGTGTACATTATTTTTTTCCTGATACTACTTCAAGCTTCTCCATTCATCTATATTCATTTAATGAGCAACATCAAAATTTCATTCTAAATATTTAAAATGGAGATTTATTTGATTTACAAGATAATAAGAAATACAAGACACGCTTTTAATTCTGTGAATAGCGATTTCATTTGAGTATCCAACTTCAGAATTAACAGGAAAGACTACATTGGATTAAGCCCGGTAGAAAGTAACCATGTAGGAATTAACAAAAGTATCAGAAAACTGCTGATTATTGCCAAAAAAAAGGGGATGTGCTAATAGTTTTATGAGAGCCAATCACTTCTTATATGTTTACCTGGGAATCACCAATGAATCTTCTAAACTGCAATTATTGTATTTTTATTCTGTTGTTAAACTGCCAGTGGTGATTTGTCCTCTGTAATTTGTTTGTGAGGATTATGATAATAGATTTTCTCAAAGTGGTGCCAATTTTCCCATCAAGTTTGGAGATTTTATGAAATTCTGTCTGAAAATTAGGTCTTCATTAACTCTTAGATTAATTATCGCGTGACATCTTTTTGGCTAAAGTCCTAAACTTACTTTTTGGGAATACATGCCATTTAATTCCATTTAATTCAATTAGGTTTATTTCTGCATAGACACGGATAGGATAACATTTTAACATGTATTCTGCACATACTTATGTTTTTGAATGTTGTTAAAATTATGATGTTGATGAAAGTTGTACGTGAGATTAGTACCCTTTATTCATCAAAAGCAGTGTGAAAAATACCTCCTGAAAAAAATGCTCTCATTTCTTTTCAGATTCCTTGAAGTCTTTTTAATTTATTGCCATTCAGCCAATCAGTGGCTGACAATAGAGAAATATATGACAGGAGAATTCCGCAAGTACAATAACAACAATGGGGATGAAATCACACCTAGCAATTTGCTGGAAGAAGTTATGCTGGCTTTTTCTCACTGGAGTTATGAATATACCCGAGGAGAACTTCTTGTATTAGATTTGCAAGGTGAGTAAAAAAGACTGTACCATGAAAATTAGTAAAATCAAAGCTAGAAAAATCGCATATGACACTTGAATGGCTAATACATCTATTTGGGTGTCAGTATTTGTGGACTATATATAGTTTATCAGATACAAGAAATATTCTACGAATACAGTCCATAATATATATATGTATGTGTGCACGCGCACACACACACACACACACACACACAGAGAAAAACACACAAACACATAGGCACACAAACATCCATCTATTGTTAGTGGTTGAATGATTAACAATGACTTCTAGACCTGTGTGTATGCATCTATAGAAGATTGTGCAAGCATGCCACAGGTTTTGTCCTTTCTTCGTTGTGTGAGGAACATGATATTGCATTTCTGCTTTCATCATTCTACCTTCTTTCCTTCCATCTTTGCAAATGCCACGGGGGCCTGTGTGAATTAGTTCTGATTCACCTTGAATATTTGAGATTTAAGAATAAATATGATTTGTTTTAAGGCTGGGCTCAGAGATTTGAGGACAAATCCATTTGATCTGAGCTGTTTCTTTAAATTATAATGGAAAGGCTGAATAGTTTCTTTTGAAATATTCCACCTGCATTTCTTTTAAGGTTGAGATCACATGCCTGAGACTCAATAGGCAGCAGCACTTGCCTGAATTTGTCTTAGCTCAAAGCAAGGTAGGATTAGGCTTGATTAATACTTCAATGTGGACTTGCCTGGAAGTTGCAAAAATTCTTTCTTTCCAGAAAAAGCACATCACAAACCCTTCCCTGCTGATGGCAAGCAAATGAATCACCAAGTATTGCCTAATTATCATCAAAAGTGCACCTTTATCTTAAAAAGTATGACGAAAGGAGAGCTCCCATTTTTTGGGGGGGGGAGGAAGAAATTTGAATTAAATTAAAGCTTGAAGACAATACTAGAAGTAAAAAAAAATAAAAACCTAGAAAATCTATACAATTATTTTTCAGTTGCTTTCCTGGAGTGCAGGGCTTGGCATCGCATTGCATCGCACTCGTGTCTGAAACACCAAGGCATTTCCAGGTTGAAAGGATTAGCTGGTGACATCACCATTACCAGGGAGACACCTGGTTGGGGGCCCTTTTCATGTCGCTGTTATTGTGCCCAACCAAGTGGTACCTATTTATCTATTTGCGTTTGCATTCTTTCAAACTGGTAGATGGGCAGGAGCTGGAGCAAATGACAACCCTAACCCTAACCCTAACCCTAACCCTAACCCTAACCCTAACCCATCACACAGTCTCATACACAGGTTCTAACCATGTGAAACACCATATTTCCCAACTAGGCACAATACTAAGTAATTATTGAGTTGTCCATAATGGGCAGGGAAATGTTGCTGCCTGTGATCACCGGTTTCTAGAGATAACTAAAACTAATTAACTAACTTGGCATAACTGGTTAGAAAGCTTGACCCCCTAAGCATTGATTCTTTGTTGGCTTTGGTGAGGTGAAGTGAGTGCAGGGCTGGATTGGATTGGGTTGGGTTGGCAAGCACAATAACAAAGCTTGACCTCTTGCTGATATGGGAAAATATGATAACACAGAGATCATTTAGCACAAATAAGATAGTAGTCATAGCCTTGTCACATCTGCATTCCTGAAGTAGTGAGATTTGGAGTTAACCTGTGTTAACCTGGCAAATTCATGCTATAGTATATGTATTAATCTTTTGAGTACTGCATACCACCATTACTTATCTCTTAGGAAAATGAAAGTGTGGTTGTTTGGTATAGAACATGTTTCAAAAAAGAAAGAAAGAAAGAAAGAAAGCACAAGTTAGATGCATCTATATTTTTGCTCTCATGCTACCTTTCTTTAATGGAATTGTACGATGTGGGCGAGAGCAGCTATGGAAACTATGGGTTCTTATAGAATCTAGTCCATATGCTGTCATAGCCAATTCACTGTCAGGGATAACTAGCGCACAAGTATCACAAGTTGTTAACAGAATAAAGAATTTGAAAAAAATAAGAAACAATATAAAGCATCTAAATCCATCACTTATACACAATATAATAGAATCAGATCCATGTTTACCTAACTGTTCTATCTTCTTAATAATACAGTTTCAATTTACATCACTTTTTAAAAAACTGTTTTAAAGGAAGTTGACTTGTTCCAAAGCAAAGTATCAACCACCACTAGGGCTTCATGAATGCCATGAAGTCCCACAGAGATCATCAACAAAGCATCCTTGAAGACTAGTTTGCCTTCTGATAAATGGATGTTTTGTGACTGGCCACACAATAGCAGTTTTGTGACTAGGGAAGTCATCCATGGAAGCTTTTGCAATTCCGGAATGGCCCATAAAAGTTATCCAACTTTGACATAAATAAATGAAACATTAAAATGCTTAATGTAAGCTATTGTTTCAGGACAGCAAAACAAGCTTACACAATGGATTAAATATGACGATCCAAATTTCAGCCTTGATCTAGATATTCTGGAGCATATGAAGATTTCAGAGCTGGAATATGTCTATGGTGTTTATCTATTTTATTCAGAGTAGGGAAGTTTCCTTGCACAAGATGGAAATTAGTTCTTGGTTTTCTCTGACATTAACATATATCCTATTTATATATAATTCTAGCAATATACATTTGGATCCACAAAGTATCTTTGAATTATAGCCTTTATATTGTTTGCTTTACATTTAAATGAAAATTGTTTTAAAAATAGTTGAGTATGCAACATTTGTTTGTCATAGTCCAAAGCAATTTATCATTTTAATATTGCTTTTTCATTTTTACTCTGTAAACCAAAAGATTAGATAACTATATAATAATTGCACAGGTTATAATTTCACAAATGGTTTTAAAGAAGACAATTACCTTCTAATAACCATTATAAATTTGAATTCTGCAGGTGTTGGAGAAAACCTCACAGATCCATCTGTTATTAAACCTGAAGACAAACAGTAAGTATCTCATGTAAATTTATCATATAAAATGTGACATATTCTCCATGATTCAATTAATCTTTGATATTAACTGTAATGCACATATGCATATTTTTACACATTGCTGACAGTGATGTTCTGTTTGGTTAACAGCACAGTTTTGTATATGTATCTTTTTAAATGGACGATTAAGAATAATGTAATGCATTGACACAAAGGTAACTGAAGAAAACTTAATAAAGCTATAAATGCAAATATTTACCGAAAAACCTGGCAACAGAAGAGATAAATATTTGATTTATATTGAGTGGGCATAACTGGTTTCCAAGTTCATTTCAGATACTGTGCTGAGGTTAATATGTTGTTTCTTGTGTTTTAATCCTAGGAATGCACAAGAAATGGGCTACAGTCAATGAAATGCTATCTAACCACAGTTTCTCATAAGTAATGATCATGACACTAGTTGAAGGATTAGGTTTTACCCTCCAGCTACTTTGTAAAGTGGTATCTGTGTCAAACTAGATTGTGGCTATGAGTTTAGAACATTAATTTTTAATAAGTGCTACATCGTCTGTGCTAATAGAAGCTCATACATTGAAGCATGTCTTACTCCATTCCTCCTGCACTCATTCTCCTGTTTAGGCAGGTCCCCCCAAAACCAGGCATCCAACTAAACGTATTTGTGATATTCAGGTGGAAAAGGTGTGTACAGATATTGTGACATTAATTGTTCCTTTGTTATTTTCAAATTCTAGAGGGATGACCTTTGGACCAGCAAACCTTGGAGAAGAAGCCTTCAAAAACTTCATTTCAAAGCATTGCTGCAATTCTTGTTGCAGGAAACTCAAACTTCCTGGTATGCAGTAGCAAAGCTCTGAACGTTTTTGAACAAATCTGGCCTTAGGGCTAATTCCTGAATCTAGGACTGAGCTCACTGTATTGATGTTGGTAACAAAATATTCCAAGAAAGAGTTGTACAAATCAACATTTTCCATTAATATTTTGAGGGTCAGCACAATACTAACATACATCTAGAAAAAAAGCAACACTCAGCCTTATTTATTGGTTTTGTATTTCAAATCTGGATTTGGCAAACTTAAAATATTGGGTGCACTTTTTTAATGTCAAAAGTCTCACTTGGCTTTTCACGATCCTTTCCAAAGATGGAAGGGACAAGAAAAGGAATGAATAAAAAGAAAAAGAATTATCTCTATTAGATTGCATTCCTTATTATCACTTTCAAATTGGCCATTTTTGTAGAGGGCCCCAAGGCTTTGCCCTAAAATGTCATATTAAACACACAATCATGTCTTTTCTCTAAATAGGATATTAGATTAGTTTTTTTTAGTAGAGTGACTAAAGCAGTAGATTTGAAGGTTAAATAAGCAGTCTTTCATTTCTTTGTTTTACAATCTAATGGATTATAGGGAGGAAGTAATAATAAAAGTATTTATTTTCTACCTGTATAATTAGTATATTATATGAAGATGTCCTGCATAATTGAAGCTATTTTTCTTCAGTTATTAATATTAATACATATTACCAAGATCCACTTGGATGATGGCTGTAATTTTACTCTTTTGGAGCTCTATCTACTTAGATTTTGGGTCCTGCAGCAAACTTCAGAATGATAACATTGATCTTAAAATATATCTTCCCTATGACCAAGGTTACTGCTGTTAAGATGATAGAGTGCTGAGTTACAAACTGGGAATCTCTGTGGTGTACCATCTGATTTATTCATAGATTTTCTCTCTGGGCAAATGTTGGAATCTCCTTCACTGCTCATATTAGACGCCAACGTCCGATGATGGATAAGGCACAACAAGAAGAAGTTCATATTAGAGGACTTTACTCTTCATGTCCTATAGATGGGATCAGAGAGTCATGATTTCCATGGCATGAATCAGGGACTTGTCCCAGATAATCTCTGCCTCAGGCACATGACAACATAGGTTGGATGTTTTTGGATTTTGTCCCATAACAACTTTGTGTGCTGTGACCTGGATATACAACACCTTACACTTTAGTCCCTTGCTGTGGCTTCATACCTCTTAGTTTAGATGGGATTGATTGCTATCCAGGACTTTCTTGAAGAAGTCCACAGTAACCGATGGATCTGGAGGGAATTTGAAAGGTGCTTGGGAAGTTTTCCAATATCTGGTGAGCAGCTCTTTTGATTTAGGTAATTAACTTCTGGTAACAGAAAGTGGCTTGGAAGCTTGATGTTCTGAAGATTCTTTTTGTATTGGTTCATCTTAAGGAGTTCTGAGGAGAAATGGAGATGAAGCATAAGATATTATTATTATTATTATTATTATTATTATTATTATTATTATTAGTAATAGTAGCTCTGGATATTTTAATGTTGTATATTACTTGTATGTTTGTTATTGTTGGAATCCTTGGAGATTATGGCAGCATGTAATAAAGATATATTATCTAAGATAAAGCTTTTTTCTGTTTTCATAGATTTGAAAAGAAATGATTATGCATCTGGGAGGGTCAATCCAGCTTTTGAAACTGAAACAGAAATACCAATGGCAGCAGAAGATGCGACTGCAAACAATAGGAACGATGAACCACTGGAATATTATACTCGGCTGTGAAGCAAGATAAATGATAAAAATGATAAAAAATTCTAATTTTTATCATTAGAATTTTTTTCCTGAAGGGCCAAATCCTGGGAACTCCACTACCTCCATTGTCTGTAATATTCTAGAATAAAGAAAGAAAAACCATTAATGTGAAAGGGTTTGCAAAAGAATTCCTTTAAAATAAGGAGTCTCCTCTGTTTTTAAAGGTTATTCACTGGATCAATTGAAGCAGTGCCAGTGCTTCAATTTATGAATGTTTAAAAGTGTGTCACTTAAAATAAGAAAAGTTCCAATGGTTATGAGAAATTGGAAGATTTCCTAGAAACAAATTCAAAGAAATCCCCCAGATGGCAACCAGAAATATTCAGTCCTGGTCAAAGGTGGTCAGACATGTTGACAAAATGGCCAGATAAAAGTTGAGGCTCAAATTTTCCAAGAAAAGGAGTTCCAAAGTCCAGGAGTTGCATCAGAAAAGGTCTCCTGCATTCATATATTTTATGAATGTTTTGTTAATCTTTTTACTTTAACAAAGTATCCTATAATTATGGCTGGCAATTTTAATAAAGTTTTGGGTGTTTGGGTTGACCATGGCTTTAATTAAATGTAATTTCTAATCACATACACTGAAAATATTTATTAAATTTAATCTGATGGGTATCTGTTAACATTTGAACTCATTACAATGAGAATGTATTTTTTTCCACAGTTCCCCATCAGACCTGTTCCTAATATTTTTTGTATCTAGATTTTCATTGTTTATGTGAGTGTCTGTGTAAATAAAACAAGTTCTCGTATAAATGTGCTGTAAATTACTTGGGATTTGATCAAACTTTAATTAGGATGACTGAAAAAAATGATATCCATATGATCACCTAACTTGGAAATATAAGGTACAGGATCTTATTGCAAGTCAGATTTATGATTTAAGTTAGCTTCATGGTTTTTATCCTGAGCTGGAATCAAATTCTCAGGGCTTCAGGCCTAGATTATCCCTACAGACAAAAGGCAGACTGAACAAAGATCTTTTCTCAGAAAATCATGTGAGCTCCTACTAAACTACAGCCCTTCCCAACAACAACAAAAAGAATGAAATGTTAGTATTGAAATAGTGTGAGGTATTTCAGACAGAGCACAAGCTCTGAATGAGGCTGCACTGTGTTGCCCTAAAATTATAAGAAGAAAGATAGCTAAATCTCCTACATGAATGTATCTGACAGATGTTTTCCTCAGTTTTTATAATGAGGGTTAGAGTAACTTAAAAAGAAGTAGAAATGCACCATAGACACACAGTGTGGTATGCAAATTTAACACTCTTGTCAATATTAGTTGTCAACATTTATCAAACGTGCCTTGTTACCTGAAGAAACTAGTATAATTTAGCTCTTGGAATGGTTCTCCTTTAATTTCACTTGAGTCCTCCAAGTCTTAGGAACCAATGAAAGGAAAGAAAATCTCAAACAAAGAATAAATCTTTTCTTTACTCAATATTTAAACTTTGTGCAAGATCTCCCTCCCTCCCTCCCTTTCTTTCTCTCTCTCCCTCCCCCTCCCTCCCTCTCTCTTTCCCTCTGTATGTGTTTTAGGAGAGATGAGGAATAGATCTATTTAACGTGAACTGTACTGGCCATCATTGCCTTCTTATATGCACATGGAAATAAATACATTATATGGAAGTGACTATCTTTATAATCTGTGTGCTCAAAAGCCAAGAAAAAAACAAAAACAAATTGGCAATTCAATTATTTAGGGAAGAGGCGAGATATTTGGGTAGGAAGAGGGATCGTTTGTATCCCCTGACATTTTCTAGCATTTTTATCATTATTGAAATCACTGCAGCTTGCTTTTATTACCATAGTTTTGTTACCAGATATATAACCTTCTGGAGAACTTTTGATCCTTTTTTTTTAATATCCATCTCTCTCTCATCTCTTATCCATCCATCCATCCATCCATCCATCCATCCATCCATCCATCCATTAATCCATCATGCTTTGTTTGCATTTCTTGTTACAAATATATGCCAGGAAGATCCCCTTAGCATCATTGAAAAACTGCCTCCTGTGAAATTGTACATTTTGTGGTCACTTTATTACTTTAGGTTCAACTCAACAGCAGGCAGATAAACAACCATGAAGAAACTCTTTACATAAGTAGCCTTTTAATCTTAATATACACTGCACCAGTAAGGGTCCCATGGAGAATTTTAATTCATTGCTTGTACTGCTGGGTGACATAAATGCTACAAATTGTAGCCGTGTCAACAGCAAACATTGACATAGTGGAGAAGTTACAGTTGATGTGCTCAAATTCAAACCTTCCTTTAATCTAAGAGCAGGAATAACTTCAATTTCCAGGTTTTGATATTGATCTTATGATGGATCCACCACAGTGAGTCTGTATTCAGTTGCTTATATTTCATATGGGAATCAAGGTATTCTAGTTCATATTATTAGTATTGTGATTTCTTTGGAGTCATGATCTATCTATCTATCTAGATCCGTACCAGTCGGGCTTCAGACCGGGGTACAGAACGGAAATGGCATTGGTCGCATTGGTTGATGATCTCTGGAGGGCTCGGGACAGGGGTTGTTCCTCTGTCCTGGTCCTATTAGACCTCTCAGCGGCTTTTGATACCATCGACCATGGTATCATGCTGCGCCGGTTGGAGGGTTTAGGAATGGGGGACACGGTGTTGCGGTGGTTCTCCTCCTTCCTCTCTGACCATATGCAGTCTGTGTTGGCAGGGGGACAGAGGTCGACCTTGAGGCGCCTTGTTTGTGGGGTGCCGCAAGGGTTGGTCCTCTCGCCCCTCCTATTCAACATTTATGTGAAGCTGCTGGGTGAGATCATCCGTGGTTTTGGGATGAAGTTCCATCAGTACGCTGACGATACTCAGCTGTACATCTCCACCCTGGACCACCCCAATGATGCCCTTGACATGATGTCCCGGTGCCTGGAGACCATGCAGATTTGGATGGGGAGAAACAGGCTCAGACTCAACCCCTCCAAGACCGAGTGGCTGTGGTTTCTGACGTCCCGGTATAGCCAGCTGGTTCCATCGCTGACTATTGGGGGTGAGATCTTGGCCACCTCAGAGAGGGCTCGCAACTTGGGTGTCCTCCTGGATGCATGGCTGTCCTTAGAAGATCACATGATGGCTGTGGTCAGGGGGGCTTTTTATCAGGTTCGCCTGATTCATCAGTTGCGTCCCTTTCTGGACCGGGACGCCTTGTGCACGGTCACTCATGCCCTCATCACATCCCGTCTGGACTACTGTAATGCTCTCTACATGCTCCCCTTGAAGAGCACTCAGCGGCTCCAACTGGTCCAGAATGCAGCCGCACGGGTGATTATGGGAGCGACTCGGCACACCCATGTAACATCTGCGCGAGCTGCACTGGCTTCTGGTGGTTTTCCGGGTGCAATTCAAGGTGCTGGTTACCATCTTTAAAGTGCTCCATGGCTTAGGACCTGGGTACTTACGAGATCGCCTTCTGCCACCGATAGCCTCCCACCGGCCAATACGCTCCCACAGAGAGGGACTCCTCAGGGTGCCGTCAGTCAAACAATGTCGACTGGTGACCCCCAAGGGGAGAGCCTTCTCTGTGGGGGCACCTGCCCTCTGGAATGAATTGCCCCCGGAGATATTATGATCCCCGACCTACATACCTTTCACCGTGCCCTTAATACTTTACTGTTTCAACAGGCTGGGCTGGCTTAAATAACAAATTTTAATGGGTGTTTTAGTTTTTTAATACAGGGCCAAATTATTTAATATGTTTTAAATTGTTTTTAAATTTTATGGATATATGTGTTTTATTGTGGCTGTGCACCATCCTGAGTCCCTCGGGAGAAGGGTGGTATAAAAATTTAAATAATAAATAAATAAATAAAAATGATAAAAAATGAGATTTTTCTGGTGGAAGCTCAGAAACTGTCCCAGGAAGATCTTCTCGACCTTGGCCTGGGTGTGCTGCTAGGCGGAGTAGGGCACAAGGGCAATCCTTGAAGATTTCTTAATGCAGTTGGTTGTATCTGAAGGGCCACTTGCTAGCAATATTCTAAGTTAGGTGATTAGCAGAGGCTGCAGAAACAATGCTGAACTGGTCAAAGAACTGACCAGTTGAACGTCCCACTTGAAATGGCAGGACAAGTACAGAAGCAGGGGTGAAATGCTTCCGGTTTGGACCGGATCGCCCAATCCGGTAGCGATGGCGGCAGGTGGTTCGGAGAACTGGTAGCAAAAATCCCTGCGCCCCCCCCCATGCCCAGCTGAGCCGCAGGATCATCAGAGGCTTTTTTTCTTAACTTTTAAAAGTATTTTTTCTACAACCTCTTCCGACAAAAAAATGCTTTTAAAAGTAAAAAAAAAAAGCCTCTGATGATCGCGCAGCTCAGCTGGGATAGTCAGAGGTTTTTGAAAGCATTTTTTCTGCAACCTCTTGGCAGAAGAGGTGGTAAAAAAATGCTTTGAAAAGTCTCTGACGATCCCAGCTGAGTTTCCTGATCAGCAGAGAGGTATTTTTTAAAAAAGCCTCTCTGACGATCCCAGCTGAGTTTCCTGATTGTCAGAGAGATATTTTTTAAAATGCCTCTCTGATGATCCCAGCTGAGTTTCCTGATTGGCAGAGGCTTTTCAAAGCATTAGAAAAAATGCTTTGAAAAGTTAAAAAAAAAAAAAGTTGGCCACGCCCACCCAGTCACATCCCCCCCCCCACCAAGCCATGCCCACAAATTTTACATTTTACAAATTTTACATTTTACAAATTATACAGAAGTATAATGTTCCATTAGCACAAGAGAAGGCAACATTAGAAGCTATTGGCTTGCCATATCAAGCTTGTTAAGAACTGAGGAATGAATAAAATCCAAAGCAGGATTGCCACTCTAACAAAGTCCTATCGGTACAGTTAAATGGAATAATAAAACTTTCTGGCTACCCACTTAAATTAACATCAAAGTTCTCTTCATACCACTCAACTTTCATTTTTATGTCTATACCTACAAATGAATAACAACAACAACAGCAACAACGGGAGCATCACTTGAATACACTCAGCATTGACAAATTGACCATCAGTCAATTGCAAAAGGCGGCTTTACTGGGAACAGCTTCCATCCTGCGACGATATCTGTAACACCATCAAATATCCAGATCAGTACTGGGTTTCAATTTTCTTCATTACTGGTTTGCTATTGGGAGTGTGCAGGTGCGCTCGCTCGCTTTGTGAGCGTGCAGCGCTTATGCGCATTTGCAGCACATTTTTTATGACATCTGGGTGGGTGAGCAGAGCCTCCCGCCACCGCTACCGGTTCGCCTGAACTGGGGCAAACTGGTAGCAACCCACCACTGATCCAGATCTGTCTATCCCAGGTTCTTGGCAAGGGCTCGATAGGTAGACAAAAATGCCAAACCCATTCTGAACATCTGACTGAACTGTGCGATGATCAATAATAATAACAACAATAAAAACCTCAGGCAATGAATGAAATCTGAGCATCATTAAATTTACTATCACTCCATTTGCAGTTTTTTTCATTTGAAGAAGACCGCAAATATCCACTAATCAATGAAAGAAATAACATTAGCAAAAACCCAGCAGTTGCTCCCTTTGAGGTAATCTCTTTATTGAATTCACATTGACTAAGTATTAAACCTGCCCAAATCCGGGATTGGTATCATAGGATGGGTGTTTTCTAAGGGCAGGCAGGCAGGCAGGCAGTTTGACATAGTTACTTGGCATTCTGCAGCTCTTCTAAACGAAGCATTGAAAGCCTACCTTCATCAATGATCTCAA